CGAAAATTTAAAGTTGATGGAATATGACAAACGGTCGTTTATCTTTATTCGGAATGAACAACAATGAACTTGTTAAAGGTGGGGAGACATGAAAAAAATAATGTTTTCGAAATTCCATTTTTATACGCCCCTCGAGGAGTTGAACTTGTGGGGGCGATGATTGAGGATGCGGCGCCGCTACCGACTGAGCCACGCGGGCAAAGAGAAAGCGTACGCCCGATTGCATACATAAAGGTGAGGACGACAGCTGTACGCAGAGTGACATTAAGCGTTGTACCCCGTCACGGTAGAATGCCTACCCTAGCTACAAAAATCATCCGAAAAATCTCCTGTCGCAATCGGATCGGATACGGAGTTCTCGCACGGACAGAACACGGAGGAATACGAAATAATGCGTTGTGGGTTTCTGAAAACGGGCCGCGTGCGGTCCGTATGCGGTTCCTATTTCAACCGCGCGCGAACGCTGAGCGTCCGTAACGGATCGCATTTGACCTGTGTTTACAGTTTCAAAGTGAATAAGTTTTTTGATATTTTCATTGTTTCGTCCAAAAATTTCGAAAGTTCTTTTATTCTCTTCATTTGTTAAATTTTCCAAAAAAAAATTTTTTTAATTAGCATTTTCACATATTGAGATTGACTTTAAAAATTCACAGTTTCATGATAAATTCAATAAGCATGTGTTTTTCAATATTTCATTATTCACGTACATTTTTTACAGAATAGGTTATTTTTTCTCCTTTTCTGTGGAACCGATTCTCACAAAAACTACTATTATCACACATTGAGATTCAATTTTTTTTACAGAAATAAGAATAAAATTTGTTCTTTAACTGTTTCATTTTTGGAATTTGAGTTAGTTCTTTGATTCAAGAAACACTGATTCTTTCTTCGCACGTTCATTAAACTATCTCCGAAAATTGCTATTTTCGAAAAAATCAGAAGTTTAGAAATTCAAAAATTCCGATATTCAGAAATTCCGAAATTTAGAATTTAAAAATTATTTTTTCTGAAAATTTTCTTACTGTTTCTTTTTTTTTGAATAAAAATGTGTTCATCAAGAAGAAGCGCTTCCGATACCGAATTTATTTGGGATAAATATATTTTCTATAATTATGAAATCCTCTTCACAAAATAGAAAATTTTCCAGAAAAGTTGCTATTTTCATTCTTCAAAATTCCAAAAACTCCTATTTGTCGTTCCCTCTCTCCACACCTTCCCAATGCCCTTTGCTTTCTTCATCATCATCTTCTTCCTCTTCTCCTTCCGTTCAGACACAAAAAAAACTTTCTTGTCTTCTCCACTTGTTTTTTGATTCCTCATCTTCTTCTCCATCAGTTCGAAACCTTTTCTCTTCTACTCTTCTCTTCCTGATGTTTCTCTGTTCTCCTGGTCAAATCAGTTTCTATCTGCCCCGTCTCTCCTTTTCCCCAGAATGCTCCGCCCATTTGCACTTTGGCTGCGGCCGGCTGCCTCGAAACTTGTCAACAAGTCCAAAAAAAATTTTTTTAATGCGGCTATCTTTTAGATTCCACCAACACAAACAGCCCTATGTTCCCATCTGCCCTTTAGATTGTTAGATGTGCAAAAAAGAAAAGAGTCTGTTTGGTAAAAGTGCAATTTACAAAAAAGAACTGACAGTTAGTCAGATGTCTGCGTCTCTCTTTCTCTGGTCACCTCTTCATATCACTTGTTCTCTTCTCCTCCTACTCCTTCCTTCTTCTTTTTTCTCCAAACATTTTTCCCCTTGATTCCGCAACATTCGACCCATGCCGCCGTCCCGATCAGCCATCTGTTTTTCACATATTTTCGCCCCCGAATACTTTGGACACATTTTGAGATAACAGACTCTAGTCCTTCCTAGAAAAAATAGTCTTCTAGCGCTGAAACAGCGAAAAAGGGGGGAGGTGTGTGTTTACTCAAGATATGATCTCATAATTTTGAAAATTACTGTTTCAAAATTAATGTTTTGTAGTTAGAAGAATACTGAAAATTGCTTGGTTGTTGGAACACAAACCGTACTCTGGAAAATTTTGAAAATTGCCGTTTCAATTTTTTTCTAAATTTTTAGCTTTTCTGAAAATCCGTTTTCAGTTCGCTTGATTTTATTCAGTTCTCTCGAAATTGTTGCTTTTTTGAAATTCATGTTCCGAGAATACGGAAATTGGATGATACCGTATTCCGGAAGTTTTGCAAATTGGTGTTTCAAAATTTGAAGTTACTGTTTCAAAATTTATTTTCGAAATTTCGCTTCTTCGAAAATTTACTTTCTCTCTTTAAGCTTTTCAAAAACTTTTAATGGTTTCTTAACTCCAGCAATCTGAGATAACCGGTAATTTTCAGGCTCTTTTCTAGTTTAGAGGTAGAGGTCCGAAAAAAAATTAGAGGTCCCAAAAAAGTTTAGTGGTCCCAAGAAAAAATAGTGGTCCAAAACTTAAAAATGCACAGATACCGGAATAATGTACTAAAATTTGAATTGTGTAAGAATTTAAAGTTTTGAGGTCTTATAGCAAAATAATTGTTGATGATATATTTTATACTTCTAATAGGCTTAGGAATGCATATTTTCTGACAATTATCTAAGCCTGAGAGACAGCATAATCACGGAGTGATTACTGTATTGCCCAATTTTCCTCATATGTAAATTGGGTTCATCGGCAAGATGCGAGAGAATTGGAGCTAAAATTGTTAGGAGTAGTCATGTCATCCTATAAGACCCTAAAACTCAAACTACTCGCACAGTTCAAATACTAGTACATTATTCCAACATCTGCGCGTTTTTCGTATTTTGGACCTCTATTTTTTCTTGGGACCTTTAAACTTTTTTGGGACCTCTAATTTTTTTTGGGACCTCTATTTTATTTTGGGACCTCTAATTTTTTTTCGGACCTCTAAATTTTTTGGGACCTCTAAACTAGAAAAGAGCCAATTTTCACTGATTCAATTGAAAAATCAGTTTTCTTAAACTCAAAACTTTTTGTTCACCCGTCCCATCTAGTCACGAATGCTTCAGGCTTTTATATCCGCTATCAACTTTTTTGTCTAATTTTCAAAAAAAATTCACTGTTTCAAAAATTCAATTGCATGAATTTCTATTTTTTATCATTAGTAAATTCATCTTATTGATAAAACATAATTTGAAAAAAAATAACTGTTTCAAAATGTTTCTAGCTTTCTCTGAAACTCATATTCTCTATTCTTTGTATTAATGTGTTTTTAAAAACTTCATTATCTTAAAATTGTTGTTATATGTTGCATACAGTAATCCCTTATTGAAGTCTTTCCTTCTTCATTTCATCAAATTACAGTACTCCTCCCGGAATTAACGTAGCTTCGAAACATTGAATTTGAAAAAATATAACTGTTTCAAAATTGTTCCAACTTTGTCTGAAACTCAACTTCATTTGAACATAGCATCTTTTGTTATTTCTCGAAACGTTTTAGTCTTAAAATTATCTCTATATATATTGACTGCCGTAATCCCTTATCAAAGATTTCATTTTGTCAAATTACAGTACTCCTCCTCTTCAGTCAAAATATTCTACTAGTTTGGATCCCAGATCAATATAATGATGGAGGTACTTGGAAAGCAAAAGGTGTTGGCCATGATGCGTCTGAATGGAGCCGGACAGGTACGGTAGCTTAAGCAAGCCTGAGAACGGTACTGTAGCAAACCTAAATGGCTGAGTATTTATGAACTAACTAGTCTGGAGGTACTGTAGTTCAAGCAAACCTACACATCTAACAGTGGTACAATCTTACTGTAGCTGTGAAAGACGATTAGAATACGTAAAAATTTAGCCCTTGGTATCTAGGTTCAATTTTGAGCTTTTTGAACTTTAAGAACTATCATCAGAACTTAAGAATTTGATACATTTCCTTTGCAGCTCACTGGCTTCCCATTCGAGACTCCATCCTCTTCCACGACATCAATCACCACACCCACAACCATCATTCATCCACCAGCTACTCCAATAACAATGTCATCTTGTCTTCTGCCATCATCCGCATACATGAAACCATCTCCACCATCAGAAATCTCATCCCCAACACCCTCATCCTCATCCCTAGAGAAAAAAGAGTGTGCAGTTTGTAAGAATCCAAATTCCAGTGGATACCATTTCGGATGCATCGCCTGTGCCGCGTGTTCAGCATTCTTTCGGCGTACTGTAGTTTTGTCGAGACGGTATTACTGTAGAAGGGATCCGATTGGCAATTCGTTGTGTCCATTGGATAGACGTGAGTGTTAGGGTTCGGGACCAAAAAAAAATAAAAAAATCAAATTTTTTCTTCAAGATTGCCAAGATAATTAGCGAAATTGGCTTATCATATCTGATAGTGAGTCAATGAACATACGCGGCAAGCTCTAGATTATCAAAATTGTGTTTTTAATTTTACAAAAAAAAAAAATTTTTAAAGCAGTAAAAAAATTATGATTTTTCGAATTTTGTGGTCAGAAGGAATTTCCTTGAAATTTCCATTATTTTAATCTGAATTTCTGAATTTCTGAATTTAAAAAAATGTGATTAATTTTTTAAAATTTTCCTTTGATAATTTTTGAAAATATTATGAGCATTGCAATAGTTATTTCTTACGAATCACCTGAAATCTTCTTTCAAAATTTGAAAAAAAATTCTGAAACATTTTTTTTTCAATTTTTTTCAAATTTTTATCTTTTCTAGATTCTATGTAGATGTTCAAAAATTATGTACAATTTTCCATTTTTTTTTATTCAAAAAATCCTATATATCAAATGTGTGTACCAGTCTAGCCAAACCACATGGTGTTCCATTTTTCAATTTTCTTCCCCCCTGCCCGTTATTTTTGATTCAATAGAAAAATGGCAATATGATTCAAGACCTTTTTCAATATGTTTCGCTTTTTTCTTTTATTGTCTGTGTCTCGCAATCTCTCGTCTTTTTCCTGAATAGAACACTCTTTGGCCCCGGCTACAGTAATTTCAATTATTTTCTGCCCATTCTCCAATTTTTCTTTCTTTAGTGATCAAAAAACTGAACAAGAAGAAAGGAAGGGGAATGGAAATGTTGCGAAAACCGTTGGAAAATTGCCAGACAGACAGATATTGCAATCAGAACGTAAAGTGATAAGAAAACATGGACAGGAAAAAATTGGTGTCTTATCATAGTAAAAAGTAGAGTACGCAATCTACAAATGTACACCGAATGTTTAGTTTTCAACACAAGAAATATAAAATTATCAAAGAATTAGGCAATGACTGAAAATTCTAGTTCCTGGTTTGTTCTAAAAAAAAGATTTCCGTTCTCATACTATAATTTGATCTGTTTAAATTCAGGAAAAGAAACATTGAAACAGTAAATATTTAGTTTACGGAATTTGAGGGAGAAAATTTCGATAATATTTAAAGGAGGCGAGACAGCAAAAATTTCGGGGGACAGTTCGGGGGACGAAATCGCGCCGCGCTTATGTAGACCATCGGTCGTCAGGCGCCTTCGCGCCCCCGTAGCTCAGCCGGTATCTGCGCTGTACCCCTGAGCTGCCTGCCATGAGTTCAACCCCTCATGGGGGTTCTCTATGCAAAATATCAGGAAAACTTTTTTTTTGGTGTCTGGCCTCCTTTAAGGGATTTTTCGGGTTTGAATGCGGGAAAACTCTTGGAAACTGAAGCTACTGAAAGTGCACGAAAATTGAGACTAGTCAGTTTCGCTGTTTCAGAATTTTGGTTTCTAAAAGTTCCTTCCTCACTTTCGCAGTCCCCCCATGATCCAAGTTTGGTTATAATGCGCTAATCATAGCTCAATTATCTCAGTTCCTACGGGAAATATCGAAAATCTGTCAACTTATCAAATGTTTGTCATAATATGTACTACCAATATTTTATCAGTTGACACATTTTTGATATCTCTATCTCATAGGAACCGAGATAATTGCCTACGGTATAACATACTATAATTTGATTTGTTAAAATTTAGGAAAAAACTTTGAAACAGTAAATGTTTTTGGCATTCTTTATTTTTTCTGGCCAAAAATTGAAGCTGTGGAAGAGGTGGCCGTGGCCGAAGGTCCCACAACGACAACTACCGTAATCTGAAAATATTCTTTCCCATATTGTAGTCTCTATTTTCGTGCAATTTTCCCAGCTTTTCGACAATTAAAACTAGACGAAAAGCTGGGAAAACGACGATATGAATAAGGAAAATGAAAATATTTTTAGGTTGCGGTAATTGTCCTTGTGGGATCTTCGGCCACAGCTACCGGCGTTTCTCTTCTACATCTGTTGTGCCAGAAAAAAGAATGGGTGCCAAAAAAAAACAAGAAATTCAGTAAAAAAGTTTACGGTTTCGATGTTTTTGTTTCTAAATTTTATCGAATCAAATTTTAGTACTATATCCGAAACATCAAAAAAATATGTCTTATTAAAACAATAGAAATTTCTTAGAATTGGATAAATGACAGAAAAAATAAGAAAAAAATCATTTAAAATTTCAAGAAATTAGCTTTTAGGACACCGATCAAACTGCCGAGCATGCCGTTATGTGAGATGCATCGAGCAAGGAATGAATCCCAGCAGTGAGTATAGAGATTTTTACTGTTTCAAAAAATTTTGATTTCCATATTTAATTGATTTTTCTTGTTAACTCATGCAAAAACCTCTTTTCTGTTCTGAGCCAATGTTTTCCGGACTTTCAGTAAACTACTATAATCTCGAAAATTCAAAGAACACAGGGTAACGGCATATGCGTTGGCGCGGCGCCTCATATGGACGACATAGGTACACCGTTTGCGCGATCGAGATCGGGCGTGCCGCGTCCATATTTCGTTTACAATTTCAGGTCGTATTGGGGATGTATATCTCATATATGGATTAGTTCATCTAACTATAGTTGTAATAAGATGTGATTTTGTTCAGATCTTCCAATATCGTTCATTTCCCCCTTCAGATTTTACGGAGTGACCATTTTTCCAGTTTTCGCAGAATGCTCTCACAGCAAGAAAAACTATGAACTTTGTTTTCGATTTATTCGAGTTTCTCGGATTGTTTTTCTACTTTTACTTCGTAATAATCGGAAAACTTACCAACCAACCTTCATTCCACCTGAAAAGTATATTATTCCGCTTATTCCGAAGTAAAACAGAAAATCCTGATTTCGAGAAAAATCGGATTTTGTAACAAATTTTACCGATTTCTTTACAAAAAATAGGTTGTATTTTAGTTGGATATAATTTTTACAAGTGAAAACAGTGAGAAGTTCTTTGAACGCAGGAAATATGATCAATATGATCGAAAAATGATCAAGAAAAATTTTGCTAAACAAGGCGCACTAGCGTAATAACGGAGTGTCGTTGGTGGGTTGTCGTTTTCATGGGAAAAGCGTGCATGCTATATGGATGCTATATGGGTGCGACCAACGGCGACCAGTCGTGCCCAGCGCCGACGCATATAGCGCGCACGCGCGACCCACGGAATTATTATGGGCACACATAGCATCCTATATGCGCGCCTAGGCATATACCATGCGCAGCTGTTACCCTGTGTAATTGTTTTTTTGCTGTTTCAGAATTTTTTCCATCCGATTTAAATTACTATTTCCATCCGATTTACATTACACAAAGTTCCATCCGATTTACATTACTATTGAAGCAATAAAGCCTGCCGGTCAAGAAAAATTATTTTGGGGAATGGCTCAAATCTGAATAGTACCCAACTTATATTTTTCAGGCGTTCAAAACCTGCGAGACTCAATAAAACCGCGCTCTCCAACATCCTCAGACTCGGTTCAAGAGGAGGAGGAGGACAAAAAAGACGATCACTTATTTTCAGCTGCCACTCCCGGCAGCTGGATTTCAAGTTCTAGTGCAGAAACATTGCCATGTGTTCCAAAGGGTGAGTCAGTCCTTTTATGATTTCTTTATTTTTTGAATGCTCATTTNTGGTTTGAAACCAATAAAACNTATTGCAACTATCTGCTTGCCAAGTTAATCAACATTTGAACTTTTTTTAAAATTTCAACTATAAATCTTCAACTAATGAATACAGTGCGTTGCAAGTTTATAGGTCCACCCTATTTTTTGACTGCCACGAGAGAACTGTCAACGTCTTCATATTGGGTATTAAAAAATCGGATTCAGGATCCAAAATTACATATGTCAGCCAAACTTCAAAATGTTATCTGAAAAAGTACACGAGTTATGGACCCTTTTCGAAAAATCAGCCTTTTGCAACAGTTGCACATTTATAGGTCCACTTCAAGATTTTTGCTCAAAATGCAAAATTACGGACAATTAATCACTTGGGTGTTTATCAGCAGTAGTAATAACCTCATTAACGTTACTCGGGATGTACTGGGTGGTCCGGAACCTGAACTTCAGATCCGAATCGGATCATTCGGCACCGATCGCATTCCTGACCACCCCGCCGGTTCTGACTTTCTGCAATGGTGGTGAAAACTCACCCTACACGTTCTCCGGAAAATTCCGACCAGGAGAGATGGCTAGCGATGGTAGAACTTTGTTTTTTTCCGGGTCGGAACCGTGCTAAATGAATCAAGTGAGGCGGAGGAAAACGTCTTCTCACTGGGGAAGGATCTTACAATGATGGAATCGACGACGGAAACGGAGGACGTCATTCTTGAACACTTTTTGATATTTCCCGAAGTTTAGACGACAAGGGAGAAGTGTCATCTTGAGATATCCCTCCAAAGGGAAAGCACACCACGCAAGAAGGATTTCCCCCACCCAACTGTTGCAAAAGGCTGATTTTTCGAAAAGGGTCCATAACTCGTGTACTTTTTCAGATATCATTTTGAAATTTGGCAGACATATGTACCGTAAAACCTCTAATAGAACGACACCCGGATCGTCCACTTTGAGCCTATATATCTCATTTTCTGTGAAAGATATCAAAAAGTAGCTAACTAGTAAAATGTTGCTAATATCTTGATAAACATTTTACTAGTTAACCACTTTTTGATATCTTTCACAAGAAATGAGATATATAGGCTCAAAGTGGACGATCCGGGTGTCGTTCTATTAGAGGTTTTACGGTATGCACTTTTTCCAAAAACGCTGATAATTTTTGTCTGAAAGTTTCCAATTTCTTAACCATTGTAAATCTCTCTTCTCTCTGTTTTCTCGCCTCCTGGGAACACCGCTCACATGTACGCCCACGCGTTCTGTTGTTTTCAGCAGCGAGGTGGCTGAGTGGTTGTGGGCGCGTGTTATAAGCAGCTGAAAGTCTTGGGTTCGACTCCTTCGTTTTGAAATTATTTTTTGCTTTTTTCAATGAGATGTCTAAGCACCTATTTTGGGTTCCACATGGTTATTTGTGCGTTTTTTGATTTTTCGCTCATTTTTCAACTTTGAGAAGAAGAAATCATCATTTTTTTTCAATGTAAATTTTTTCGAAATTTTCAAAGTTTTTGACGGGCAAACCCATATGAAATTTTTAATGAAATCTTTTCTGTTCGAAATTTCTCAATTTTTGTATGGCATGGGTTTCTGTGAGGTCTATTCAGTTTTTCATTGGGTTTATACACTTTTTTGGCCCAAATTACATCGAAAAACAATGAATACTTGTAACGGGCCGGGCCTGTCATTCCACAAGTTTTGAAAATTTTAAAAAACACATAAGGGGGGACCGTTATGTGATTTTTTTTCGAGTTTTTAAATATTTTTTGATCAAACAGACAAACAATCCAAAAACACAAAAAAAAACAGAGAAAAGAGAGATTTACAATGTTTAAGAAATTGGAAACTTTCAGACAAAAATTTTCAGCATTTTTGGAAAAAGTGCATATACAGATTTTGACAGGGGCTTTTTTGAGCGGGTCATCTAACCCCTGTCAAAAATTAAGAAAATTCTGAAAGCCTTTCTAAAACGACCTCCCTTGTAAGACTATTGAATAGTTGTTTTTTTTTCCATCAGGTGTGACTATGATTTCTTCATGATGCAGTATGTCACAAATTGATACTAAACTTGGTTGTATTCAAATGCTGAAGTCCAAACTACACACAAGCACGTGATCATGACACAGAGTGGTCTTGGATTAGATTAGATAGGTCGAATTGGACGACCGAGTAGTCCATATGCTCAAACCACTATTCACCTTGACGACTTGACTAAATAGACGTCAAAGAATCGCTTTATTCAAAAACAGTGTTCAATTTTCAACAAATTCAGATGTTTTACAAATGCGACGGTTGTTGATAATACCACATGTGTCCTTCTGTTGTCATATTTCCGAATGTTTGTGGAATAACGTCAGAAGTGGATTCCTGCGACGACTGAGACGACGTTGATGGGGCTGACGGGCTCACTGAGTATTTTCCGAGTCCTGGAACCAGTTGAGCATCAGAATCAGTTCTGATGTTTTGATTGGAAGAGGAATGCAAAGGAGTATTGCGAAGTTCTTCTTCAAGTTGTGCAATGTGGAAAATCAAACGTTGCAAAAATTTGATTTTTCACATTGACCCGGAATTCTCACTTATTGGAACATTGTGGGTGCTGTTTGCTGAACTGATTGGATAGCTTTTTCAACTTCATCCAACTTTGTCATGTGGAGCTCTGAGCAAAAAGTGTCCCGACCTAATCACGTTCATATGCTCTTTGGAAGAGATTGTAGTGCTGAAAAAAGAATTTAAAATTTAGAGATTCGAATTAAAAAATTAAACTCACTGTGTGGGTTGTTGAAAGTGGCATACATTAGGATTCCGTAGGCATTCAAAAAGAATAAAAAAGAATCACAGAAGCATAATTTTAGAAAAATATAGAGGAATAATTTTCCGACGTCCATGCAGAAGGTCGTCCGGAAAAATACTGGAGGAGAGGAAGGGATTACATGAGAGGGTGAATGAATGGTATTAATGGGAATCCGGCGGTATTTATAGGCACACTTGAGGGGGCGGAGTCGATTCCAGATGGGTCTGCCTTCCCCTATTCATTGTTTTATGGCTGTAAAGTAGACTTTTATGGTGGTGATTGTTGGTTTTATGACAGTATTTTTGAATACTTTCCAGAAGAAATGTCTATTTTGACGAGATGAAATTGATTGAGCAAAAATAATATGTATTCGAGATAATCAACTAATTGTAAGATTTCGGGCAGGGTTTCCATGCGGGTAGCGGTAAACTCGCCCGTACCCGCAGCTACCCGTATCCGATCGTGCCCGTACCCGCTTGATACCCGGAACTTTTTGTGTTTGCAGACAATGCGCGCAACTTACCGATAATTTGCGCGCATTCGAAAGCTTCATCAAATTTGTCCATTTTTACTGATTGGTGAATTTTTATACCTGAATTATTTTTTATTTTCACTTTAAAACTTTTTTCGACATCAATAAGCGACAAAAATTGTCAACAAATCATTAAAACAATATTTCAATCGAAGTGTCGGCAAGTTGCGCGCATTGTCATCAAACACAAAAAGTTCCGGGTAGCAAGCGGGCGGGTAGCGGGCGGGTACGGGTACAGGCGGGTAGCAGCTACCCGTTCGCTACCCGCCCGTCATGGAAAGCCTAATTTCGGGAATAAGTATGAAGAGAATAAAATCATATTTTTTCGGCTACAGCCATTCTCACCATTTTCTAACCTAAAATATAAATTTTCTAATCAAGTTTTGGGGAATTTTTTTCAAAGAAGGCACTCATCTTATTTTTATTTGAAGTTCCAGTGAAAATATTAAAACGATTCTTTCATTTTTGAGGTTCTCTAGTATTACAGTGCAATATAAAGATAGAGAATATCCAGAGAAATCAAAACAAGAACTGTCTAAAATCCAAACATTCAAAACATTCAGACGCCCATTCAGAAAGTATTCAGAGTGTTTCCAACTTTTAAATAGTAATGCGAATTTCAAAAATTCCAAATTTTTCAGAAAATGGGAGTTTCGAAATTTAAAAGACTTTTTTAATTTTTAATAACCTGAACTTCGAATTTTTAGAATTTTCGGGCTTTAGCATTTTTAGAATTTAGAATTTTTGAAAATTGTAGTTTCAAAATATTCCATTTTTCGATAATCGAAGTTTTTGGTATTCTCGAAATTTTTGGAACGTCCCGAACTTTTAAGAGCGGAACTTCAAATTTTCTGAATTTAACCGAAAATTTTCGGAAGATCTGAATACCATAATTCCTCTAATGGCTTCAAATAGCCCATGGGCTTTTATTTTTCAACGATTTGTTTTCAAAAATGTTTTTTTAGCTTGTACATAATGGATTCTAAATCCAAATATTTAAACTAACTGATTTTCAAAATGGGATGGAGAAAACTAGGCCAATCGAAATGTGTTTTCAGTACTTTGATGTTGTTTAAAACCAAAATATTTACACATGTCTTTAAAATGAAAATGTGAATATAATTTTTCAACGAATTTGACCGAAAATTTAGTTCTAATGTAAGGGATAGTACTCAATGTCTGTTGTTCTTTTTCATAAACTTTTTTGACACTTTTCGCCCAAACCGACCTCTACCTCTCCTGTATCTCATCAAATACCATCAATTCTCCCGGGAAGAATCCAAAATCATTCTCCCAAAAATATTACTACCATGAACACGAATATTACTCAACAGTACTATCATAGAGTCAACAATACCACCATAAAAGGAAGGAATAGGAACAAAGTCTACAGAAGTTCTGAAAGTCTACAGAAGTACAGAACTACAATAAAAGATTACGTTATAGCCATAGGTGAAGACAGCCCACCTGGAATTGACTCCGCCCCTCGAATGTCCCTATAAATACCGCCGGATGTCCATCATTAGTATTCATTTCCCCTCTTATGTGATTCTCTTCTCCTCTTAATATTTTTACTGACGACCTCCTGCATGGACGTCTGAAAAATACTCCCCTTTATTTTTCTGAAATTATTTTCCTTGTGTATTCCATTCGAAGTCATCTCCACCAGAAGTCCCAAATTCCAAGAAACTACTAATGGTACAAGCGGTAAGAAGAGTTTATTCTTTATTTTTTTCTGAATATGTTTTCCTACAGATGTTTCCTCATCTAATCGGTAATCCTGAATCTGCAAACAGCATCATCAGAAACGCCTTCACACACTTCTTGCCCGATCACAAGCCGCACAACTCTCCTGACCGTCACAGAACAATTTACAAGCATGTATTGGAAGGGATGGTCAAAAAAGGACATTCGCCGTATCTTAGCCAATTTGCGGTCAAAAAACTGGCGAAATTCGCTGAAGTGTGTCCAAAGAGAGTGAGTTGTAAGGAAACAATAACTGAGTTTTTAAAATTAATGCAGATCATCAACTGGTTCGTCAGTGGGAGACATGAACTAAAAAACAGAATAAGGTTCGGTTTTCGCCCGCTCGGTCTTCGAGCGAAACGTTCTGAAACAGATTCAGTAGTCATTAAGCTACTTGATGAGGGCGTTCGATTGTACGAGAGTGACGTTGAAAAGTTGTATCGCTTTGGAATTCCAGACGAGGAAAAGATTACAAGATCTGGAGAAGAGGTTGCCCCGTTCATGAAAGTTCTGGTTTATGTGTACCACAAATTAACCTCTATCGATAAGAATGCAATGATAGGTCGATCCGAAGCGATGTTACTGTCAAAAACGTTGGATCTTAGTGGCCCAGAAAAGGTAAGCATTGTGAAAAAGTTTTCGGATGAAATTTTGAAATATTTCAGGTTACTGAAGGTGAAAATGATTTTGTTGCTTTCTTAAACTTCCAAAAATAAACTTCTCCTATTCATCCTCACTTCCATTCGCCACAAATTTTTGGATGAATGAAACTTGGACTCTCCCGTTTCAATATAATATACATTTACTAGAAAAAACTGGTGAAACTAGTAGCTTTTCTCTCAACCCTATAGGTTTGTTTCACAATTCATTCTGATTCAATTTTTGAGGTCTTCTCGTAACTGAGACCGTACTTTTTTTCGTCCCGTAGGGATTGCACTTTTAGAGATTTCATTTTTTAGATATTTATTTTTCAAAACTCTTGTCTCTTCGTATGCGGGTTTAGACTTTTTCGGAAGTTTAATCTTTTATTTTTTATATTTCATAAGTCTCTTCATGAGTGAACTTTTCGGAGATGTTATCTTGTCTTTTAATATTTCACAATTATTCATGGATTCAGAATTTGAAGAGGGATCTGGAACGAAGGTGCTAACACTGAGGGGGTTCATTTCAAAATTATTCATGATTAATGGATTCTGAATTTAGAATTTGAAGAGGGATCTGGAACGGAGGTACTATTACTAACACTGAGGGGTTTTTGAGCAAATAATACACATGAAGGGGGGCGGGGCGTTGTTAATACAGAAAAATATATAAAATAAAATAAATAATAAAAGTGACTTTTAATAAATAATAAAAGTGACTTTGAGAAAGGTTTTTGAATTTCGCTTTTGAAATTTTCTTGTGGAGGTGGAGGAAACATATATGTTTGGAGCAAAGCAAAACGGGGGGTGGTTATTGCTAAAACCAGCCACGTTCGTTTTTGGAATGATTGAAAAACACTCGTAAGGTTTGTCAGTTCTAGAAAAATTTTATTTATTTACTGCAGTAATCCAAAAGCAAACTTGCAACAATGGCCTACAACAACCGCTACATCTACAACACCGTCGAACTTCGACGCGAGGTTATGCGAGAGATGTTCTAAGCCGAAAAGAAAGTGAGACAGTGAGCGAACTTTGTAACCGAAGACATAGCTTCAAGACGAAATCACTGGAGTGTCGAGCCCAAACGGCAAAGATGGTCGGAGACAAAGATGGTCGCAGCCGCCACAATCATTAACAAGTACAACGAGAAATTTAAAGTCAACAAACTGTTAATGAAGAGATCAACGGACAATGGATTCATCGACGAGCGCCATTTTCTACGGGTAATGGCTAAGAACGAAATCAAAACCACCTGCTCGAGAAAATAATCAAGGAGACGGCACAGAATGTTCGGGGCAATGGCAGAAGTCATCCGAATTGAGAAAGACACTGCAGGAAAGGGTCTAATCTCTCTCTCTCTCTCGCCACTTCGGTTGTCATTCTGAACTAATGGTGCCCAAGGAGGCAGCTAATCAAGTGAATTCCTTTCACCACAGAAAAGGGTGTGGTCATAGGGAACGGCAGATCTCTCTCTCTCTCTCTCTCTCTCTCTCTCTCTCTCTCTCTCTCTCTCTCTCTCTCTCTCTCTCCCTCTCCCTCTCTCTCTCTCTCTCTCTCTCTCTCTCTCTCCACACAAAAAAACCACCTACCACACAAAAAGACCACCTACTTGAAGTCTTTGTGAAACTCAATATCCATATCTCTCTCTCTCCTAATTCTAGACGTTCCAGAGCAAAGAGAAGCTTATCGTCTCCAGAAGCTTATCGATTGAGAAGAACAACTACTTCGAACCCTGAACTAACAACGACGAAGAAGCCGACATCGAAAATGTCGTTTGCTCCACGCTCTACAAAGAAAAATGAAAATTATTTTATTACAAAGTATTATGTTTTTGGTAAATTAAGTACATTTTAATTAGAAAGTGAAAAAACACACAACCCCAAGAATTATATATTAACGAACGACGTCATTTCCATAGTGGGAGAACAAAATCGCAGTTTGCGAAAACCGCTTGGGCATGTATTTCCTCGCGGCTCAATTTGAATATGTCCTGAAAAAACAACATTAGAATCTTCTAGAACTTGTTTCAACTCACCTCTTCGATATTCTTTAGCATCCTCCTCCTGAGATTTTTCCTTTTTCTACTTTCCTTGGTACCCTTCTTCTTTTCCGAGATCTCTGGCTCAAAGATATGATGAGTGGGGACAATGAAGAACTTGGCCAGTCGAGTTCCATGAACTGGATCCTCCGCCGCCAGGGTGACGAGTTCCAGATGTCCTTGAAGCTTTTCTGTAGGTCTTGGCTCGAAATGCGGGATGGTGTCACAGTAGGCAACGAATGTGGCTCTGAAAGTTATTCAGGTTTTCATTAAGGCTGTCAAAAAATCATTAGAACTCACTGGATATACAATTTCTCTCTTCCGGATCCATTGTTTTTCTTCAAGTCATTCATCTCTACTGTGAAGACTTTGATCAGTGCCTCATCAATCGTCATTTTGAGATCCTCGGCCAAAAATTCATTCATCCTGATGTCCCATTTATGATGAATGAATAGCTGCTGATTTCGATTGATGAATCCTTCATATTGTTCTTCTCGTTCCTTTTTGGGAGTGTTGAAATATTCTTTCACCTCGTCGATCGTCCAGGTGGTTTCTGGGTTGTAAGCTGGAGCGGCACGGAAAGGCAAAAATCGTTGCAAAAGGGTGTAGAAATTGGCACGGTCCTGAACATTTGCAACTTTTGAAAAACATTTTTTTTCAAGGTGCTCACCTCAGGGTTCGTCATTATCTCCTGGTAGGTGGAGAAGGCAAAGTAGATTCCAGAGACGACAACGGTGATCCTGAAACAGATGATTTCGATTTACTCATTAGTTTTCTAACTCACATTCCATAAAATTTCTCGTCTCGGTGATGGGATGAAATGATCACAGACACCCACTGAGCGACGAGGAAAATAACACCAATAAAGCACACGAGCTCATTATCTCTGCATTTTTGGAATATCTTTCCAGCTTCCCATCCTACTCTCCTTTCGATCTCATAATCGAGGCGGAATCCGAGAAGTGGGCGACGGCTGGAAAATATCATAATCTACACCGTAAACCCTAGAAGGTTCTTCTAAACTCACACTTTGATAAGAGCACTGTTTTCATAAACAGCGCCTGCCCAAAGAACAATCACGAGGACACCAAAAAAGATTGGAAACCAAACATGAAGTGTTTCTTGACAAATGACTCCAACACACGTCCAAGAAGCTGCCAGTTTGTTCCATCCGGCAGTGAACGGAATCAGAACAAATACAGCTACTCCAATAACCGATACAATGAATCTTGGCCAAATCCGAACACATAATGATTTGTTTCCATTGATATCCCGCTCCCATTCGTTTAGATGAACACAACGAAGCACTTGGTTCACATTGAATCCCTCTAGTAGCCATTGAACCATTGCTGAAAATTTTAGAATGGAGTTGCTATAAGTTATGATGTAGTTACCTTGAACGTAGAAGAAATGGATTGCAATGAAAGTGAAGCGGCATTGAATAAGTGGAATTGCGAGAAGAGTTGGGTTACTGTAGAGAGTGATGAGAGCATTTGCACACAGTATGCACACCCATCGGAATGTTTGGTGCGTGGATTGTGCATCCTGAAACAGAAGCAAGTTTTCAGAATAACGAGAAGAAACTCACAAAGCCTCCATCTCCTTTTGGTAGTCCCATAACACAAATTTTAAGAAATCGGAATATTCCATCGCCAACCGTAATCGTGGCTCCAACAGCGGACGAGAAGCCAATGTCACCGTCATACTTCTCATCTAGTGCTTCATCACAATGGTCTCCAGTGTATCCCCACTTACAATCACACCACATGTGCCCCATCTCACTCATACAAGTACCATGGTCCCCACATACGGTCGAATTGCAGTTGTTAACGGTTCTCCAACAAGTGGACATCTGGAATATGGAAATGTCAAATTTCTGTTTAGATTTGCTTACCGAGTAAGGCTCTTTGCAAATACATTGATAGCCTTTCACTTCCTGGTTTGTCTCATTCAAGACTGTCTGACATTCCTTGGTTCCTCTTTTGTAGCAGGATTTACAATTCGGAACGATATCGTTGATGGTATCTTTCAGTTGTCTTTCTGTTGCTGATTCCTCACAATCAATGTTCGTTGGGTTTGGATACATCGCTCCAAGAGTGTTGCAAGTGACAGTTGTGCTCTTCTGATTTCCATAAATGCAAGTGACAGTACCAGATCTTCTGGGTTCCAGAGTTCCTGCCGTCTGTTTGAAGTTGTTGTAGAATTCGTAGGCCTGGAAGATCTTTTCCACATCACAATCCATCATATTACAGTATTCTGAAAATTAGCTCTTCCATTTTAATTCCTAGAACAAATCATACTTACGCGGCATCACACAGAGCGCAGAGATATTCGTGAACAACTGGGATATTCCAATGGTTTCACAATTGGCGAGCTAACGAGTGACTGGTTGTAAATACTGTAGACCGACGCTTTCTTCAAAAATCTCTCATCTTTTGCTCCAATTCCATTCGCATAAATCCAATCAACATTCTGAAGTGCAGCACTCTCTTGAATCAATTTGATATCCGAGTTGTCTTTGATTTTGTCCAGTGAAGCCAGCGTTTGTCGATCGATTGTTTTACAGTAAGCCAGAGCTGACTGGTAAGAAACGAGTCGAGGGAACAATCGGAAGCAATACGATGTTCCAACGAGATAACCATCCGGGCATTGTTGGGAGCAGAGGGGATCGGTGGTGGTACTTTTGGGTGTGGAGGTCTGTCTGGAAACTGTCGAGGGGATTGGAGTTGTAGACTTTGTAAAAGTGGAGGTCGTGGAAGACTTCAGTGTCTCTTTTGACAACGTGGTTTTAAATGAGCTTGGATTTTCCGTACTTGACTTTTGAGAAATGGTTTTTGTAATTTCCGAAACGGGTTTCGGCATAGATGATGTTTTTGGGGTCGATAGAGTGGAAGTGATTTTTGGAGAAGTCTCTGATATCGAAGAAGATGTTGCTGGGAAAGCTTCCGTAGACTTCGGAAGCTCGCTTGTGATCTCTGGTTGTTTTGAAGTGGTTTGAGTTGTTCCATCATCCAGCATTGTCGGTGGATCTTCCGAAGTAGAAGATTTTTGGAATATGGAAGTAGTGGAATCAGTTGTAGTTGGATAGGACGTTGAGGATTCTGTGGAAATAAGCATGTCGGAAGTAGTGGGGGATGTTGTGGATGGTTGAGGTTTACCAAAAGAAGTTGAGCTCTTTTCTTCAGTTAAAGGAGATTCCCTAGTAGTTGACTGGGTAGTTGATGTTGATCCACCTGTGCTTGGCTCGACTTTCGGAGCCGTTGACAATCCCACTGTTGCTTCAGTGGTTGTGGTTTGCAATTTGGCACTTTCAGTGATCGGTGTGCTTTGTGTTGTGGTGAGCTCAGAAACTGATGACGAAGAAGCTGTCGAATGATCCGTCTCGGCTGATTCTGATGTTCCAGAAGTCGTCACGGAAGAAGAAGATGAAGGAATGAACGTTGAGGAACTTGAAGTTCCAGTAGTCCCCGAAGACGTCACAGATGAACTTGAGGATCTGGACGGTGCCGTTGAGGAACTTGTAAATTCGGTGATGGATGATGAGACGGATGTGCTCCTCGCTCCAGTCGTTGTATTCTCAGAGTTTCCTGGTGTAGTTTTGAGTGATTTTGGAGAGGTTCTCGTTTCGGTATCTGGAGTTTCAGCAGTTGTTATGCTTGGAGATCCAACACTACTCGTTTCCATTGTAATCTGTATTATAGAACTTGTTCTTTTAGAACCAACAGAAGACGTAGAAGATGTGGCAGGTAAGAGAGTGCTATGAGATTCAGAGGTGGTTTCTGATTCAAATGTCGTTGTTGGAAATGCATTTGGTTCCGTCGTTGTAATTTTAGAAAACGGTTCTGAGCTTTCAGAAGAGCTAGATATATCTTCAGTTGGAGTGCTCGTGAGTTTTGATGCCGTCGGGGTGATAATAATTGAGCTGCTAGATGAGGTGCGCTCAGAAGATGCTGGCGAAGTATCTTCAGAAAATGAGAAACCCGTTGATGTCTTGAAATTTTCAGTGGTGATTCGTTCAGATGACGTGACAACTGGATCGTTGCTAGAAGTTACCGATGTTTTCGGGAGGCTGGTCGAATCAGTTCCAGAAAACGTGGAAGCTTCAGGCGACTTCGATGATGTAGCAGAAATCTTGTTTGTAGTGGGTTTTGTAGTTGAAGATGGTTTCACGTCATGTGTTCCAGCTTTGGTTGATGGGGATGTACTGGATGAAGATGAAGATGAGGCGGAGGTTAGAGCTGGAGAAGTGGAAGCAAGAGAAGTGAAGGAAGATGTCGCTGAAGATGAAGAAATTTCTGGAGTAGTCTGGGTTGAGGTAGACGAGGATTCTGTGGAGCCAGATGAGGATCCGGTAGAGTCCAACGATGATCTAGTTCTTGTTGATGAGGATCTTGACGAGGAAGTTTCGGAAGACTCATGAGAAATGGTAGGCGTCTGAATATTTTTCGACGCGGTCTTCGAAGGAATTGGTGTCGTCGACTTCTCTTGCGATGCGGTGGAGGTCGAACTTGTTGTCGACGAAGTGAATGATGAGGACACCTGTGATTTAGATGACGTCGAATCAGAAGAAGTTGGAATCTTCGATGTGCTTGTACCAGACGATGTTGAACTTTTTGGAGTTTTCAGAGAAGTGGAACTATCAGAAGCAGACGTCGTGGTGGTGGAAGCTGGTGAGACGGTAGTCGATTTTAGAGGTGTTGTCGGTAAGATTTTTGTGCTTGTAGTGGACTCTGAGCACACGTAGATTGTGACACCATCCAGTACAGTAATCCCAGGTTTCAGCAAACCCCAAATGTCTTCAGTCGCTGGAATTATAGTTGTTGTAGTTGAACTGGATGAGGAGGAAGAGGTCGATTCTTAAGAATTGAAAAGGTTAGTAGAAGGCTGATATTTGTTGACTTACCATCGTAGACATTAGAAGCATTCTGGACTGCAGATGAAGCAGAGTCTTAAAATTTAAAAAATTATTGTTTAATGATTTAAATATGGTCGTATGTATTATTCACCTGAACTCGAACTAGAAAAAAGTATCCCAAGAAGCAGAATAGTCAAAAAACTCATTTCGGAGGAGAAAATGAATTGAAAAGAAAGTTGGAAAAAGTGGCTCTCCTGGCCGAAAAGTTGGGTATCCCTGGCAAGTTGCCAAGTAACCACTGGCAGTTTGAGAAAAGTTTGTGAGCCGAGACGGCCTTTTTTACTTTTTTGAAGTAGGATTTTTTTTTTCTCGAAAAGTGGGAAGAAAGCTAGTAAACAAAAGTGACATCAGCATTTAGACTAGCCGGATGATGTGGTGGTATTGACAGTTGAGGGAGTAGAAGAATTATGTCTGCGAGTTGTTTGATTACCGTAGTTGGCTGATGTTGTTTCAAGGATGCTAGGAGTCGTTGAAAATTGATGAGAAGATGAGGTCGGAGTTTTCGCAGCAGATAGTTCTGGAATGAATCGATAACCAACAACAAATGCTTGAAATACAAGATACTAACCAGTAACTTTATTTGGAGGTTCATTTTCCTCAGAACTTGATGTTTTGGAACTCGAGTCATTGGGTTTCGGGTCCGGTTGGCAATTTTTAGTATGGACTCCATTAGCGCATCGAGGATTCTTGTCTAAAAATGATTTTTGATCATTCTGGAAGTTAGACACAAAGAAGCTACAGTACTGGTCAAAAATTTTAAGTAATATTGAATCTAGCAAGCTGTCGCAGAGAAAAATCCGAACTGCAAGACCAAGTTTGATATACCGTAAAATTTCTGGGTAAAGCAGGTTTAAAACACATGTTTAAATCAAAGGGTTTAAACCACAACTTTAAAGGAGGGCAGACAGCAAAAATTTCGGGGAAAATTTCAGGGAATGTGTATTTTGCCGTCGCGGTGTTCGCACCTAAAGCACGCAATCCCACGCGCAAACATTTTTATTTTTTTATTTCCCGACTTTATTTTTTTCGATTTTTAACGACTTCAAACATTAAAAAAGCTCTTTTTCTTATTTATTATAAAACCCATATAAAAGTGAATTTTTTATGTAAATTTAAAGTTCTATCGACCGATTATTTTGCCAGTCGCCGGTGTTTTTTATAGGCATGCGAAAAGAACTATTTTCTCTTCGATAACCGTTTCTTCACTGTTCCTATTTATCTCATTACTTCTCGTTATTACTCTAGGAATAAAAAACTGTTTTATGACTGGGGTTTTCAGAGACGTCTCCATTTTTACTGCTTCCTTCACCTTCCGACGACCAGCCCTGCACGAGGATTGTTTTAATTGTGTGGTTTTTTTTTCAATTGTTATGTCTCTTTCTAAAAATTAATTGTAGTTTTTTTCATAATTTATTTGTTAACATAATAAAACAAGTTTCTCCATTTTCAACTGATTTTGGTACCTCGGAGCGAGGCCTCGGCGGCACGCTGGTAGCCCTTCAGAAATTCCGAGTTCAAAAAGTTCAATCCGAAGGAAACAAGGGAAGAAAAAAGTAAAAACACCAGCAGGGATTGAACCCCTGACCTCCTGAATACTAGCCTAGAGCGTACCCACTACACTACGCGTGTAAGAGGCGACCATCGCGTTTTTCACATTATGAAGCGACGCCGCAGCAGCAAGCTAGTGAAGAAATTAGGGTGACAAAAAAGAGCATTTTTTCGTCCTTGAAGTGTTTTTTTCAGGTTTTTAAGTACATAGCTATATTTATACTTCAGAGTTATATCTTTTCAGTAAAAATTAAAATTTTGAAATTTTTGATGTCTACCCTCCTTTAAAGCCTAATTTGCTATTTTCAAAATTTTAAATCAGAAGTTCGCTCAAAAATCTTCCAAAGACATTGAAATCATTGAGTGCAATTGTAATATATATTTAGAGCATTCTTATTTGACCAGTACCCAGTACTGTAGTTTTCTGAGCAAGACAATAAACATAAAAATACCTGCATTGCTGAAAGTAATCGCAAAAACTACGAGTACGATAATCGAAGAAAACCGCATCCTGGGATGAAGTTTAGACTTTAGAATGCCGAGTGAGCCTTTAGGAAAGAGGCGGGAGTGTCGTTTTAAAAAAGAGTCACTTGACTAGTAACCACTAACAACAGTCTATATGTACTGAGAAGCGAGGGGAGGATGATAGATTTATGGGTACTGTTGCCATTTGACAAGTTTGATGGATTTACGAGGTGAGACTGGGGACTTTTTTTTTGGCTCTTTTCTTGTTTAGGGGTGCCGAGAAAATTAAGGATTCAAAGGTACCACCAAATAGTAAAAAGAAAACAAAGAAAAAGGCGAGAACAAAATGAAAAATGAAGCAATGACATGTTTCAAATTAGCGTGAAACTTATTTGGCATCAATTACGGTACGATTCGGAAATCGGGAACGCTTCAACAGATCCCTCCTCGCACATGTCATTTTTCAAAACACTTCTTCCAGTTGTTCCATTGCTTTGTAGGATTTGTTGAAATCATCTGACCGATGTGCCTCCCTCCCCACCAGAGATGTCCGGAATGAATTTTCAGAAAACAGAAAAGTTCTAAAAACACATATTGTGCTTTATTTTTGAATTTTTAGTAGCGGAAGTTCAAAAAAATCAGAGAATTCTTGAAAACTAGCAAATATGTTTAAAATCCGGAATAAAAAATTTTCTCGGAATCCGGAATCCGGAATCCAGAAAAAAAAATTTTCTCGGAATCCGGAATCCGGAATGAAAAAAAGCACGGAATCTGGAAACCGGACATCTCTGCTCCCCACCCCAGAATAAGAGAACGTTATGTTCCCTCGAATCCCTTTTGTCAGCCCCAGTCACGCAGCAGGTGACGAGTTTTCGTGTAGCGACTCTAATGTAAACAAAATGAGAGTTTTTAGACAGTGGATAAAGTAAAGAGACGTAGAGAAAGTTTAAATTGTCCGGATTCCGAATTCCGGATTCCGGGAAAATTATTTTATTCCGGATACAGGATTCCGTTTCTCAAAAAATTAATTCCTGACAGCACCAATACGAAGTCCTGTTCACAGGAAACTCGGAAACAGACCATGTTTTCCACGAGCATTCTGAAGAAGCAATCCTAAAATTGTGAGTTATTATTTTTAAACAGTTATGGAAGTATCGTTCTTTACAGGGCTGCAATGCTGGGAAAAGTTCCAAGAGACGCTGTAGAAAATCAACCGAGACGAGCTCCGCAAAATAAAAGCTGCCGAGAAGAAGGTCAGATTGAAAGCAGAACAGAACCTTCTTCTGGAGAAGAAGCTTGAAAAAGAAGCCAAAGGCCGATTTCGATTTTGTATAAGGGGGCTAACCTATGTCTAATAAAGTATAGAAGATTTTTAAAGGGTAATGAAGTTCTTCATTCTCAAAAATATAAAACCTACACAATAAAACATCATTATTCACAAGAAGAAATAAAAATCAAACAAAAAAGGAATCATTACGATAAATCAGTAGTTATAATTCACTTGAACAGTCATTCTCCCATCTATTCCATCTCCTCTTTGGTTCTCATCGGCATAGGTACACTGTGGCTCTTCACAAGCGAATCGTACCATTCCGTTGGATGTATAAGCCTCTGACCGTGCCACGAGTTTCTTCATAACCTCATCTGCGTTTTTCCCGGATTTTCAAACTGCTACTGGGAATTTTTGAAGGAATTGTTTGAATAGCTCTGGCACTTTCCTCTGGCTCCATCGATATTTGAGTTGGAAAAGCAAAATCCATTAACTTTTATTATCGAACCAATCATGACTGAATTCTTTGACTCCGCGTGGAACATTTGTCCTTTGAATGATAATCTGATGCTTCTCAATGACATTCTGATTGAATCCAAAACTTGCGCAATTGATAAACGTATGAAAATTATCCAGAGGTCTGATGATTTCAGTTTCGTCTTCGGCGAAATGTCTGTGTGGATTCGAAAACATGATTCGGATTGCCACATGACGGTTCGAGTCATTTGAGATCATCATTCTATTCTTTTGACTGAACATGTATGGAGCATTAAATACCATACAATTCTGATCTCTCCGAGACCGCCGGAGTAGCTTGCAGATTCTTCTGCTTCAACGTTGTCTATGAATTCGGTTTTGATGACTCGGAGGCCTGAAAGTTGGAAAATGTTTCATTTGCTAATAAAAGAGTAGATGAATTGTCTATCTATCTGATATAAATGTTCTGGTATCTTACCGTTGCATGTGCCATCGCATACATTTTCACATCAATGGATCTTTCATAAACATTTTTGTTGGCTGCATTCCAGATGACTTTTGTGATTGGGATATGGCACTCATGTTTTGAATCGACATTGTGAGCTGCAGAGATGAGGGATGTCGCGAACTGGTTGAAGTTGGCCGGTCCCACGTTCCAACTAACGTTTGTGCAGTATCCTTGAACCCAATGGAATGTTACAGTATTCACATAAATCGACTCATCCTCCTTCTGCTCGAATTCAATCAATGGGATCTTCGCTTCTTTGATATCGTTCTGATTCGGTCAATAATTATGTTGATGGTACTTTTTTTTTTGTGTTCATCGCACAATTCGTCCAATATTCATATGGAATTGCGTATATCCCAAAAATTATGGAATCTACCGGTTCAGCAACTTGAGAAAATGACACAATTCAGGTCCCGGAATTCTAAATTTCAAGGGTTTAGTTCAGGGCTGGGCGAGCAATCGGCTTTCGTCGGAAACGAATTGCAAAACACGCGCAAAACGAGATTAAAGGCGCACGCAATTTTGCCGATGTGTCTGGCCACGTAAAAATGGCGTGGAAAATAAATCTGGAATTTTGAACAATTTTATTAAAAATCGCTTTAAAAATGCAAAATTTATTTTTTACGTGTCGAGACCCGTCGGCAAAATTGCGTGCGCCTTTAATCTCGTTTTGCAAAACAAGGGCGGAAAATTTGCAAAACGTGAAGGGTTTTCTCCCTTCCTCGCCCACCCCTGGTTTAGTTTCCAATCGGAGAATTTCAAAAAAAAAACCTCACTTTTTTATATAAAAAAAATAGTACAAAATCCATTGATTTTTAGGATTTCTAGTAGCTAGTAGAATATGTCGAGAATATGTAGAAAAATCAACAAGGAGTTCCCCAAAAAAATCCATTCACTCATAGGATTTTTGGAGAACTCCCGAGAATATGTAGACGTCTATTCAGTCAAGTCGTCATGAGGAGAGAATGAATACTAATGGTTGGTATCTGGAGGGGGGCGGAGTCTTCAAGGTCCATCCAGGTGGGGCTGTACAGTGTCCCAGTGGACTGTCTTCACCCATTTACAGTGTCATTTAATATCACAGTCTCATTTTTGTTGTTTTATGACAGAAAACTTGACAAATTCAATAGATAAGAAGGACATTTTTCCCTGAGGGAATTTTCATTTTGACAAGGTTCAGGAGACGATTGTGTAGAAAAATCTCAAACTAGGAGACACATCTATCTGTTTTATAACCTTTCTGGAAACATCATATATCGTAAACACTCGAATAGGACGCCACCCGGACCGTCCACTTTGAGCCTAAATATCTCACTTTTTTGAAAGATATCAAAAAGTTGTCAACTAATAAAATATTTCTCACGATATCAACAACAGTTTATTTGCCAACCACTTTTTTATATCTCTCACAGAAAATAAGATACCTGGGCTCAAATTTGACGATTCTGGTGGCGTTCTATTAGAGTGTTTACGGTATTCTTCGACCACATTTTTTGTGCCTTCAAAAACTTTGAAACATTCACCGGAGTCTATTCTGCATACCTATTTTTCTTTACTTGAAATTACTTTAACTCGATAAATAACCAATGCACATATAAGTACATGTGAGAAATTATTCGGCGGAAATGTGATTATATCCTTATCGGTGTGAAATTTGTGATCCTTAGATTTCGTTAAATTGAACAATTGATTTGAAGAGAGCCTCTAAAACGACCCGAAAAAAATAGAGAGATAACACCTGAAAAGATAAAGACGACAAAACACCGTTTTACGAGACATACCAAATTTATTCACCTTTTCTTATGCCTACACACTGGCTCTTTATTAGAACCTTGTCTGCCAAGCCAATACAATATAATTTTGTGAGGAAAAAATAGCATCAACACAGTACGAAAAAGAAGCAACAGAATCATAATTTTAGAAGAAGAATTTGATCCCCAAACCGGGCGCGTCCTTGGTCGTGTCGAGAGTTAGATGTGCAGGTTACAGTAGTCTTCAAATTGGCAGGCGATTCAAATATGGCGTCGTGGATGGTGTAGGCAAGAAGACGAATACGGCTGACTCAAAAGTATAGAAAACAAGGAGAATGATAAAGGCATGTATTTAATAAGAGAAAAGTCGTGAATAAGTGATAATTAATCTCTTGAATTCGCGACACTGTCAGGGCCCGACTCTTTTCCATCTTTGTTTTAGTCTTTCTTCTATTAGCACTAATTGTCCAACCTTCGGTATAGTGTTCGTGTAATGTTTTCTCTTTGCTTTTGCTTCTTTCAATTGGGTTAGATACATTGTCTCCCATTGCAGCCATAGATGGTTCATGTGCTTGTTGAAATTAGACAAATGTAACCTTGTCTCCTTCTCTGTTGTTCCCATCTTTTCGTCTATTTCCTGGTTACCCGGATCATGTAAGATTCCCAGCTTCACTTCTGGATTTATGAAATCAACTGGTCTGATCACTTCTCCATCGTTGGGACCTTCTGGATTGTGGCTGATAGGTCTGGAATTGACAATGCCTTCAATTTCTGTGATGATGGTAAATAGTTGGACGTAATTAAAATGGGCAGTATCTCCTGAAGCATACAGTAGTTTCTTCACAATGCCAATAATCCTTTCATATACTCCTCCTTTCGAAGGGCTCAGTGGCGTGATGAAGTTCCATTCTATTGGATGTTGGTCCAAAAAGTTTGTGAAAGCGTCACCTTCCTCTGCCCACTTTTTTATATCGTTACTGAACATTTGGCTTCCTAGAACAAAACACTTGGCATTATCCAACACTAATGATTCGAATTGGATGGAATTTTGCAATTCCTTCTGTAAATAGACTGCCACATTTGTTGCCATTGCAAGTGCCAACAGACGCTCACCATTTTTCAATGGTTTCACTCTTGATTTAGACATTCATAGGTAAAATGCGAACGGGTCCGTTACGGACGCTTCGCGTTCGCGCGCGGTTGAAATAGGAACCGCATACGGACCGCACGCGAACCGTTTTCAGTAAATAGCAGTACATTATTCGGATTGATCCGTATCCTGTCCGTTCGCGAGCTCCGTATCCGATCCGATTGCGAATCATGACCAAATGGATCCGTTTGCGAACTCAATAAAACATTTGATTGTACATGCATTCAAATTGGGTACATGCATTCAAATTGGCGCCAAGTTCTCTTGGGCGCGTTGCGACTTGGCTCGGTGCCAACCCCTTGAGTGCGACAAAGCGCGTTTGTTGGATGCTACCGGTCGCAATCCCGTGCTGATTCTTTTACACGTGGCACGTTTGTCTCCACATATCCGATTTCCTCTGCCGGCTTTCTTTACTCCTCTCTTTTTCAGAATCGTTTGCAGGTCCTTTTAAGTTCCGAAGCGGGCCCATTGACTCGAAGCGTCACATCAATTGACACTTCTATACTCGATTTGAAAGACTTCTTCTGCAGAGGTAATGTCATTGTTTGTCTGCCGCTCCGATTTTCCCTGAAATTTCAGAGTCTATTTCTTAACCAATTCGTCGACAAATGCTGTCGAATGTATTCATATTTTCTCAATGGAATTTTGGGCATGACCCGTGCTTCTTTCTCACTTTTCTTCCCTTTTTGTGGATGAATTTCCTCAATTAGAAATACTTACAAGTTCCTTCTCATGCTCCTTCATGTTGCGGGCCCGTTCTGAATCATCTGTTTCTGCTGTCGTCTCCCTTTCGTTCTGAATTGCTCTAGACTGAACTGGGTTTTGATTTTATTCACCTTTCATAAACCAAAAGAACAGTATTAGGAAGAATTCTTACTAGCATTGTCAATTTGTGAAAACAATGGAGATCATACGATACAGTATTACTATAAAATTTAATTAGAGATGAATCTGTTGGATTTTGGTGACCCCGATCTCTGCCTGGAGCTTTGATTCGTCTCTCACCACCACAATTCGGCCTCTGCCTTCTGGTTGCTCGCTCTGCCCGAATCAACAAATTTTCTGCAATAATCTTGTATAGTCTTAGCCCTCATTTCATGTTTCATTGACTAAGCTTACCTTTCTGTTTCTGCCACAAACTCTTCCAACTTCTGTTGAATCATTGAAGCGAGCTTGTCGTTTCACTTTGTATACTCCGTCATCTCGTGTTCACAAGGAACTTGTCCGGTCTACTCTCTGATTTTCCACAACATCTGACATGTTCCCATGACTTGAAGATGTGGAAACGATTCTGACACGTTCCATCTCCAGCATCTGCGACATGGCACACTCTGGCAATTGCAATTTTCGGCCTCCTTCATTCATCCACATCCGAAACATTTTCTTCGCCCAAACAGTCGCTTACTGAACAAAAATCGGTTTTCATACGGGATGGAGCAGTCCTCTGTTTTATGAGCGGTCAGTGGCATCCCTGCCAATGATTCCTCACAGGTGAGGCAGCGTCGTCTATCTTGTCTGAGGCCTGCAACTCCGTGAGATCGACGCATTTTGACCACGATCGCTGCAAGCGCTGGGTAGTCGAGAAATTGCTTCATGAGTGACCATTCTTCTGCAGATATTTCCCTTTCGATAATCAAGCTTCTGAAATTTTGCTTGTCCGTAAATCTAGATTCGACAATTTCCGCCAGTTCTTTCTCTTTCTCCTCTTCCTCCTTATCCTTATCTTCGTCACCTAATTTCTTGAACCAATTGGAGAATCGAAAGACTGCTTCATCCTTCATTTCTCTACGAGTTTTCCATTCAGTCGGGGACTGTGCACCGATATGTTTTGCTGTCACTGCATCAGCATTTGATGGCTTCATCTGCAACTCATCAGTGTTTGATGAATCGTTTCGCTCTTGTTCCTCTGACCATACTGATTCGAGCTTCGAGGGATCTGAATGTGGAAAATATGAGGTTTTATATCGATTTCATATGGCAGTTGCAGTATTGTAACACGGTCGTCAGGTATACTGACTTTTTTTGTCATAAGATATGCTACGTTGGGGACTTCATAGGAAACACTTACTATGAGCTAGAGTAGTGTTTGAAGCCTTGATCACTTTGCCCTCAGCGGCTCCTCCCATCTTCTTGATTTCAGACAGCTGGTCTTCGTCCTCAGTTCCTGCTTCCTTCAGCTGCTCACTTTTGTGAGTTTCTTTCGTGGATTAAACGCCTCTTGTGCTCTGCCGTTTGCCACGTTTTCAAGATTTGCCAGATTTGCCTGGCTCTGTGACCGGGTTTGCTTGTGCGACTGGTTCTCCATCTGCCGCCTGACCATCATAATTATGGTATATGAATACGTTCCAGAGCGATTCCTCATTTCGAATTCGACGTTGTTCGAGGACTGTAATTCGAAATTATGATAACGGCTGTTGTTATAAGCTTGATAGATTTTAATCTCTTCTTTTTAAGTGTCGCTGGTAAAATTTCTTAATGAGAAGGGCTCTTTCTCTTTTTCGCAGTTTCGGCCTTTTCTTTTCTTCTTTGCCACTGTTCTCTGCTATTCTCTTCTCTGCCACTACTCCTGAGCTCTTCCGTAGAGCCTTTCCTAGATGTCGAAGACGTGTCATTCGCTCTCTTGCTGAAAAACCGATAATTAATACTTCCCGATACTCTCATAGGTTTTTCGACAATTAATTAACGAATTCCCAAACACATGGGTTGTGACAGAACGACGACTAGAAGATAATCAAGAAAGAGAACGCAACCGTGACGCATGCGTAGCAACACATTGCGCGGTCCCAACACGTGTCATTTAGTTGCGCATTGCATGCACATGCGCTGCGTCTCTCTCCTTTAGATGGTCCCTCGTCTGTCTCTGTCTCTTCCCATCTCGTTATGTTTCTCCCTTCCTACTCCACCTCTCTCTTGTGAACACGCATCGTTGTACTCTCTAGTCATTAATGACTTAATTTCGAAATCATACCGTATAAACGGTTTGGAAGCCACAGTACAACGTATTTTTACATTTTTTATTCGAGTTACAACGGGGACTAAGAAAAAGGAGAAAAAAAATATATATAAAGAGAGACAACAATGGGGAATGGGTCTCGACATAATAAAGTGTTTTAACATGGATTCTCTGCCGGCCTGCATCCTTCGTCTTTTAGACGTCAAACGTGGCTTCACAGAGGTAAGTGAGGTGCTCAAGCTGGCATCAGGCCTGTGCGCCAACAAAAGAATTTCGGCAACTCAGCAATTGGCGAAAAAAAATTTCGGCAAAATCGGCAACTTTCGGCAATTTTCGGCAACAAAAGTGTTGTGTCTTTTCTAGTGAAATCGTTGCGTAACTCGCCTGAAAATGGTCCAATCAGGCTCAAAACTACAGAAAATAGTGTGTCATGAGTTCCTTAACAAGTAATTATAAAAAATCTTAACTCAGGACAACATTTTCCATGCTCACTGCTTCTGCCTAGCAGACGGCACCCTGCGATGGCAAGTTGAGAGGAAAAAAAAGTCGGTGGGCGCGCCAAGCACGCGTGGCGTGTCATGCGGCACATTGGCTCCTTTCATGCAACACGGTAGATTTTCAACTGAATCCTTTTATCTTCGTCTATAAAATTTTTCTTCTTCGTTTTTCAAAAATGTAACGACTACGAATTGTAGAAAAAGTCTTTGGCTTTCCGAAAAATGTAAAATCATATGATTTGATGAAATACGGGCTGTGTTATTAGCTCTCAAACGTTTAGTTCCTTGTTTTTCATGATTTTCTCGATGTTTTCACTCGTAACTCAAGTAGTTCTCCTGAAACTTGATGTATTACATCACTATAATACCTTATTCACAAATGAAAATCCTCTCATGACCGTTAAATTCTAAATAAACCGTCAAAACCACCTGAAATGCTTTGAGAGCTAATAACACAGCCCGTATTCTATCAAATTATATGATTTTACATTTTTCTGAAAGCCAAAGACCTTTTCTACAATTCGTAGTCGTTACATGTTTGAAAAACGAAAAAGAAAACTTTTTAGACGAAGATAAAAGGTGATTCAGTTGAAAATTTACCGTGTTGCATGAAAGGGCCAAGGTTCCGCATGACACGCCACGCGTGCTTGGCGCGCCCATCGACTTTTTTTTCCTCTCAACTTGCCATCGCAGGGTGCCGTGTAGCATGCGAGAGTATTCCAATCGTTTAAGATACCTGTTCTCCTATGATCACAATTTGGAAGCCCATTTGTAGAACCTATTGTCGGAATTATAAAATTGTCAACTCGGTGTCTGCAGACTCCTCTGGTAATCGGTTTCTAACTAGATTTGAGTAATTTTCCAACCAGATTCGGGAAAATTCCGGAGCAGAAATGGCTAGATCTGGTTGGAAAATTAGCCGAATCTGGTTGTACTTTCCCCAGACCTGGTCGGAAAATACGAGCGGAGCGTCGTAGTGCGCGTTGTTTAGTGAACCCGTATTTTGAAATTTCCCGTACCGTAAAAAGCATTTAAAAATAACTTTATTAAGAAATCAGTAAAAATATAACAAGGAAATGACACGAGAAAACCGGAAGAAATTTGAGGCACCCAAAAAAACATGAATAACTAGAAAGATGGCGAATTTGGTCAAAAATTTAGGAGCCATAAAAATGTTTATAGTTGCCGGATTTCACATTGAATACCCTCTGTCGGTGTTGAGAGGCGAGTTTGGAGAGGATGTAGGCGAGTTTGGAGAGGGTGTAGGCGAGTTTTGTTCGTAGACCATTGGCGTACCGGGTTCATCCATGATTTTGTTCTTCGATTTTTTATTGACTTTTGGTGCGTTCTCGCTGAAAATGTGCATTAAAAAAAGGGAACTAGGCTTAGGCTCAGACTTAAATTAGTGTTCACCCAAAAACTCACAACATATATTACTCTCGTCCGAAATCAATGCACGTTGCGGCCGGGAAAACACCGGTGGGCGGAGTTTTTTTTTAAACTATAGGTGGAGGGTACAAAATGAAAGATACTGGGACAATGTTCAAATTAAATGCTTTAATTTTTACATGAATTCGAGGAAGTTTCTTGCAAATATGTAGGCATTCCTTCGCTTTTGGAGTTCTTCTATATGTGTATCTTATTAGAAATTTCCATCATCTTCAAAATTCAAGCAGATTCAACGTTTTGCATCACAAACGATTATAGCAGAGGGTTTTCAAGGAGTGGACTGTATGGATTTGCAAGACCTTCTGAAAATAAGATTTGATGAACTACTTGAAAAAACGTTTCTTACTTTGTAAAAACTTTTCAGAATGTTATCCAACTTCATATCAGGCTTGTCGCATAGGTTGTGAGGAATAGTGATAACTGAAAAAAAATCTCTGAAGATTAGGTTTTCCATGACGGGCGGGTAGCGAACGGGTAGCTGCTACCTGCCCGTACCCGTACCCGCCAGCTACCCGCCCGCTTGCTACCCGGAACTTTTTGTGTTTGCAGACAATGCGCGCAACTTGCCGACACTTCGATTAAAATTTTTTTTAAATGATTTTTTGACGGTTTTTGTCGCTTATTGATGTAGAAAACAGTTTCAAAGTTAAAACAAAAAAATTCAGGTATAAAAATTCACCAATCAGTAAAAATGGACAAATTTGTTTCGGATGAAGCTTTCGAATGCGCGCGAATTATCGGTAACGCGAATTATCGGTAAGTTGCGCGCATTGTCTGCAAACACAAAAACTTCCGGGTAGCAAGCGGGTACGGGTACGGGCGGGTACGGGTAGCTGCGGGTACGGGTGGGTATATCGCTACCCGCGTGGAAACCCTACTGAAGATTGTTTTTGAAAGCCCATTCCGTAACAGACCCGTTCGCATTTTACCTGTTGTGAGAGAGTGGTTAGTCACTTGGTCACAGCAGGGTGTCCCGACAGAGTTTTGTATGTGTGGCAGACCTACCATATTTGGGGGTGCGGCATTACCCTGCTTAAGGGAGAGTGTGTATGTAGCATCTACCAAGGGACTGCCTGCCTCACAGCTCTTTCTAATCCTTTATAAACAGAGAGAAACGGTAACGAAGATAACGAACAAGATTTGCGAATAAACTACAATTTATTCGCTCAAACAAGGCAACACAAAGAGAGAAACCTAGAAATCTTCAGTACAGTCACCTACTCGTGAACCGCGCTCTCAGAAAAAGGAATCAAAAGCTTAAAAAATGAAACCTAATCAGATATTGACACGGTCACCTGCTCGTGCACCGGTCACTCCAAAGGAAGGACGAGCAATCGTCCAAAGAAACCAGATAAAAGGATCTATCCCAGCAGGGTGTCCCGAAAGGGTGGTGGATGTGTGGCAGAATAGACATATTGGGGGAGGACAAGACTTTGTGTGTGGCAGCAGTAGCATAACCTTCTACTGATAGAGAGTCTATTAGAAACTGACAGGTTTGCGTTGTTTGATGTTCTAACCAGATATGTATCCGTAACAATTTTTACAGTCAGAGCATGCAATCTTGCTGTTTTAGAAGGACTTATCAAGAGCTAATGAGGAAAATCGATATCGTCCACACGAAGTTCCCTTCAGCCCCCACATTCCGGACCAACTACGAAACGTCAAACTAGAATCACCACATTATCCATCTACACCGTCTCGTAAGAGACCACAGCAAGTAGACTTACGAGGTTCAAACCAACCTCAAGAAGTATCACCATCTATCCTTATTTCAGCATCTCTTGACGGATCCATCAAAAACGGAAAATTAGATATATTATCGGCCGGAAGAGCTCTTCACACTGCCTATCAATCTGGTCAATATGGGATTCCAGAAGATGTGGAATCTTTCCTAACTAAACATTCGCTAGACGTTCCACTCCCGAAACTTCCGCAATCAGTTTTTACAGGATTGACCCCAGAGGCTGGAGCTCTTCTCCATGGATATGGAATTGTTGTATGTTTTATTTGAAAGTTTAAAAAAGTACAATATAACGCTTCAGGCTCAGCTGTCGCTTAACGCTGTTCAAAAACTTCTCAGCGAGCAAAAATCGACCCAGAAAATATCCGGAGAACAATTGCTTGGAATTTCCGATGCTCCGTTTGCGGTTAAACTAAGATGTAATTATCCGGATTTCCCTCCCTTTTCGGTAAGCCAGAGAGACGATAATAAAAACTAATTTGCATTTCAAGGAAGCCAGATTGACATGGACTCCATCCCGCTGATGGATGCGTCTTTCCCAACACACGTACGACTTCAGAACTATTTATTCGACATTCTAGGAAAGTCATGCACTGTTCAGACGGATATTCAGCGTTTTTGGCTCATTCCAGGAGAGAGGAAGATGTCATACGGAACACCGTCTCCGTTCCCGAAGGAACTATACGATAACCTCTACAGTAAGCTGACAATGAATGAAAACGAGCCAATATCCATCTTTCAGAGTTGTTTCTCGAATTTTTTCAACTCGATGATCAATTGTTCGACGAATCAGAATATCGGTCAGAGTTCGGAAATTCGAGATTGTTGAAGAACTATGCCACCGAAGAGGCTAAAAAGAAGAAATTCGTTCAAGTTTCGTCTGCTAAAAAATCGTTCAAAACTAATACGTTTCGAGCTCAATTTAAAAATGCTCTGTAAGTTATCTGTAATCTTTTCATTTAACAAATGAATTATTTTCAGCAAAGAGCTTCGTCTAGGAACATTCATAATTGCCGATGGATCTTCACAAGGATACTTCGCAAGAAGAAAAGTGAGTTTCCATCCAATTTGTTTCGAAAATAATCTTTAACATTCTTTCAGAGACACATTGCCAAGAGCAAGGCCCACGAAGCTGTAGAAGAGGAGGAGGAATCTTAATGTCGTCGCCATCTTCAACACAATCTGCGCAATATTCTTTACATTTTTGAATTTTCTCATCGTTGTTTTTTTGTTGTTGTTGCATTCCTAATCAAATAAACTGTTTGATTTAAGAAAAATCGATAAAATTCACCCGATTTCGAGAAAAAATTCAAATAACGGCACACATGAGCACGGATACGGCACGGCAACGGCACGCAAAATGCATGCGTGCCCCGACCCCCCGGGCACGATTACCTCGTTGCAGCGGCTCCGGTGCCCCAAGTAGCGGCACTTGTGCCAAAAATTTGCTGAGAAGAAAAGCGTTTTCCGATACGAGAAATGCAATAATTCGAAACTCTTCTAGAAAATTCTAAAAATTTTTCACAAAAAGATTTCAAAAATTCTTGACCATAATATATTCCAGCTGAAAATGAAGAATTTTTAAGAAATTAGGAAAAAAACGAGAAAAAAGATTGCGAAACGCAGGGAAATTCGTATTTGGCTGCGCATGCATAAACGTTTGATCCTCAGCCAACGACGCTTTTCGTGGCGAGACGCACTGCCTCGTGTAATCCTCTCGGAGGATTTCGGCAATAAAAAAATTTCTGGAAGTCGAAAAAACGAAGAAATACTGGTAAAATTGATTAATTTTCACAAGAAAAATTACTGAATATTGTCTGCGCTGGCGAAAAATCGCTCTCATTGCTTTCTTGTTATGTTTACACTTTTCTTGCGGCCGATTTCTTCTATTTGATAATTTACTTTACACATAAGTGCTACTTACACGTTTGTATTTCATATATTTTTCAGTTTTCCAATGCCTGCGGCCCAAATTCATCTCACTTTGAGTTCACCTACATTCTTCAGCCTACGGCTCAACTGGAAAATTCGTTTTTGGCTCAATTCACTACTTTCAAAATGCATAGTAGATATCTCAAAGGGAATGAGATTGAGGAACTTATTTCCGATAATAAGTGAGTGGGGACAAGACCGATAAAGGAGATAAAAATTCAAAATTCAGGTTTGCGGAAGCTGAAGAGATTGATATTGTGCACTTGTTGAAGTTCAAAAATGAGAGGAGTCTTCTTATCAAAATTCCGAGTAGATTATGCGAGAAGAATCCTGTCGATAATTTCGTCTGGTAACAAAGAAAAACCAAGACGGAAAAACAAAGAAAACAAAGAAAAACCAAGACGGAACTGTAGCGTTCAGACACCAGCCGAGATATACGAAAATTGAACTGTTCGGAAATTTTGTTCTGTCCATGAAATGCACTGACCTGAACGATATTTTCGTTCATAAACAGGTTTGACACCCTTCCGAGAGTTAAAATGTATCATTGAATTGCAGGTGTTCGAGTATCTTGACTACACGTATTCATACTACTTCACCAGTTCATCTGGCAACATTCACATCTGTGATGCACCTTTTCGAAAAAACTAGATAGTACGTTAACATACTTACTTTGTTTTTTTTTTAATTTTTTTTTCAGAAGTTTCAAAGGAGCACATCAAAACTACCATCTTGCCAATGCGCTCTTACACATGCTTTGAAAATCGCAAATACTTCTGGAATCAGTGTCACTCGAAAACAACTGGCGAACATTGCTCGTGGTATTGAGAACGTGTTTTAAACAAAAACTGGACCTCGTTCAAAGACTTCTCTGGCGATGGTGCGAGAACTGACTATAGCCTATCCAGACACATTATGGTTCGAGCACAGTGAGAATACTTCATCTAAGGCTGAACAAAGATTTATCTTCGATCAGAAAACAACAATCTGCTCACCGACATCACGTTTGTTCTTTCAAAGAGAATTTTTCTACACAGTTGCCCAACTCAAGATCAATGGAATGACTGGCTAATAAAAGTAGACAGCATCAAAAATGGTAGCGATGCTTTCAGGAAAAGTGAAATCAAACGTATTTTGAGTCAAAATCCAACTGGAGTGATTTTCCCGTCCCGTCTCAATGTTGATGTCCCTTTCAACTTGGGGGATGTTTATGTTACCGTACTGATGGGAGAAACGAAAACTTTTAAGACCCTGTCTTCGAAGAAACCGCGGGTTCTACCTTTAGGATACATGCTTCATGCTACGAAATCAGCACACAATCATCAAAAGTTCGCCACTTTTCTGAAGGAGACTTTCGATAAATTACAAATCCCATCACAACCAAGACATATTCCATGTATAGTTCTTGACGGAGAATTGGCACTCGAGAATTGAGCATGGTGGAAAACGAGCTGTTGAGATTGCAAAGCCCTATTTATTTGGGAAGATTGTTTGGAAACTCGTTTTTAATTCTTTCTGAAACTTTTTTTCCAGATGAATGGCAAATGGAAGACTGGATTAATGGGTGTTTTTGATGAACTGACATTCGACCGTCGTTTGAAATGTTTCGAGTCACGAATTGATCCAAAAATTGTTGATTGGATCGAAAAGAATAAAAAAATGCTCCTTGAATCGTGTTCAGCGATTGCGAAAACACCACATTCCCCTCTCAGCGCCTCCGTTCTGTACACACACTCTAACATTGATATTTCAGATCGTCCCGCCAGCTCCTAGAATGCCATCACATCATCGTCCAGCAGCTCCGCCCCACACCCACGGGAACGATCTAGATAAATATCCCCCCTCTCGTCTATTCAAGGCCTTTTATCTTGTTTTAGATGTCTTATTATTGTTGCTGGTCTCAGACCAGTTAAATAAACCATTTGTTAAATCTACCCAAAGCGTTGAACCTTCACTGGCAGCAGCGAGTGGCTGAATTTTTTTCCATTTTCAGCAAATACGATCCACCGGTCGCTTTTGGGGATATAACACTGGTTTAGGTAATAAGACCCCGGTTTGAGCGGCTGCCCGGGTTAGTTTGTATCGCGTCTCCCCTCGGACAACACGGATGCATCTAGGTTCACGGTTTTCAGGATGATATCATCAGGTTCGGTGTAAGGCAAATTTTCAGAATTTCGGGTTCGGCCAAACCCATCTTCAGGAGTTTGCAGGTTTTCTCTCTTTTCTAATCAGTTATCGCACTGCCAGCAGCCCCAAAATGGTCAAGGTAGGAATGGTAGGCCCGTTTACTTGGGAGGTAAGCGACTAGCCCAAAACACAGGAGATGGTTAGAGAACGTTCGCCTCCTCTTTGGGTAGTAAGTAAGGTCCAGGCAGCAACAATAGGTATTTTTTTTGCGTGCCCGAATTGTCTGCTCGATTTGCAAAGAGAGTGTTTATTCTTTCCGTGTTTTCGGCCACCCTGTCCTCGACAGCTTCGAGTCGGTCAATCGAGAGTGAAGCGATCTCTTCGAGTTTCTGGTGGACGGATTGCAGGTCTGAGACCACGCATTGTTTGACGGAGGCGACCGTGTTCATCGCGGTCGCCACCTCAAAGATGATTTGTTCGGTCATTCTGGAAAATGAGTCTAAGACTGAGGTTCTAACATTGGGTACGGCCGTTTCGCTTAAATCGAGAGAATGGAACGCTTCGAAAAAAAATAAGGAGAGAAGGAAAACTGTGGGGAAAAGAGGGGAAACAGAACTGTTACCTAAGAAGAAGGGGGTTGAGAGTAAAAATAAATATTCGACGGGGGACAAGGACGTTTGTCTGAGTGCGGCTTCTGGCCCAATGTAACAATGTGACTCATGATAAGAAGTGACGCTACGAAACTGTTGTTGCAGAGTTTATACTTTTTGTGATGCTAGCCTGAGAACCGAAAAGAACTTTCTTTTGAACCGAAGAGTAAGGATTTTAACCGAAAATTACCTATTGTTGCTGCCTGGGCCTTACTTACTACTCAAAGAGGAGGCGAACGTTCTCTAACCATCTCCTGTGTTTTGGGCTAGTCGCTTACCTCCCAAGTAAACGGGCCTACCATTCCTACCTTGACTATTTTGGGGCTGCTGGCAGTGCGATAACTGATTAGAAAAGAGAGAAAACCTGCAAACCCCTGAAGCTACCATTCAAGTCGACGAGGCCTCCCAACTTCCACTCTACGCGCTCGCCGGCTTGGCGCTCACGTTCCGAAGAGCCCGCGTGGCACTGGTAGGCGACGTAAGACAACTACCGCCCTTCGAAGACGCGGACCTCCCGAAAGACCTAGCGGATTTCGCCATCAGCAGAGTTCTCCAAACAGCAGCCAGAACAGGAGCCCTGCCCGTCATCAATATCACCGTCGGCCGCCGATGTCCACCACTAGTGACCCAGCTATACAACGAGTTGTTCTACAACCAGGAGCTATCGTCAGTTTGGTCGCCAGCCAAGGAAGCAGATCTCAGAGCATTCACAAGCGCTCTCAGGCTGAACGATCACTTCCCAGTTCAGGTCCTGGACCTGCCCTCAAAACACACACAAGTCGGAACCTCTCTAACCAACATCGAAGAGGCAAAAGCTGCCATAAGGATAGACCGCACCATACAAACACGGGTCGGAACCGACGACATCGGCATCCTCTGCTTTTAAAAAGCACAAGCCGGGCAGGTTTCCAGTCTTCTGGTTGAGTTATTGGTAACTACCCGGAGAAGGAGTAACTCATATGGTTACCTCGGTTCATTTTGTAAAGGGTATTAATATCCTTTTAGGGTTATTTTACATTACCATAATATTTCCCCACCAGGTCATAGTCCAAGTTCCGCATTCCCATAGGGAGAGCACAAAGTCCAACACAGTCACGGGTGATAAGAAATCCCAGCGGGAAATCCATTAGATGACACATATAGGCTGAAACACCACATTCCCCTCTCAGCGCCTCCGTTCTGTACACACACTCTAACATTGATATTTCAGATCGTCCCGCCAGCTCCTAGAATGCCATCACATCATCATCCAGCAGCTCCGCCCCACACCCACGGGAACGATCCAGATAAATATCCCCCCTCTCGTCTATTCAAGGCCTTTTATCTTGTTTTAGATGTCTTATTATTGTTGCTGGTCTCAGACCAGTTAAATAAACCATTTGTTAAATCTACCCAAAGCGTTGAACCTTCACTATTTCCACCCTGCAACTAGCATCGAGATTGTGATGCCGAGTTGCTAACTGAGCCTAACTGCTCCTCCAAACTTCTCCCATCCAATCAATTGATTGACTAACAACAGCAACTGAACCTGAATGAGAGCGAACGGCTACTTCTGGAATGTACTAGCCACTGTTTGACTCCTCTTCCTTCTGCTCATGCCGCTGTCTAGCTATTACTGCGGTTTCACCGTTCCCGTTCCTACCGTTAGGCCTGTCTCTTTACTGTCGCCGCGTCCACCTGAATCTCCAAAAGAATATGAAATTCTTCAATTTTGATCTTCTCATCGTCAAGAGGGATTATAAATTGTGATTCTTGTTTTAACAATAATTGGTTTATTTGGAACATAAGAAAATATATAATGCGAACTTCAGAGAGTGAACCTACCAACCAGTGATGACATGTTCGAGTTTGTTCTGTAAAGTAGAATTTTTGTATTGATGTGTGAAACTATAATTAACATACGTTGAACGAGCTCTTTTTGGTTCTGATGAACCATTCCCTCTCCATTCCAACCAATCGTTCGATGAGTTTATCGTGTTCAAAGATGTCGGATTGCTTCATGTTGGCAAGAGCGTTACCATCCATCTCGATTAGTCTTTCCCCAACAGAGCTGAAGACTACAGCATGCAGACTCGTGTCGCCATCGCCGAGGTTGACCTGCAGCTTCACGATCCAACTGAATTGCTCGAGCGTCTTTTCGCATCCGCTGCATTTGAATTGCTCTTTCTTCCGGTTCTTCACCTCCGTGACCTTTTTTGGCATTCAGGACATCCCTTGTAGAACGTATTGTCAAGATCGATTGAGAGAATGGTTGCTTTGGATGCGAAGAGTCCTTCAACGGTTTGGACGTCGTGAAGAGGTTTCGGCACCGCAATTGGTTGGAAACTCTGTTCCACGATGGTGACAGATGATCTTTCGTTGGTGTACCAACTCCACAGTTTATCCACTTGTTCGTTTTCCATGCCGCTGATCGGTATGAAGTAGCTGTGATTGTTCATGGTCAATGAAATGAATCCGTTCTCGGTCTTCTTGACGATCAGTCGCTTTCCGTGCACAACTTTGCCGCTGAACATTTGTGGATTGATCTTCAGAGCTTGGTCTTTCCAGAGCGTGAGTTTCATCATGGTCCCTGATTCGTCAACGAGATGCACATCTCGCTTGGTAACTCGCAGGCCGTTTTTCGTGACGACTTCCTGGATGGATTTTTGAAATTCGGATTACTACTCAAAAGTTTGAAATATTCTGACATTTTAATATGTTTCAAAAAATATTCCAAGTACATGAAATTTTTTGAGCAAATTATAACTTTCAAATGATTTTCTATTGAGTTTCTGAAAGTTATTTTGTTGTTTTTTCTCGTTTTCATTTATTTTGTAAAACTCACTTTTTTCATAAAACATTACGAAATATAGTAATTCCAGGAAAAATATAAATAAAATAAATAGAAAGAGAATATTGAGAAAAATCAAAAGGGAAACTCTACAAAATCCATTCATTAATAAGATTTTTTGGAGAATTCCCGAAAACATTTAGACGTCTATTCAGCCAAGTCGTCAAAAAAGAAAAATGATGGTTATGTTCGTACCAGCCAGAGGGGACGAAAAAAATGACTCATTCTGTCTCGCCTGCAGTCTCTAATTCACACCATCTGCTGTGTCATGACCTGTGTCTGTAAACATTTTTCTCGCTATTTTCATGACGAATTTCTGAATGGGCGTCTAAATGTTTTGGATTATTGGACTTTGGACAGTTCATGGTAAGTGCCTTCTTTGGAATATTTTCCCCAAAACTTGATCCACCTTGTTAGGTTAGAAAATAGTTAGAATGGCTGTAGCCAAAGAAATATGACTTCCTTCTCTTCATTCTTATTCGCAAAATCTTAGTTGAGTATCTCGAATACACTGAATTTCCGTTGAGTTCCCATTACCTAGTCAAAATTGACATCTCTCTGGGAAGTATTCAAAAATACTGTCATAAAACTGCCTATTACCGCTATAATAGTCTACTTTACAGCTATAAACTAATTAAGAGGTGAAGGCAGATCCACCTGGAATAGACTCCGCCCCCTCAAGTGTGCCTATAAATACCGCCGGATTCTCATCATCAACATGCATTCACCATCTCATGTAATCTCTTCCTCTCCCCAAGTGTTTTTCCGGACGACCTTCTGCATGGACGTCGGAAACTATTCGTCTTTATTTTCCTGAAAGTACTCAACTTCAACTATGTATCATATTTCTTTTTGAATGTCTACAGAATCCTAGCGTATGCCACTTTTATAGCAACAACACACACAGTGAGTTTAATTTTTTAATTTGCATCTCTAAATTTTAAATTCTTTTTTTTCAGCACTACAATCTCTTCCAAAATGAAACATTGAAATATATGAACGTGATTAGGTCGCTCCACATGACAAAGTTGGATGAAGTTGAAAAAGCTATCCAATCAGTTCAGCAAACAGCACCCACAACGTTCCAATAAGGACATTCAAAAAGAGTAAGTCGAAAAATGTTGAATTCACATTTTCCGGAAAAAAAACATTTAAAAAAAACTTTCAAATTTTCTCTTTCTATTTATTTAAAAACAAGTATCTTTTAGAATGGTAAAGCTGCTGGAATTCGTGGGATCCTCCAATCGAACAAAGAATCCGAATTGCGTTTATCTTTTGAACAAAAGTGACGGACAAGATGGAGCAAGAGTGAGTTATTTAGTTTCTAGCAAGATTTTAGCAAGTCTAGGGCAAATCTATTCAAAAAACAGAATTGTGTTTCCGTCGATTTCAAAATGAATTTCGAAACATCCAGTTTCAGAATGTCCCATGACCTTACAGACCACTTTTGATTTTGATAGTTTTTGTATTTTCCGAGTTCCTTTACTATCTTTTATCCCTGCATTTTTTTTTGCTTTTTGGTCATTTTTTATATATTTTTTTTCAGAATCCGTCATATCACAAACTCAATAATAGAAGTTGATGAGAAGAATGTCATCGTAAGTTATGCGTCTCATGTCCTTGGTCTGACAACTAAGTCAACGCGTGGTCAAAAAAGGAGAAAAAGGAGAGAAGAAAATTTCGACTAAGGAACCGGAGCAATCCTGCAGGATGACGATGGTGATGTGGAAAATCTCGAAGAAGAGAATGTCACTCCGCCGCAAAAAAGAAATGCGCCACCGCACAGAATGAACCAACAAGACCAAGACGTTCAGAATGGCGCTGATTTGCATCGTCGGAAGACTGGGTCACATCATTTAAAAGATGGGCTGCAAATGTTTGCACGAATCCAACAGGCCAATCAAGCAGCTCGGACAGACCATTTATTGCTGCACCAAGTCTTCGGACAGCTTCGACGTGGTGAGAGGGGTTCGAATGCAGCGAATGGTGCGAACGAACACATCGCTGGGAGAGATGGAGAGGATGGCGTGCGTGTTGGAGTAGCTTAACACAATCAGGATGAGGAGATTCTGCCAAAAGCGAGCCGGTAGACAACAATATCTATATCGTCGAAGCTCCAACTGTCCCAAAAGTCGCCAAGCTGGCTCATGGGGTGGCCAATCTGGCGGATGTCTCCGCTTTTCTTCTGCCACAACGCGAGCTGAGCACTAAGTAATTGTTGTCTCGAACCAAGAATTTTATCCCCCAAGCTTTTCGCTCTTTTTTCAACTTTCCCACCACCGACTTTCTTATTGCAGAATCGCATTATGATGCTTGCTTCTCCTCCCACCCTCTTCTCGAACCATTTTCTGTATTCTAATAATGAAATAAAAGGTTTTTCATACATCGTGTTTGTATTCCAACAGAAAAAAGAGTTGCCCAGGCAAGCTACCCCCCAAACCCTTTCTGCAGTTCCCTGTGCGCTTGCAACGACGCTCCGCTGTTCGGCTGATGACAAGCGCGCCAACCGGGTGTGGTTGAATTAGAGTTATTTTTTGAACAGCTGGTTGTGTCAGTTTGGACGATTTAAGTCAGTTTAGAGTTTTGTCTAAAGTATCTTTTGGTGATATTGTTGTTCTTTATTAATTATACGGAATAATAAATATTATTTTTGTATAAAACCGTGTTTTTCTTTGTATTTTGTGTCTGGACCTTAATACCCCGATTAATCGGAGGCAATTTGGGGGCCGAGCCGTTTTTCTGTTTATCCGTTTATCCGTTCTTTTACCCCTTTTTCGTTGTTTTTGTATCAATTCTCCCCAGAGTTTGAAGGAACCAGTGAGAGGATTGTTGTGAAAATTAATAAAGAGAAATCGCGATTAGGTGAAGGCCTATCGTTTTTTTCTCGAAAAATTTAGTGAATTTTGCAAGAATCTCTCCGAGTTTGAAGGAACCGGCAGGAAATTCTTGTAGAATTTGCGAAGAGGAAATTCGTGCAGGTGAAGGCCTACCGAGTTTTCTCGTTTTGTAGGGTGTCGCAATAACTTCTCCTAGTTTGAAGGAACCGGCAGGAAATTATTGTGAAATTGAGCAACGGAAAGTACGATTAGGTGAAGGCCTATCGGAAAGAAAGCAAGGAAGAACGCCGAAAAAACATTCTTTTGAAGTAAAGTGTGTTTTCAGGAATGTCACAACAGTCAAAGAAGAACGCGGAGCATATGGAGTGGGAACAACAGGAGGGAGACGGAGGAAGCAACCGTGGAAGCAAAGGAAGCGCTGAAGAAGGAGGAAAGTGGGGAGACGGGCTGGAACCGGAAAAACAGGATGTGAGCATCTTTTGTTTTTGTGCTTCGATTCTCGTAGATTTAGGAGATACCCCAATGCCCATCCTTCCCAGAGTTTTTCCTCAACTGCATCTAGTTTTTGTAGATGTGCTCTTGTTCTATTTTCCGTTGTTGACCGTTTAGGATCAAGGGGACTTTCATTGGTAGGTAGTTCGAGAGGAACTCCTGGAAGTTGGAAATCGATGGGTCTGAGAGCTACCATATCATTGGTGCTTCTCATGTGTGGGGTTAGTGGACGGCTGTTTATCATGGTTTCAGCACCGGCTAAGACACAGCGGAGTGAGTGGAAGTCTAGGAGGGTCTTACCGAGTTCTTTCTGGAGTTGATGCTTGACCAGTCCGACAATCCGTTCGTAGACTCCGCCCTGCCACGGGGACAGGGGGGTGATGTATATGAAGTCGATCTCTCGGTCTGCCAAGAAGCTCGTTAGAGATTCTGACGGTTCGTGAGTGCGGATGTCTTCGTTGATGAGCTTTTCGCCAAGACGGAAAGTCGCGGCATTGTCGGTATGCTCTTTTGGAGTACTTTTTTATTTTTGAGTCTTTTCTCTCTGTTGTGTATCCTCCTTAGGAGCTACGTAGCAATCATTGTAGCTTTGATTACGGTACTGATTCATGTATTGCATAGCCTCTGCTTCATCTTCGTCACTATCATAGTATCCTTCTTGTAGACGAAGGCCTTTGGGCTCGGTGATTATCTTATCAATGTTTCTCAGGCTCAATTTTTCGAGTAACCCGGTAGCGAGTCTCCCGATGGCAACCTCAACTGAGTTCGAAATTACAGCAGCATTTTTCTCTTCAAGCGCTTTAGTGGATTGATTGATTTCCTGTTTAAAATCGTCCAATGGTGGAGATTGGATGATGTAGCTGCTTGGAGAAGAGAATTGAGGGGAAGCTGGGTTCCTATACATTGTTTCCATCGCTGGATGGTGTTCAATTTCTTGGATCTTGTGGTTCAGGTTCTCAGATACTTCAATGGGAGTACGGTTGGCGAGGGCCAATCTCTCCTGAGCCAGTTGTTTCCTCGCTTTTTCAACTACGGTCTCGTTTTTTGTAGCTACCGCATTATTTGTTTCGATGTACTGAAAGTGTTGAGGTTGTTTCGGCTTTTGTTGATATTCCTGATTTTCCAGTTCCTCCTGCTGCTTTTGCTTGAGCCTTTGGAATTCGGCTTCCTCTTCGTCCATTTGCTCTTGACGCATTTGGATTTCTCTCCGACCTTGAAGAATCTGTTCCAAGATTCTTTTGTTGTCTTCTTCGGAGTTTTGACTGAGTTCCTTCTCAGTGTCTTCTTCAGTGGAGCTTTCTTCTTCGTTGTCTTCCGTCTCGATGAGTTCTTGGAACTCTTGGAAGACGCTTTCCTCATCGAAGTTAGCTGGGCTGAAGATTCTACCATGAGCTTCCGCCTCTTGAGTGATCATGTCGATCTTGTTTCTGACGCTCTTGATGGTACGGTAGATGTCAGCTGTTCTCAAGAGCTCGTTCATCTCAGTGGTTACTGCTTTGGCAGTTGGTTCTTTCAAGAACTCTGGGAGTTTCAGTTTGGACTCTACGAGGCTTGGTAAATTTTGTAGGTTGATGAGGCTTCTCTGGAGTTCAGATCGGTCTCGATCGAGATCGTTGAGCTGTTTATCTCCCAGTGCTGTGTGTTCTTTTCCAGCACGTTCTTCGAAGAACTTGTCGACCTTTTTCATACGTTTCATGGCATCATTCTCGGCCCGTGTTATGGCCGACTTGATTGGTCCGGTGACCGAACGGCCGAGAGTACAGTATCGCTTTGTTGGAGCTACTTTCTTTGGCTTAGCCGATTTAGTTACCGTATTCGACGGCTTTCCGGTGTTGTTATTCTTGAGCATTTCGATAGTTGTTTAGCAAAATGCTGTGAAGTACCCTAGAATTAGGAAGGTTAGGGGAGTAATGATAATCTAAATTGCTCCGCCTATTATAATTTTTTGTATTTTTTGATAGCTGGGTTCCTTGGGAGAATAAGGAAGAAGATTCAGGTTTCTGTCTTACGGTATTCTCTCGAGGATGAGTCTGGAATGCATGGTCGCTTACTCCATGTCCCTTGTTTATATTCTACGTTCAAGCGCTTACTGTAATCATGCGTTGAATCAGAGTGGCGATGGCTACCTGGTGACTCCCAATCCGGCGTTTCCCACTCGAACCGGTTTCATGGTGCCTACCCGATCTACACCGGCGCCTTACCTGGCCGTAGCTCCTCCACCCTTCTACGGAAGCAGATCTTCTTATCTTTCGAAAAGCGAGGGCTACGCTGGCTCAGTTTACAGCAGGCTACCTATAGACCGACGTGACATTCTTACTGGAGGTCTGCAGGATCCCCCGACGTCACGGGTGCATTTGATGTTGAGTTTTTGAGCATATAGTTATACTGCCACCATGATAAAGTATAACTATTCCAGCCATATGTGCTATTGAAATGCTTGTTGATCTTATTAATGTATCACTTTTTCTTTTCTATCTGTTTTAGACGTCTCTAATAGATTTCATAGTGAATAGATAGTTATTAAGCTTCATCATATTTTTTTGTTATTTTGATCCGAAAGCTTCTATGCACCTCTGAAGCTCGTTATCGGCGCACTGATTGGGACTCGATTTTCCTTTGTTATCATTATAAAAATCATTATAATCTTACTATCAGCCCTTCTTCTAGGTCCGATAACCTCCACCTAATAATCATCTATTCTGGTGATACATGTCACTTCTTTTCACATATATGGTGGTGTGGTTAGAAATAATTTTTATACATGTGAATTATCCTGACTTATTTTCAGAATCTATAGTTACTCGATTGTACTTTTATTTGTGTGACTTTATTTGTTCAATGTTATTTTAGATTTTTCATTATCTTTCTCATTTATCGACTTTCTGTGTATAGCATAAATTTATTGATGTGTGAGTTTCTACTATTCGATATCGACTTTTTTTTTGTTTTTAATCTTTCTTCCGATTTGTATAGCATAGATCTGTTTTGGGATTGTATTTTTCTATTTTAATCAATACTCGTTGTTTCATACTCAATATTTATTCGTAGTCAATAGACTAATAAGCAAACATAATTCCGGCCATATGACCAATAATTAAACCATAATACAGATCAATTAATAGCAGCTTGTGGGTACAATTTGATATCGGGGGAAAGGAGGATTAATCGACTCAGCTATCCTTTGAGATCCATTTGGCTAAATTGGTCCAATTTGCGGTTGCCATTTTGATCCAATATTTTGATCCATATGATTCGTACTTGGAAATCGTTCCACTGGTATAGCTTTGGGGACGATGATCGGTGGCTTCGGAATAGTTGCAGGTGGTACCGGAATCTCCCCTTTCTCCTCCGACGAGTGGCTTGCTTGAGCTTTCTGAAAAATTTCGAATTTGTTGATTTTTTCTTTTTTTTTCTTTTCGTGGCTCTTACCTCTGCATCGGAGGTGCACTCTTTGTCTTTTTTTGCTTCAGTATCGGCTGTTGATTTTGAGGAGGAGGAGGTGCCGTTGGTGGATACCTGCAATTTGATGAGTTGTATCGATTGACGAGCTGTTTGGGAAAAGTACCTGAACTTGGGGTTGTTGTGGAATATTGTTTCCAATTTCCCATCCATCGATCAAGTATTCTGTTTGTCCCCAGCCATCTGACGAATTGCTTTCGTCGTACTGAATTCGATGTTTTATGATCGTTTGTCTAATCGGTAGTTTGATCACCAGTTCGTACTCAATCTCAGCTTGGTTGTGGTTACCGTCTTGCTGCAATTGCTTCTTGCGTTCCTCTCGCTCTTCACTTTTCCTGTGTCTAAGACGTTGTCGCTGATTGAATGGAGTTACGTATGTTATTCCATCTCCTCGTCTATTCAGTGGGATCTATAATTAGAGTATGATTTTTTCAGTTTTTTAGTGATCTTTTTTACCCGTTGGAATCTTGCATAGTCTATTTCATCCGCGATATCCTCCACCAAATCCATTTCATCCGGTTGGAACATTGGCAGGTCATTCGTATGTGCCGCGTCTGCTTCGGGAGTTACCAGATCTCTGTATCGGAACTTTTGTAGATACCGTTGTTCCATTTGGGCGTCGTAGGAAATCTGCTTTTCAGGGTCGGTGTAGAAATTCCATCCTCGAATTTGGTCTGCCATTTTGATCGAGCCTGGTACATAATGCCAGAGCATATCGTCACCGGGCATCCAGTATGTGAGTTTCCCTTCTTTTAGCAGTGTACGGACGCGAAGATAGTGGGTGAGACGATCCTCATTCGCCATTTTTCTCTGTTCCTCCACGCTGTTGGTGGCTACCTCGCACAGCTTTTGGAATGCTTGGTGTCCCCCTGTTTTGCAATTGGAGCACGGTGATTGCTGGTTACATCGCGTGTGATGGGCGGATCTCGAAGCACAGTAAGGGCAGTAGGATGCCGAGTTGACTGCTTGGAATGCCAGTAGTTCCCTCCACGGAAGTATTGCTAGTGGTCATTGGTCTGGCTGGTGCTCATCAATTGGGTATCCAAACAGGTTGCATCCACAAACCCTGCACCAGTTGTTTCCTTTTGTCGCCGAAAATGCGCCTGTGTAGGTACCTCTCGATCTTCGCAGGAGCCACTCCTTGATTGCTGGATACTTTTGGACTCCCGGAATTCGTTTTTCGATTTCTTGGTAATGAGTCCAGGGGTCCGGCAGGTATTGCTTCCAGACTAGGATACGGAGCGTCCCTGCATCAAAGGGAGATACTGGAATGGAGTCCTCTGGCCAGTTGCGTTCCAGTCTTTTCCATTTTTCCATTTTTTCTCTCGGGCGATTTATGCTCACGCCAAAGAAATCGTAGTATGAAATACTATGAAACTTGTGGATTGCTTTTTTTCGGGCTTCTGGTAGTTTCATGACGCTCGAATAAACTACGTACTTATTGGTGGTGGCTAGCGCAACTTCGACGATGGGAGGGCGTGGTCGACGATACTGTGGATATTCTTGGTGCTTCTTGGCTTCCATGGGCTTCTGGGCTCCTTCGTCGATTGTCATCTCGTCCTCTGTGTCCACACGTGGGTTCAGGCGAGGGGGTCAGAAAGCGCGCCCCAGTAATTTTTTCGAAAATTCTCAATTGGCTGCTGAGAGTTCGTTGACTGACAATCATACTTTAATGCATTAGGCCGAGAGAACGAATATTTTTTCAATATTTTTTCGATGTTTTCTTTCGTTTTCGCTCGTTTTTTCTCGTTTTTCTTCTTTTTTTCAATGAATATTAGTTGAAAAAAGTTTCAAATTATTTATTAAGGTGAGAAGTCCAATGAAACGGCCTCGTGTAGTGATGAGTTAAGTGAGCGAATGGAAGAAAGCTCGATTCTCGACATTTTTTTGAGGTGAGTAACTGAAATATGTAATGTTCCAATATTTATTGATTTTCGAGCCATCGCTCTGTCAGCTCGCCCAAAAGTACAACTGCGACAAGCAGATCTGGAGAAAGTGCTACGATCGTTTCCCACCACATGCCAGCAACTGCAGAAAAAAGAAGTGCGGACACTCGAACGATCTCCACATCAAGAAGAAGTTAACTTAATCTTCATTTGCCTTCGTCCATTTGTCCGCAAAAAATCGGTGATTTTACAACGAAGCGAAGGATATCACTTCGATGATGGAGCATGAAACATGTGAGTAAATGCATTGAGGTTCTTCCATAATTTTTATTTGTTTATTAGAGGTAATTCAATAATTCGTTCTATTTTCAGAGCAACCAGAAACCGGCATCCGATTGCGAAGGCAACAACGACACGAGCTGTCCCCATGAGAAGTCGGACGGATCATAGTTTTATGAAAAGTCGGATGGATCATCGGTTTAATAATAATTGTTGTTTCTCTTGTTACATATCCTGAATTTGAATAAATCTTCATGTATTGCCATGCCCTTCCTCGGGCAATTTAAGGGTAACAGCAACATAAAAGGATCAGTATTCACCGAAAGAAAAAACAAATTCATAGTCTTCTGTATCGTTAAAAAACATTAGAGAAACCACGTGAAATCCACGTGTCATTTTGAATTAATTAATTTCGGCTGGCCTACGAGTTAGCTGGGGCGCGCTTTCTGACCCCCTCGCCTGAACCCACGTGTGTCCATTCTTTCGGGCTCCTTATCGGCGTTTTCTCCTTGTGGAGGTACCTTGGTATCCCTTGTCGTTACAGACGACGTTGGCTTGGGCATAATTCTGTAATGTGAACGAATTATTTTTATATGTATATCGTCACTTTTCGCCACGCCTTCTGGTCACTCACTTGGGTGTTTTTCGATCGATTTGATCACTTTTTAAAACTGATTTCTATTAATTTTCTCTAACTATTTATGCTATTTTTGACCGGGTTATTCCCAGATCTTCTCGATCGATTTATAGATTAGTTTGCATAATAGCCTTGATGACCTGATATTTACCACAATTAATCTTTTCTTCTCACAGTGTATTCTTAAACGAGCTTTCTCGAGGTTCTTCTGGAGTGACCGCTCCATCGGAGTTACGAAAGGCCAAGATTGTACTTAAGAATCTGACGATGTTTCTAATTTGGGTGTGTAGAACTGGTTTTTCAACATATTTTTAACCCTGCAGGTCTCAAAGGCCGATTGTGGAGTGCATCCTTGTTCTGGCTTCACTAGATCTTTCCTCTGTGGCCACCGCGACCACGTCCTCGCCCACGACCTGGACCTTTTCCTCTGTTACTATTCGCGAAGTTGGCCGTGAGTGACTCGATTGGTTCCCCCAAGTAGTGGTTTTCACAAATGGCTTCGTGGTGTTGAGCCCTTGAGGTCATTGGTGTATAGAGGCCTTGACAGGTCTTGCATGGGATACCTTGACAACTTCGGTTGGCTCGATCGGTTCTTTCTCGCTGACAGTTGGAGTAGTTGGCTTTGGAGTTACCGGCAAGTTTTATCCTTCTAGTTCTTCTTGGAGTACTGTTCCGGAGTTACCGCCGCTGATGACGATGTCGTTGAGAATGTCCTCGACTTGGTTGATTTGTGAGCTGTCAGTCATCTGTAATCATTGATTAGACGAGAGCGAAGGCGTACACAATTAACAAGATACGATACTGTCTTTAGATTGAACCGGAAGGAGAACTGGTTTAAGAAATCGATAATTAACAGTTGGTTTTTATTGTAAGCACTTCTTATGAGGATAGTGGGAGATACAACAAAATTTTAACAATTTTTTTTTCGCTCGCGGAGCTGTTGATGCTACTTGGTCTACTGGAGTACGGTGTCGCTGAAGATCATCCCCTCGATGTCCTCGCTTTTCCACATCTTCTCGGCAATTTGGGCTCCGATCCCATATCCCTTGCACGCTTCGGCATCTTCCATTCGGTATAGGGAGTTACAGCCGCACGACAACGTGCAGTTACCGTCTCCTGGGATTTGGCGGCGTTCGGCCGTTTTTGTGGATACCGATGGTCGTCGGTCCCTGTAACATTTTCATTTTTATTGATTGTTACTTTGTATCTAACTCACTTTCTTCCCATTCTCTTGTTTGGCTCTTTGGAAGCTACCTTTTCCGATGTCCTCCTCAGTCGACTCGATGAGCTTGTTTCTTTTGATTGTGTAGTACAACAGCGGAAGGGGGTTGTGGAAGGTGTACGGGTCGATTTCCACAATAATCATGTGGAGCTTCTCTTCTCCGATGATGATAGAGGTGACGTTGATTTGACTTTGTGATGGCATTTTCCAATGTCTGTACTTTGTAGTACCGCTGGCCCCAGCCTTTTCTGCTCCTTCGTCAACCTTCTTCTTTTCCTTGAGAGCTACATCTTTCGCTTTCTTTTGCTTCTGTGGAGCTACAGCTTCATCCTTCTTGTTACCGATTGGAGTTACTCGACGATCCGTTGTCTTTGGAGCTACCATCGAAAAAGCGAAAAGTGCTTCTGAGTACAGTCCGGGGTATTCGAATCTTTTTCTTTTCCATACCCCTCAACCGATTCGTTCGTTGAAGGATCGTAGTACTCGGAGAGATATCTTGAGATTTCCGAAGAAGTGGATGTTGAGTTCGCTTGGTCACTGACCGCATGATATAACTTTGCAATTAGATTTGACTTCTGCGATGAGGTGGGTTGAGTAGTGGAGGGAATAGCTGATGGCATTAACTTTGTGACAAGATCACGGGCCTGAAAGTTATAGGAAAGTTTATAAACAAGTTTGTTTGTAAACTATACCGTTTCCGTTTCTCCAAAATCAAAATTTTTCATCAACTTCGTACCAAGGAAAACAGCTGCAAGGTGGTATTCATCGAATTCGGAATAATAGTGTTCCAGAGCTTGTAATCCTGAAGTAGAGCTAAAACTTGAAGCACGGAACAGTCGATCACATCTTCGTCGATTTCACCAAACTTTTCGTTTTTCCAATCGGTCCACATCTTTGTCAGTAGTTTGAAAGCGGGGAGTACAAGATGGATAGTGAAGGCGGACTGTGTCTGGAAGATGCTTTGATTTTTTTATTCGTAGCTCAGACTTTCTCACTTGGAACAAAGTATTATATTCCAATAGTGTTTCGAAAAACTTCAAGATTGCCTTCACAGTCGCAGACTCCTCCACAAGTTTATTGAGAGCTTGTCTTCCTCTCATCGATAATTTTCTCGAATTCTAAACTACTTGCAGACAGCTATCGATGTCCCATAAACATTTGATATTTGTCATCCATCTAGTCTCACACGAGAGGGTGGGAAGTTTTGTCAATGTTTCACAAATGGACGGAGTTTGACGAACAACGGAGGCTAATAGAGCACTTGCTTCCATCACGGCACAGTACTCTTCGATTTTCGGTAAAACATCAGTGAGACTCGGTTTGTGAATCTTTTTGGGGTTCAGCACTCGTTGAGCCACAAGATTCAAACTATGCGATACGCAGCAAACATCTGAAAAAAAGGAGGTTCACGTTTTATGGAGTTAATTACAGTGCGTTTCAATATTATACGTCCACTCTTGTTTTTGGACGGAACTTGAGAACCGGTTGAGATATCAATCTAATTTTATTAAAATTGAATTCAGAGCAACAAATTACATCTAGAAAACAATTTTTGAGAAAAAATATTGAAAACTATTCGAGATACAGAGAAAAATCTGAAAATGTGACATTTGCAACCGTTTCAAAATTATACGTCCACTTCAAAGGTATGTCGATCTTGACCTTTGGCGGAGCCGGAAAAGCTTGAATTTAGTTTTGTTTTTTTGCTGCCAATGTGAGAAACTTTTTTCATTATGCTTTTCCTTGTTTTTCTCCACTTTTCAACATGTCTCGTGGCCATTTGCTCACTGATGCTGAAAAAGCCTTCATCGACGCGTTCAAAACCTCTGGTTGGACCAACAGGGCTATCGCGAAACATCTAAATCGTTCCCACGATTGCATTAATCGTTTTGTATCGAACCGGACCCGCAACAATCAACCCAACAAGGCTGGACGTCCTCCAAAACTCAATTCAAGAGCCAAACGATCAATCGTTCGTGTGGCTTCAAACACCATGAAGTCTTGTAATGATATCAAAAAAGAGCTGAATCTTGGAGTGAGCAAGTGTACAATCTGGAGGGCTCTTAAGGATGATCCAAACATCAAAAGAGCAGTCATGCGCCCTGCTCCGAAGCTCACTGACAATCACAAAACTCGCCGTCTCGACTTCGCTCGAAAAAACATGGGAACCAACTGGGATAAGGTATTAAATTTAAAATTATCTATCCAAATTATCTTATCTTTTACAGGTAATTTTTTCGGACGAGAAAAAATTCAATCTTGATGGACCCGACGGATTCAAATCGTACTGGCACGACTTGCGGAAGGATCCAGCCGTTTTTGCCAAAAGGAATTTCGGGGGAGGCAGTTTGATGGTATGGGGAGCATTTGCTTCGGCTGGATACTTGGAGCTCGCTTTCACCACTTGTCGAATGAACTCCACAGACTACCAAGACGTTCTCCAGAACCACCTTATCCCGTTTCGTCGTCGATTCAGTCGCCGCCAGTTCATTTTTCAGCAAGATAATGCTGCAATCCATGTCAGCCGCTCCACTTTGGACTGGTTCCAATCGAAAAACATCGATGTCTTGCCATGGCCAGCTTGCTCTCCAGATCTGAATCCGATGGAAAATGTTTGGGGCGAGCTGGTTCGTCGTCTTTACCGCCATGGAAAGAAGTATGCTAGTATTGGAGAGCTTCGGGATGCGCTGATTGCTGAGTGGAGTCTGCTGGAGCAGGAGTTCAAGACTAAGAGCACCCAATACATCCAAAACCTTATCAAATCGATGCCAAATCGTCTCTTCGATGTCATTGCTGGTAAAGGTTCATCCACAAAGTATTGAAATATTTTTTATTCTCTATTTTAGCATTGATTCTGAGAGTGGACGTATAATTTTGAAACGGTTGCAAATGTCACATTTTCAGATTTTTCTCTGTATCTCGAGTAGTTTTCAATATTTTTTCTCAAAAATGGTTTTCTAGATGTAACTTGTTGCTCTGAATTCAATTTTAATAAAATTAGATTGATATCTCAACCGGTTCTCAAGTTACGGCCAAAAACAAGAGTGGACGTATAATATTGAAACGCACTGTAGATCTGAAACATACAGCAATCGAAATAGTTTCCGATCGTTGATAATGCGCCGTCGGCGGTGACTGAAAATTTGAGAATTTCGTCTTCTTCCCATCCAAAACTCTCCAATTTTTCCACAATCAAATCCGCCGTTTGTTTTCCAGTTTTTCCATCGAGTTGTGGTGTGAAGGCAAGCGGGACGACTTGAAGATGACAATCGTCATCCAAAAATGTAGCGAAAACTGACAAGTAATTTGTCACAAGTTTTCCGTGATCGATGGCAAGATGTATTCTTGATTTGTAAGGCTCCAGGTACTCAACGGCTTTTTTGATAAGCGATTCAGCAAGTTTCTCAGTCACTTTTTGAATTGTGAGACGGCATGGTAGTTGCTTCAATGCGACCTCTCCATACCCCGTTGAACTGAAAATAGGTAATTTTTATTCAGTTCGAAACAACAACCATACATTGAATTACAAATTTCAATCAACAATTTCTTCATATTTTCGGAACCGAGATGGTGAAAACTTTTTCCAGTTTTCAAGCAATACCGGCCCAACGCAGAGGTGATTTTCTGAACTTCGGAATCCTTCAATTTCTTCGTGCTATAATCTGGAAGACAGAAATTGGCGAAAACGTTCAAGTTTTGTCGGATTACCTTTGATTTTTCTGACTTGTTCAATAGGTTCCAGCTCTGAACGACCAATCGAAATTTTTCGTTTTTTACAAGTCGTAATAACGTGCCTCTTCAGATGACTCCCATCTGACTGTAATACCATCAAGTTACACTGAGTACAGATAACAAAGCCGCTCTCGATGAATTCGTCGTCTTCTTCGTTTCGAATGAGAATCTTTTGAATTTCTGCGAATCGATATGATTCACCCTGCAATGACAAAATTTATTGCCGGTTTTTCTCTGTTTTTAAACTCACAAATGTGACATTACTATCTTTTTTATTCAGTTTCAATTGAAGGTCTGATTTGGATATCTTGAAACTCATTTTTCGAGTTTGGGAGGGATGTGAGTGAGATGGCGAGCCGTAGGCTGTCGTTTGCTCTGAAAATAATTATTTTATGAAAAATAGGGATTATCAGGCAATTCGCGACAAAAAAGGAGAAAAATCGGTTGATAAACGCAAAAAATCGTCGAAAAAAAAACAAAACAAACCCCAGTAAATCGACACGGGCTGCTAAACAATGCGCGCCTCGTCATATCGGAGCATCGTTGCAAATAAAAATGGCGCGCGTTCAAATATTAATTAATTGCCGGCCGGCCGGGCCGGGCCGGGCCCTGGTTTTTTTCCCTCGGGCCGGCCAGCTCGTCAGATTGATCCTGGGCCGCTCCTGTCGGCGCCAATGCCGAGCTGTGCGATGCGGTCGCGGCGCGGTTGGCGATTATTCAAATAATAATGAGTGTTAGTGAACAGAACAAAGTAATTAGAATTGGGGAACGGAAGGGGAAATAAGGGGAAAGGATATGACCCGATTAAAGCGGATAATCCAGAGGGATTTTATGGGGAAAATCGGGGAACTCTGGGTTATATCGCTTCAGGTTGTCATTGTCCCAAGACAAGGGAGGAAAATGACAACAGGTTGCCACTTTATAGCTACAACACGATTAGTGAGTTTGACTTTCTTAGACATTCCTTTTTAAATTCAAAAAACAACTTTTAGCATTAAAATCTCTTCCAAATGGTACATCAAAGTAAGTGAGTCGATGGGATGGGGTTCGATCACCAAAGAAACCAAAATCCAGACAGTCGGCAAGAGGCTCTTCACAGCCAATGGGGAGACAACGTCATCATCGGAGAAGAACACGAGGAAGGCAAAGAATGATTGCGCATTCACAACTGTGGAAAGGTGGTGGATTCCATGAATCGCGAAGACTCACTCCAACGAAGCGGCAGATGTAGAAAATGCTTGACACTTCCCCAGTTCAGACATGGACCAAAATGTGGAACGGAGATATGCCGATATTGTCATATCGGAACCGAGCACCACTACACCATCTTCCCATCACCGAGAGTAATCTTCCGACGCCCGACCGAGTATTCCCCTCGACGACGTTTTCCTTCTCCCTCGCCGACCAAGACGATCCCCAAACGAATACTTCAATAGAAGAGACGATGGACCAAGCACCAACCGAGCATACGACGAGCCCAGACGCCGTCGTGACGATCCCAGGGACCACTCCAGACATCGAGACGAGAGCGACGATAAGAGACGACACAAGACGAGCCGAGACCGACACAATTTTATTAGACGAGACAATTATAAAGCAGCCGGTAGTGTACTAAATTCAAAAATAATTTGTTTTCATTTTCTTATTGCACATTTTAACAAATGTGAAACATGCATAAACCTTTCTTTCTTTAAATGCGACCACTGTGAGAAGACTTATTGCACCAAATGCACACTCGATGACTTCCATCAAATCTTCAATGTTCGATTTATTCCAGTTATTCTCTCATTTTTATTGCTTTCAAATTTATGTATCAGGGTTATACTGAAATTATTCTGCAACCCTTTTTTTATTCATAATGACAACATAAGAAACGTTTTGCTTTAATGTGTGCGCCTTCGATGGCTGTGCGTTTAAACTTTAAGCTTTATGATTTGAAGGCTCACAAGTCGAAAACTAAGAAAATTATAAAAAATCTGTCAACTAACAAAATATGTTTAAATTTAAAGCTCTATAAGCTATTAGGTTGGTGCATAAGTTTCTTCCGATTTTGTATGCTTAAGTTTGAGAATTGATAACTGGTCAGTGGGACGGGTTTTCTTGGAGTATGTTTTTTTGTTGGATAGAGTATCTCATGGACTTGTTATGTACATTTTGCCTCATTTCTCCTTTTCGTCGTTCGCGAGCACAGCGCTGGCTTTCGTCCCCGTCTACACTTAAAAAATGGCATTTTATTTTTATTCTTTTCAGGTTTGAAAAACCTCAATAATCACAAGATTATGAAAGAAATAGATGAAAAATTACTTCTACTGCTAATATCATCAAGCATAGGGCCGATCGCTTTGAAGCCAAAAAATTAGAATGGAAAGACGAAGATGGGTCAAAGTTGGACTTGGACCTATTTAAAGGTGGGGGGACATGAAAAAATAATGTTCTCGAAATCTCGTTCAAAGATGCCCCTCGAGGAGTTGAACTTGTGAGGGTGAGGATTGAGGGTGCGGCGCCGCTACCGACTGAGCTACACGGGCAAAGAGAAAGCGCACGCCCGATTGCATACATAAAGGCGAGGACGACAGCTGTACGCAGCGTGACATTAAGCGTTGTACACCGTGACGGTAGAATGCATACTCTAGCTACAAAAAAAACTACGAAAAATCTCCTGTCCCCCCCCCCCCCCTTTAAGAATACTTCTGAAACCAATCCGTCAAATGTCAAAGGCATTGTCCGTTAGTCAATTAAGTATTGTAATTGGATTGAGGTCTCATAGCAGTGTCGAAAATTTTGTCGCTTCGCACCCATTTTTTTGAAGGACTACTGTAAGGGTTGCCATGAAGATGTGATCATGTTTCTCCTATCATTTCTTCGCTCGTTCAGTTGGATGGGGAACTTAATTGCCGTAGCTGAGAAGTCGGTAAGTTACTCTATCAATGTGCGGGAGGGCCAGTTGATTGACAAGGAATAGCTAGCTCTGGACGTCTCGAAGTCTAAATTTCCCGTGAAAAAGGGGATGTTATGTGCTTGGAGGTCTTTCAAAGGAATGGAAACTGGGAACATTTAGATGAAGGCATCACTATAACTGCCTTCTTGTATAGTTTCTAATTAGAGAAATGGATTCTGACAGTCGAATCGAAACAAGGAGAAAAGGCGAAAGATGTTCCATGCACGAAAATTTGAAATCGCGCCTTATTTGAGAGATCAACGAAAAATTCATGTCGTTTGGCTGAACTATTCTTTTGCACTCGCCGTATTTTTCAAACCATGCCCATTTGGATGAATGGTTGTTTGAAGCTTTCGAACCCCATCTTGATAGAAAAAACTTCAATTGAAAAGATCATATAAAAAATGAGTTGACCCATCTTTTCAATCGCAGCTTTCGTTGTTCTGGGCCGATGGAATCAAGGAATTACCAGAGCGTTGGCAGACAATTATCGATGCTTATGGACAATGCTTTCATCCGCTTTGAGAAAAATTTGATCAAACATTTTCCCGAAATCGAAAGAAAATTATGCACCAACCTAATAGTAGTTGACAAAATCTTTGTAGCTACTTTCGCTTTTTAAATATCTTCCATTCTTTCCTGAGTTTTTTGACTCCTTGTTTGGACTTCGGCATTTGAATACAACCGAGTTTAGTATCAATTTGTCAGATACTGTATCATGACATAGTCACACCTGATGAAAGAAAACGAGCTATTCAATGATCTTTGTTGCGAATTATTATACTGTGAAACCATTAGTAGCCTAAGCCTACTGTGAAACCATTAGTAGGTGCTCATTTTTCTTAGCTCCTACGCAAGATACCGCAAATCTCTCAACGGATAAAAGGTTTATTATGATTCTACGGACATATTATCAATTCACTAATTCTTCGACATGAACTGAGATACAACGCCTCAAAGTTTACGGTTTGGGAACCCTTCTATCAAATTTCGAGTTTACAGTTCAAGGGGTCTTCAAAAACATTTCTCGCCTATTTTCACGAAAATTAAAAAATGACAAAAAGAAAGTCCTAGGCGGGGGTCGAACCAAAACATTCGGTGTCATAGCCGACACCGTATACCACTTTGCCACTCATGCACTTTAGAAAACAAGGAGAGAATGCAGTTATAACATGGGAAACGCGTACAATGTTCAAAAAATTTTAAACCATTTTGGGAAATTTAGCGAAAGAAAATTTCACGTTTTGGAAAAAACTTTTTTTAAGTGAAAAAATGGAGCAAAAAGATAAGAATCGCCTAGAATTTTTGCATATAAGGGAATAGAGAAACAGTGAGAACCATCAGTTCCCAAATGAGAACTGGTATCCAGCTGGAAGAAGCTGGAGCTCTGTGAGCCGGAACTCTGGGAGCCGGAACTCTGGGAGCCGGAGCTATAGGCCCTGGGTTCTGAGTCCTGGGCAGCTGAAGGTGGAATCGGAGAAACGGAACTGGTGGAGGTGGAATCGGAGCTGGTGGAGGTGGTATCGGAGATGGTCGAGGTGGAATCGGAGGATCGGAGCTGGGCGAGGTGGAATCGGAGCTGGGCGAAGTAGAATCAGAGGATCGGAGCTGGTGGAAATGGAATCGGTGCTCGTGGAGATGGAATCGGAGGATCGGAGCTGGTGGAGGTGGAATCGAAGGGAGGTGGAATTTAAGCTGGTAGAGGTGGAATCGGAAAACTCGGAGCTGGTGGAGGTGGAATCAGAATCCATCTCCGAAAACGAACTCCGCCCAGGAAATCCCCGATAACAAAGCCAAATAATGCTGACATTTCCTGTCTCCTTTTCGATCTTCCTCTTTTTTATATGTTAAACTGAAAAATGTTTATCCAACACCTTTCATGTACTAAAAATAAATTAATTGAACATTTTTGTACATCCTTTTTACAAATCAGTTCATTGAAAACTGCACTAATTCCATCGGGAACAAACTGGATTCCTTTGTAAAATCGAATTCATCTTGTGGAGTTTCAAAAAATACGACATTGTCATCCGGACACACACACACACACACGCACACACACACACACACACACACACACACACAATTCTTTTTTTCTGAATTTCTGAATTCCGAAATTCGAAATTTTCCTTTTTTTTTAATTCGGAAAATTATCATTCCAAAATTGCGACATTCAGAAAAGCAAAATTTACTTAAAATTAGCAATTCGAAACTTAAAAATTTCGGTATTCAGAAAATTGGAAAATCGGGAATCCGGAACTCCGAGATTCATAAAATAAAAATTCAAAAAAAACTGTGTTTTGAAATCCATAAACTTGAAAGCTTGAAAATTTCATGATTTCGAAATTTGGAAAATCAAAAATCCGGAAGTCCGCTATTCATGAAATCGAAATTTCAGAAAATCTGAAATTCATAAATTCAGAAGCTCACATTCAAAAATTTCCGTTTCGAACGGAAACAGAGGTTTGAAAATTCAGAATTTTGGAAATGCAGAAGTTCAGGAATTCGAAAATCGGGTAGCATGTCTCATTGGGCGAAAATGTTTCTGTTTTCAACTAAAATGTTCAAAGCTTGATACCGTAAACACTTTAATAGAACGCCATATCTTACTTTTTTTTGAAAGATATCAAAAACGTTGTCAACTGATGAAATGTGTGTCATGATATCAGCAATATTTTTTTTGTTAACTACTTTTTGATATCTTTTACAGGAAATAAGATACATGGGCTCAAATTTAATGATTCGGGCGGTGTTCTATTAGAGTGTAAACGGTATAGTACTGTACGTAGAAAAATGCATGAGTAAACCATGTGAATCTGAAAAACTGATCAGGAATTTAATCCTAATCCTGTCTGGGGGACAAAAACAATTATGACGAGATTTCGAAAAAAAAAACAGAGGATTAATCGGGATAAAACAGAAAATCACAAATATTTTCCAATTCTGTGGAGTATAAAAGAAGAGACCAAAGTTTTCAAGTCTATCCTCTTTTTCATCCGAGTTCTGTCTTCTCATTAAAGTTTCAAATTCCAGAATGTTCTTCTTCAAGTTTCTAACTCTTCTTCTCGTTTTGTTTGCTATTGTGAATGCAATCCCTTCGGACAGTTCTGAGAATAAACCAAATGGTCCACCAAGCGGACCTCCACCAAGCGGACCTCCACCAAGCGGACCACCACCATCTGGTCCTCCACCAAGTGGACCACCACCAATCAAAAGTCCATAAGGGAAATCTCTCCAAATTGTAGAGAATATTGATTTATAAAGTTTATTCAGTTCCAAATAGTCAATTTTGAGATCACGGAAAAGTTGTTCAGAATTTTTAGACACGTCTGAAAATGCCAGAGTATACTGAACTGAAAAAAGATTTTCATTTCAGTAATTGATCACTTTTCCGCTAATCAAATTCTGGAGAGCTGTTAAACGTGCTTTCAGAATTTTGAAATTCAAATTTTGGACCTAGGTATTCTAAGAAACCTGAAAAATGAGGATGTGAATTTTATTTTTATATGAATTTATTCAGAAAAAAAAACAAATAATCACACGACGAGGTGATTTTGGAAGGTAGATTTTCGCGAAATTCGTCAAGTTCACTTTGATAGAGTCGGCGAAGAAGATAAACTAAAATGCAAGTGGTGTCTCGGGTGTGTAGCTGTCCTTATCCGATGGCAATTCCAGCTAGTGTGTGGTAGAATGCTTTACTCGTCTCGATGATAATTCCGTCACGACGGCGTCTGGGCTCTTGTATCCCCGGCTGGTGCTTGGTCCATCGTCTCTTCTGTTGAAATATTCGTCTGGGGATTGTACTCTCGTGGAATGGAGAGCACAAACTTCAATTCAACATGCCGCCCATTTTCATTACGGAGAGCGAAGAGAGACCAGTAGTTGGTTTTCACATCTCGGTGAATCTGGTGGTTCTGAAAATGAACTTCATTAAACTGTATGTAAACGTTTTTTCCTCACGAGAATATTCGTTTCGAAATACGACATCGGGTCGCGCGCAGCTGGGGTATCTGGGGTTGACAACGTATGACGCCGCGCTCCCAACTAGAAAGTCACTCTCTGTGGCTGGTGCATTGTATTTGCTGAAAATAGTCGAAATGTATAAGAATTTCTACTGTAACTACACTTTTACATTAAGGCCATCATGGTAGAATGGCCTAGAAATAGCCTAACATGCCCCTGATATGTTTTCTCGATCATTTTGAAGTGGTGGCCTAGAATACTCAGTTTGAAAAAGTTGAGCCACCGCATGTGTTAGCCCAGTTCTAGGCCATTTTACCATGGTAACCTAGAAAACTTAACTCGAAAAGTTAGGCCCCCACTTCAAAATGACCTAGAAAATACACAAAGTGAATATCAAACCAATTCTATGTCATTCTAATTTGGCGGCCTAGAAAACCCAACTTGCAAAAGTCAGGCCATCACGTTAAAGTGTATTCGTTTCACAAATTCTTCGAAAAATTTTGATGACTTTCTCAAACATTTTTCGAAGTCGTGTCGAAAGGACACACTGTTCGCAACTTCAAAAATCCGGTTTTTGAAAATTCAGAAAATCATAAGTCCCGTTTTCAAAAGTTCGGAACGTTCTAAAATGTTGAGGGTACCAAAAGCTCCGATTATCGAAAAATGGAATACTTCGAAATTCCAATTTTCGAAAAATTCGGAAAAAAATTAGAAATTCCTGTTACTAAAAATTAAGAACATTTTCTGAATTCCGAATTTTTAATTTTCAGAAATTTTGGATTTTTCGAAATTATGATTACTACTCAGATATTTGAAATATTCTGGGTTTTTTTTATTTGTTGCGAAAAAAAATTTCCAATTCATGTACCCCTGTACATGAAAGTTACTGAAAAATTTTAACTTTCGAATGATTTTCTTTTAAGTTTCTGAACGTTCTTCTTCTCGTTTTCATATGATTTGTAAAAACTCACTTTTTTTGAGAGAACATTATTACGAAATATCGGAATTCCAGGAATAATAAAAAAGAACAAAGAGGCAGAGAATATTGAGAAAAATCAAAAAGGGAACTCTCCAAAATCCATTCATTAACAGGATTTTTGGAGAATTCCCGAAAATATTTAGACGTCTATTCAGTCAAGTCGTCAAAAGAGAAAATGAATGATTATGTTTGCAGCAGCCAGAGGGGACGGAAAAATGACTCATTCTGTTTCGCCTGCACTCTCTAACACATACATACCATCTGCTGTGTCATGGCCTGTATGTGTTTTTTTTTCTTTTTTCTAATGACGAATTTCTGAATGGACGTCTAAATGTATTAGGGAATTCTCTAAAACAAATGAATGATTGGATTCTGGACAGTTCCCCTCTGATTTTTCTGGATATTCTCTATCTTTATATTACTTTGTAGTACTAGAAATCCAAAAATGAATGAATTTAGAAAATTGATAAATTTTGGTTAGAAATGTTCTCCTCTTCATTCTTATTCCCGAAATCTTAGTTGAGTATCTCGAATACACTCCATTTCCGCAGAGGTGAAGAGAGCACACCTGGAATTGACTCCGCCCTTCGGATGCTCCTATAAATACCGCCGGGTTCCCCTTATTACCATTCTTTCCCCCTTATGTGACCACTTCCTCTCCTCCAATATTTTTCCTGACGACCTTTTGCATGGACGTCGGAAACTATTCGTCTTTATTTTCCCGAAATCCTTATTCTTTAACTGTGTATTCCATTCTTGTCTACACAAGTTTCGTAACATAAATGCGGAATCCAGTCATTGGCAAACCGCTCCGTTGGAGCTCGTGAACCGGACCCTCGATCTGCTTGGACCCGTTCAATTGGTCGTCATCAACAATTCGATCGTCTACGGAACGATCCAGGTGTCGGCTTCGAATTCTGGAATCCTTCGGATCCTAGAGTGAGTGAAAAATGTGAAATCTTCCTTATATATAAAACGCTAGAGGCGTCTGTCTGTCCTCTTGAGGATCTGTGGACTTTTGAAAAGCTCGAAAAATAAATTTAGATTAACGTGACCCTTTTAGAAAAAATGAGAAGTGATGTGATGAACCAGTAAAGAAGCAGATTGAATCGGGCCGAAGGCGCACCAGCTTGCTGGTTACAAATAAAAATGTTATAAATTTTTCAGAATGTCCCAGGAATGTTCGTATACCCAGATGAAATGTCATTGAATATATTGAAGCCGATTACCGTGGTCTATCAAGAGGCCTGGTGTCTGTTTATGGAATATTTTGACATCACAAATATCGATTTAATGGAAAACAAAGAAGAAAAGCAACCAGTGCACAAGGTTTCAAACGAAGAAGAGAGAAGTCAGGGAATCGAAGCACCACCACAAATCGAGCCTTTGATTGATGAAATGGAACACGGAGAAAGTGATATGTTGACAGCGGATCCTCAGTCAGTCGAGACCGATCCTACGTCCTAACCCGAGAGTGTCAGCAACCTGAAATGACCCCCAATTCCCCCAAATGTGTAAAATAAGCGGTGCAAAGGAAATAACAGTACACAAAGTATTCAAATCCAAGTTTATTAACGGAAAGGGGTTTGAATAAACGGCAAAGACAACGGAATTGGGAAAAGAAAGCAAGAACAGAAAGGAAGTAAAGGTGTAGGGCTAAAACCTCCTGGGAGCTACCGGAGGAAACCTTGCTGCCTTCTAAAACTGGTGCTAACAAACCAAAACGATGCCAAACGTAGAAAACTAGCTGAAAGGCTAAAAAAGGTTAAACGGGACCGCATAGCGGTCAGCTCTTGGTGAGATACAAACACTAGCTTCGCCGCAGCGAAGACTGACTAGGGAAGGTTGTAACTGGGGTATGGGACTTTGATATGAGGCCTATATCATTCGAAAGCTGTAGCGGTGAAGAGGGAGAACGGTAATTGACTAGGGTTGGGTTCGATTCCTTTCTCCTTTGTTTGTTTTTGTTTTTGTTTTCGGTCTTTGTGGAAATCGTCAAAATTTTCCGAACACATTTTTCAAAAAAAATTTCATTTTGATACTGAAAAATTGTACTTTCTCAAATGTTTTAAGTAATATCTAGTTTTTGACTATTTCGTTAATCAACACTAAACACTTTCACACAGCTTTTGTTTGTCAAAGTTCATAAGGATGGTTCGTTTTAAGAGCCACACATCAATCAGACATGATTTGTGCCTATGATTTCTCAAATTTTGAGTGTTACTGGGCGATCATCGTAGTACTACGGTTTGTTGAAAATCAGAAAAAGAATCAAAATGTCTTGATCCCGAGAAGAAAATAGGTTATCAAATTTTGTAAAAAACCTAATTTGCTTGATATTTTTCGTTTAATACCTTTTCAGCCGAAAAAAAAACTTTCAAAAATTTTCAAAAAAAAGTCAAGGGGGTACCCCATGGAACTTTTTTTCAAAGTTTTTTTCTGAAAAAAAAACGCTTAAACTTGGTAACATTGTACAGAAACTTCTAAATTTGCGATCACAATCAAAAAAACATCCAAAATCTTTTGTAAACCATTAACTTTCTATTCTCAAAAGTCAAAAAGTGTTTTGAAAAAATGACTCAAAAATAGTTTTCAAAAGCATGTAACCACAATTTCAAACAGTTTCAGAGAACACAGTATGATCCTGTAAGTTTTTCATGTTTTTTCAAAAAAAAAATTTTTTTGGAAAAAAGTCACCCCCCCCCCCTTGCTTTTTCAAAAATGAGATTTCAAACTCGATTTTCTCGAATATGGTAAGTCCGCAGCAAAATCGAATTACATTTTTGAAAATGTCTCATTTTCAGCTTTCGAATGATGAGTAACCTAGTGAGTAACGAGGGCGGCGGGCGCCAGTGCCGAGTGGCGCGGCGCGGTCGCTGCAACGCGGTCGTTGGCGCGTATTCAAATAATATTAATATTATTTGAGTGAAACAATGTACTTGTTATTAGAGAACGAAGAGAGATAAGAAGGGGAATGAACATGACCCGAATAAAGCGGATAATCCAGAGGGATTTTATGGGGAAAATCGGGAGACTCTGGGTTATCTCGCTTTCAGGTTGTCATTGTTCCAAGACAATGGGAAAAATTGACAACATGATACGGATCCAGAATATGACTTCGAGAATGACGGTGCAATGGATGCCAGAGAAAAAAGGATGAAGAAAGCTCAACGAGCCACAAAAAAAAATAGCCCTCCTCGGCAACACGGCACCAACGCCGTAGTTGGAGAAATAGCCGAATTTTTGGGGAGATGATCTTTTGGAAGAATTCGATGAAGATCAAGATGTCGTTGGCAAATCCCAGCTCGGACAAATGACGCTTACTAGAAGATGTTGTCCAGAAAGTTGTCCAACTATCGACGCCAGGTAAGTTTTTATTGACGTGTTTACAGTAGATGATTAACTTCAGTGAAGCGGTGAAGCGGCAGCTGTTCATGAGGCTCTTCTTTCCAATTTGAAAAGAATGGATAGGTGTGTGGAAGACTTCGAATTGGATTTATTGTTCTACACATACAACGGTGAATCCGAATCTGTCGTTCGCTGGCTGGACGTAAACGAGAGCTGTTTCCAAGGAGTTCGTAGCTTGAAACGACGGTATACCGAAATCCGCGACTATCTGGAAATTGCTGCTGTCTGTGATTTTTAATTGCAAAGTAATTCGATTGGCGGAATGAGTTCACTCACGACACTGAAATTCTAAAGGACAAACTTCGACAAAAATTCCACGAACTTTATATGGCACGAAAAGACGAGACGCATCGGAAATTTTGAAGTTTGAAAACCAGAAAGTTCTAATGTCCAAAAATACAGGAAATTCAGAAGTATAAAAATTCAGGTATTCGAAAATTATGAAATTTGAGAATTTGAAAGTTTGAGCACCCGAAAATTTGAAAATTCTCGAAAGCTGGGGAGTCCAAAAAATCGAAAAATCAGAAACTCAGAAGTTCAGAATATCAGAAAGCCCAAGTTCAGAATTTAGAAAATTCGGAAATTCATGAACTTTGTGAATGAAAAACTCAGAAATTAGTTTAAGAAAAATTCGGAAAATCACATTTGTGTTAAAATTTTAAAGTTTGGGAATTCATGAAGTAGAATCTCAGAAAGCCGGAAATACGGAAACTCGAAATTACGAAATTTCCGAAATTATGAGTTCTGAAAAACCAAATGCTGAGAAACTCAGAAACCCAGAAACTTGAAAATTTGAAAATTGAGAAATCTTTAAAGGAGGGCAGACAGCAAAAATTTCGGGGAAAATTTCAGGGAATGTGTATTTTGCCGTCGCGGTGTTCGCACCTAAAGCACGCAATCCCACGCGCAAACATTTTTATTTTTTTTATTTCCCGACTTTATTTTTTTCAATTTTTAACGACTTCAAACATTAAAAAAGCTCTTTTTTCTTATTTATTATAAAACCCATATAAAAGTGAACTTTTTATGTAAATTTAAAGTTCTATCGACCAATTATTTGCCAGTCGCCGGTGTTTTTTATAGGCATGCGAAAAAAACTATTTTCTCTTCGATAAACGTTTCTTCACTGTTCCTATTTATCTCATTACTTCTCGTTATTACTCTAGGAATAAAAAACTGTTTTATGACTGGGGTTTTCAGAGACGTCTCCATTTTTACTGCTTCCTTCACCTTCCGACGACCAGCCCTGCACGAGGATTGTTTTAATTATGTGGTTTTTTTTTTCAATTGTTATGTCTCTTTCTAAAAATTAATTGTAGTTTTTTTTTCATAATTTATTTGTTAACATAATAAAACACGTTTCTTATTTTCAACTGATTTTGATACCTCGGAGCGAGGCCTCGGCGGCACGCTGGTAGCCCTTCAGAAATTCCGAGTTCAAAAAGTTCAATCCGAAGGAAACAAGGGAAGAAAAAAGTAAAAACACCAGCAGGGATTGAACCTCTGACCTCCTGAATACTAGCCTAGAGCGTACCCACTACACTACGCGTGTAAGAGGCGACCATCGCGTTTTTCACATTATGAAGCGACGCCGCAGCAGCAAGCTAGTGAAGAAATTAGGGTGACAAAAAAGAGCATTTTTTCGTCCTTGAAGTGTTTTTTTCAGGTTTTTAAGTACATAGCTATATTTATACTTCAGAGTTATATCTTTTCAGTAAAAATGAAATTTTTGAAATTTTTGATGTCTGGCCTCCTTTAAGTTCTAGAATCACAGTTTCAAAAATTCAGGACTTCTGAATTTCAAAACTTATGAAAAAAATTATAAGTTGTCAAATTCCAAGATTCTGATATTCGAAAATTCAAAACAAAAAATAAATAGTTCAAAAATTCGGAAACTTTGAAGTTCATAAGTTTTTAAATGCTCAATATGAAATTCAACGATTCGTAAATAGGCTTTTCAAAACCCGAATTAAAAAAAGATTATCTGGGTGGTTAGACGGGGATGAGCTAAATATTGCTTCAATAATATTGCTTCAAAAAAACAGTTTCACTAAGACACATTTCTGATGTACATTCCTGATTTATCTGTCCAAGCTCAAACTCAATCGGTTAAGGGTGTTTAAGTGGGAGCCAGAAGGTTTAGCCGAGAAGGCGCATAAACAAACGGTCACTCCAGTTTATGAAAGTTGACAACACAATCAACTAATAAAAAAATTCGGGCATCAACTAAGACATACTTCTGATCTACATTTCTGATTTGTCTGTCCAAGTTCAAACTCAATCGGTTAACTCCGAGTGGGTAAAAGAAAAACTTCATGCGGTTATTGTAAGTAGGAGCCAGAAGGTTTAGCTTTTTTTTTTTAGATTGTAGCCGCCGACAGGCGGCGGAAATCGACTGGTCTTGTGATAATTGAAAGTGTATTTGTGAATCAAGGACACGCAATTCTTATCGTAAATCGAAAAAAAGAAGAAGTAGGTAGGATAACAATCAGTCCACCAGAAAAAAAATATTAAATTCGGAAATGAGTAAATCAGAAAAGCAAAATTTACTTAAAATTAGGAATTCGAAACTTAAAAAGTTCGGAATTCAGAAAAGGGGGAATCCGGAACTCCGAGATACATAAAATCGAAAATTCAAAAGACTGTGTTTTGAAATCCATGAATCCGAGAAAGCGAAAATTTAAGAATTTGAAAGTTTGAAAATTTCAGGGTTTCGGAATTTGGAAAATCGAAAATCCGGAAGCCCGCTATTCATGGAATCGAAATTTCAGAAAATCTGAAATTTCTAAATTCAGAAGTTCCTATTCAAAAAATTTGAATTTCGAAAAAAACTCGAGGTTCGAAAACTCAGAATTTTTAAAATGCGGATGTTCAGGAATTCGAAAATCGGGTAGCATATACATATCATCGGGGTTGAATCTGGCAAAAAATTTTCTGTTTTCAACTAAAACGGTCAGAGCTTGATATTTTTGTAGTACTGTACATAAAAAATTCATGTGTAAACCATGTGAATCTGAAAATTTGCCCGATTGACTGATCAGAAATTTAATCCTAATCCTGTCTGGGGGACAAAAACAATTATGACGAGATTTCGAAAAAAAAAACAGAGGATTAATAGGCATAAAACAGAAAATCACAAATATTTTCAAATTCTGTGGAGTATAAAAGGAGAGTCCGAAGTTTTCAAGTCTATCCTCTTTTTCATCCGAGTTCTGTCTTCTCATTAAAGTTTCAAATTCCAGAATGTTCTTCTTCAAGCTTCTAACTCTTCTTCTCGTTTTGTTTGCTATTGTGAGTGCAATCCCTTCGGACAGTTCTGAGAATAAACCAAATGTTCCACCAAACGGACCAAAGCCATCTGGACCACCTCCATCTGGACCTCCACCAAGTGGACCACCGCCAACCAAAAGTCCATAACTAAAAGCACCTTGAATTGTGGAAATTTGTTCATAAAATGATATTATCATAACAATGTTTATTATAGAGCAATGGACAGCTACATATATATCTTGCTTTTGCATTTTCCGGGGGAATATGTAAATCGGGATAATACAGAAAATCACGAATATTTTCAAATCCTGTGGAGTATAAAAGTAGAGGAAAAGTACTTCACAATTTTTAGAATTGTCTGAACATTTCAGAGTATACTAGAGAAATTCCTTTCTGATGAGATATGCTCAGTTTGTGGAATCTTCCTTATATATCTTTATCTTTCTTATATAAAAAACTCTAGAGGCGTCTGTTGGTCCTCGTGTCACTTTGTGGACTTTTGAAAAACTTGAAAATAAATATAGATTTACGTGACCCTTTAAGAAAAAATTGGGAGTGAAGCGACGAGCCAGTAAAAACTAGATTAAATCGCGCCGAAGGGGCACCAGCTAGCTGACATCTTTACATTTGTTTTGTCTAGTATTTTTGAACGTGTCAGCTGAGCCAGATGTTTCCAAACCGGACTGCATCACTGTCAGATTTCGTCTTCCAGAGAACGGAAGTTTACCGGATTTCCTCTAATAGAAGCCAGCCGAACCGTCCCCTTCGAGCTCAATTATCTCGATCCGTGTGAGAAATATTGAAAATTTGTTAACTGCTAAAATGTTGGTAATGTTGTGATAAATAAGTCGTCAGTTGACAAGTTTTTAACATCTTTCACAGAAAACAAGAGAGCTGAGCTGAAACCTGACGTTTTAGAGAGTTTTTTCTTTTTCGGAGAGAATAGTCTACTTTGATATTCTGAAAAGTATTCGATAAGGTTTCCGTATATAAAAGATTTTTATTATATCAACTGTATTGTTTTCGAAGATTTTTTTGAGAGGATTATTGAAATTGAAATTAGGAAAGAAGAGAGATTTCAGCAGAGCCAAGATAAATACATAAAAACCGTAAAGCTGTAGGAATCATGGATATCAATGTGGAATTACAAAATAAGCAGGCCAGCTGAATATGAAAAAAGCGACGGTATCATCAACAAGGGAGAAAATGAGGACAAGAAGTGAAAGATCCGAATGATAAATAAGGGAATTTGAAGTTCATGACCTAGAGATAAGGGAAGAATAGGTGAATTGCATTGCTACAGTAGTCAAACCCGTCGTCGGTCTCGAGAAGCGGCATGGCAACGGCGCGACGATTTGCGGCTCTCAAAATGGAAATTTTTCCGAGCTCTTGTTGGAAAAATCTGAAAAATAATTGTTTGTTGAAAATAATTTCGAAGCAAGAAACTACCTTTCGATGCGGATTTCCATTGCATCTTTGATGTTTTCCAAGTGGACAGAGTTCACCAAGTTTTTGAGTTCATCAAGGAATTTGAACTTTTTTGGGAAGTGACGAGCATCGAAGTGATTTCTCTCATATAATGTGAGACGACCTCATTCCTGTTGTCGTTGAATTCCGTCAGAAATCCAAGTACCATTCCCCTGAAAATTTATATATTTTTTTAAACTACTGCAAAAAAAAAAAAATTCTCAAAATCCAAACAGCTCTGAAACTAGAATGGAGGTAGAATGGTCTAACATGCCCCTGGTATGTTTTCTGGGTAATTTTGCAGTGGTGGCCTAGAATACACAGTTTGATAAAGTTAGGTCACCACTTTAATATATAATAATTTATTGATCAGAAGAAAATAATGCACAAAAGTTATAACGGGAGTTCTAGATAAAATCCCTAACGAGATGAACCTAGAGACTTCAAAATGACCTAGAAAATACACCAGGGAAAATCAGACCGATTTTGCTGCTTTTTATAAAGGCTAGTAGTAGCTACATATCATCTAATTGCACCGACCAAACAAATGGTCCTCTTCAGGAAAGAAGGGGAGAAAACCGAAAAAATATTCAACAACAGGAAACAAGACCTTCTGATCGTTGAGTAGTGACAGAGGAAGAAAAATAAGGACTATTTCCCATAAATACTTTATTTGTACTCAAATTCCATTAAATATATAAAGGAAAAAATATTCAAATATATGTGGCTGACCAGAGGAGATTGACGTTGTGCCGCGTCCAAAATCTCACGAAAGATTGGTCCAGTCTCTTCTCGTCTCTCCACCTTATTTCGTCCTTTGTAGATGTCAATGTTATACCCACAAAATATAATGCCGGGAGGGGCACCAGACAGTGGTTGGTGAGAAGCTCGATTTTCTTTCCGCCGGGATTGTCCAATTCGGGAAGGTGACATCTAACCATTGGATTGATTGCCTTTTTTTGTTAGCAGATGTAGTTCTTGTTGTAAAGATTTGAGTCTTTTTATTTTTAAAGAAGAGACGATAAAATGTGCTAAAGAAATTTGCATCTTTCAAAATTTTTGAAACGGAAACAAATAGAAGTTTTCCGAAATTCAAAACATCTATATTCAAAATTCGAAGTTCAAAACTTTAAAAAAGTTTCAACATTTTTGAAATTCAAAATTCAAAATTTTTCAAATTTTTCGAAATTCTCAAAACTTATAATTCAATATTTTTAAACTGAAATTCCTCGTTCAATATTCGATTTTTTCAAAATCTAAACTTTTCTAAAATTTCAAAAATTCCAAAAATTCCAAATGTAAAAAAAATGTTTTTTAAAAACTCACTTTTTAAAGTTTGATTTTCAGAAAAACGTGAATATCAGAAAATATATGATTTCGAAAGATTTAAGGAGCAGTAAGAATAACAGACAGGTAGAAAATATTCAGAATAATAAACGGAGCTTTCCAAAATCCATTCTTTTATAGGATTTTCTGGAATGTTTCAAGAATATTCAGACGTCTATTCTGTCAAGACGTCATGGGGAAGAATATGTTCATAATGAGGGGAAAGGATGAAGGTTTGGGAGGGGAGTGGTTGGGTTGACCTAAATAATTATCCCTTAATTCTTGTGCGTCAGCGACAGATGGTCCTTTTTTTGAGTATTCTCTCGAGGAGGGTGCACTATCGGATAGGAGTGGGCAGAAGATGGAGGACAAAGAAGAAGAGAGGAGGGAGGTTACATTATGAATAGAGAACCATCAGATTTTCTGCCTTTTCAACTAAAAACGCGCAGAGCGAAAGTGCGCAAAGCTTTTCAGTGCTTCTTTATGCCAGCAGCTAGATAAATTAAGCGAAAAATACCGAATTTCAATGAGAGAACGCTTCGAAAAACGAAAAACTGTGAAAATTAGATGAAAAATTAGTAGAGTCTTGTGCCGCTAAACAAGGCGCAGGTGGAATTTTGGAGTGTCCGGATTTGCCGAGACTCGTCAGTTAAAAAGGCAATTTAAAGCGAATTGTGAATAGAGAGTTTGGAAGAAAAAAAAAGAAAGAAAATAGAATTTTTAGGCACAAATTTTACAACATTTTTAGAAAAATATTTCGTCGCAATTCTTCAGAAAATGGCTAAAATATCACCAAAACATGCGCATTAAACTGAAGATTGCTATCATGAAATGACAACTCGAGTTACGATATTGGAACTGAAAAATATTCAAATTTTCTGTTATTTAACAGCTTGTTTCATTCAGCCGCCATCCACCAGTCAGCGCCTCTTCAACTGTCATTAAGCCGTTTTTCACCAACCGCGCCTCAAATTCTATTTTTTGTAGAAATGCTTCTAATAACGCATTTTTTAGATCCCCAGACCCCTCTATGACTTTTGTGATCTTTTTAGAGAGAAATAATTTTTCAACAAAATTTTCCATTCTGCAAAAATTTGGTCCGCCAACCACCAGTCATTGACCAGTCAGCGCCTCTTCGACTGTCATTTAGCAGTCGTTCAACAACCTATTTTTTGAGGTGGTCCTATTTGAGGAAAATAAGATTCTATCACCATTCTATAGCCTAGTGGGAGTATGAGAAATAGTTTTCTGGATGATTTCCAATCAAAACTTTCAAGTCGGTTTTCCGAAAAGTTCCGATGGTCCGGCGACGGACCGTCGACGGCCCGTCGGTTCTCCTTCGGCTGCCAAAAATGAGGAGAAAGTCAGTACATTGAGGTCAGATAGAAAAGGGTCTGTAACTAGTGTCTGGGGAAAGATTTTTCGCTGAAATTTTGGGAATGGACTTCTATAAGAGTGGAGAAGAGAATCCAACAATAAAAATAAGAAAATATCTATTTTGAAAATTATGTTGTGGTGCCTATGTGTAGGGCTTCCATTTGAGCATTCACGGTGTTTTTCTCAAGTCAAGATTACTGAATTTGATTGCTCATAACTCGCTCAGTTGATATTCGGTATCTCTCGATTTCTGAAAAAATTGAATTTTTGAATTCCCGATTTTCCAATTTTTGTAAAACTTACAACTTTCTTAATTTCTAAATATCTAGATTTTTTTAAACATACAGTTTTACTGAACTTCCGAACTTCTGATGATCCGAATATTCAAATTTAAGAAGTTCTGGAAATCTGAAATTAGTAAATCCAAAAATAGAGAATTTTCGTCGATTTCTGTTTTTCTAACTTTTAAAATTCCAGAAATCCAAAATGTAAGAATTTTGAAATTCTGAACGTATTAAATTAAGATTTCAAAAATGAATAATTTACGATTACCTGAACTTCTGAAGTTTTGGAAATTCCGAATTTGAAATTTGAGGTTTTTAGAATTTCAGAATTAAAAATAATGAGAATTTTGAGCCCCTGAATGTTTGAGAACTCGATTCCCAGAACAATGGAGTTATAACAAAACATTGTTTAATTAGAAAGATAACAGTAACAAGCAGAAAACAAGTGAACAGCAAGAAAACTGAAAATCAGATGTTGATGGTCTTGAAGACGTTGAATCCATCGATCGACGTGTTGATAGCCAATCCAGGAATCTGTGGATGCCAATGAACCTCTTTGACCTCTTTCTGACCCATATGAACGAACATCAATTGCGGTGGCACACCATCAATGTTCGTTTGTCCATCTGCTTCCGTTGCAATATCCCACATCGTCGTTTGATCATCCTCTCCAGATGCCATGAACGTCGTCGTTTCATCTGGATGCCATTCAACTGAAGTGATCGGTCCATTGTGATACTTGAATACAGCAACCGGTTGACCGAATTGAATCGTCTTAAGCGACCAAACTTTCAGTTCTCCATCATCGCCGCCAGACACAATCAGATTCTCGTGACGATTCCAGGAAATAACATTGACATCTGATTCGTGAGCCTTTTGAACGGTGCAAACGCATGCGTCTTTCGGATTGGAACGGGTGTCCCAGAGTTTGATGCTTCCGTCTGCCGAGCAAGAAGAGAGAAGGCCGGTTTCAGTTGGTGACCAGGATAGATCTTCGACGCTTTCTGGAATAAAGGGCTCATCTTTACAGCTGATCAGTTTCAAAAATGGGATTTCTAGATCATAAACATTTTCGGCTAAAATACAGAGCATTACACGGTCTATCTTTTGATGTTTTTAAAGCGAGAAAGTGCATTTGAATTGGACAGCCTAGTAACCTATTTTCAGTTTTCTAGGCCACAATTGATTTTGGATCAGTTTTGGAAGGATCAGTTTTTCAAAATTGCGTAACTTGGCTCCACGTTTTTGAAGTTTGCAAACATGTCTTCAAAACTATCAAAGTCACAAAAACAGTGGTGGCCTAGACAACTGAAAATTGGAGTTTCTAGGCCATCAACATCACATTCATATTTTCTAACTCTAAAAGCATCATTAGAAATACCGTAAAAACTCTTTTAGATAGCCACACCTAATTGAATGCCAGCCTCTAATATAGTGCCATCCTAGAGCACCTCCGAACAACAGAGTGCCAGCCCTTAATATAGTGCCACTGCGGATTTGATGTCACTGTGGTAAAAGTTAAAGAATAACACAATAAATCATTTTCTGGTTTTCTAGTTTTTTTTCAAGCTTAAAAGAGGTACTGTATTTGTAAAAATGTGTCAGGATAATACCAAATTCCGAAAGTTTCTAAAAAATTAGTAGCAAAATTAAGAAAACCTCGTAAGTCATTTTATGAAGGAATTGAAAATCCGCCCCCTTCTTCCCTTAAATACCGTAGCGATCGCGCACCCCCATTTTTGGCATTTTGTAGAAATTTTTTTTGAAAGCTCCTAACTAGGTTCATTTCAGTCCGTTTTGGCCAAATCTTTTTTGATCGATAGCAAATCTCTATGGCTACGCGGTCACTAAAAATCGTCAGAAGTTGTACTGTTTGAACCGAGATATGATAACGAACGTGCAAGTGGATACCATTTTTTTTTCGGGTTTTCCTGTTTTTTCTGCCGAACTAGGGCCTAAATCAAAAATCCGCACATGTTACAGGACCGAAGGTCTTGTCCGCTCTGTTCGACCTGAGCGAGCGGAGCGAGCGAAGGGAGAACATACTAAAATATGAATCAACTGATTCCACTGAGCCAGGGCCGAAGGCCCTGTCGAGGACTTTTGTGATAAGTTTCAGTAGAAATTAGCTCCGGACAATAAAGTGCCAGCCTCTAATTGAATGCCACCCCCTAATACAGTGCCACCCCAGACCATCTTCGAACAATAGAGTGCCATGGCTATCTAATAGAGTTTTTACGGTACCTTAAAATGATCTGTACTTCAGCCAAAAAGTTTTTGTGACCTAGAAATTTCAATTTTTGGTTTTCTAGGCCAGGAAATTCAAAGTAGCAAAATTTGGCTGAAAATGGCTGTTTTTAGAGTCTACAAACGCCGATAGATAGCTAATGAAGTTTTACAAGAATCGTTGGCCTAGAAAATTGAAAACCGAGATTTCTAGGCCAGCAAGTTTCAAAGTGGCCTAAATTGGCTGAAAATTAATGTTTTTTTCTACAAAAAAACCGATCGACGGCCTAGAAATCCGAATTGTCACATTTCTAGGCCACCAATATTTAGAAATATGAACAAATACTCACTCTTGTGACCAGTCAACGGATTAGCTCCCACTGCCCATTGTCCTCCTTCCTTCATTTGCCACAAATAGATCTTCTTAATAATATCTCCAGTAGCGAGATCTCCCGTCTTCAAAGACGACCAGGCGAGGCCATATCCCTCTTTTCCCGAACCATTATTAGTGAACAATGGTCTATCAACCTTCTGAACCTCGGTCTTTGACTCTCCACTCATTCCATGTGAATAGTTCAATGCATCAGTGATGTTCCACACTTGAACACGTCCCTGATCACTCCAACACGCGCACACAGTACTGTCTCCGAGGCGATCTGCACGAATCCGATTGATTCCGCCGAAGTGTGGAATTGATACTGCGTGCATTTTTGGCTCTCGTTTCTTTGACTCTTCCTCGTCCTCATCTTCAGATTCGTCTTCAGAAGTGTCACTGTCGTCACCTTTGTTCTCTTTTTGTTTCTGAAAATCGATGTTTGACTATTTAATACTGCCTGAAAATCAAACCCGCATCGTCGAAAGATTCTTCAATCCCATCACAATGATCTCGTTGTCTCTCGGTTTATCCGCCTGAGTTCCGCTGACAATGTAGCATTCTGCCGGGAATTGAACGCGATTATCACCAAGTCCATCTTTAACAACATCGAACGAAAGGCAAGGCCAATCTGAAGATATAACAGTGATATCGGTAGGCTAGAAATCAAGATTTACCAGAATTAAAGCTATGGAAAACTTTGTAGGCACTCGGATCAAAGTCCAACTCCTCTCCGTTCTTCAGCGGTCGGCTCAGTCCCGGAATGTAAGCCTGTCTTTGATTCTCAGGCACTTCTTCGTCCTCGTCTTCCGTCTCGTCGTCTTCTTCTTCTTCGTCGGAGCTTTCCGTGTCCTCCACATCCTCTATCGGCTGCTCTTCGTGCATTTCGACATCGTCTTCAGCGGACATCTTCTGTAAAAAAGGTTCATTTTGTGAAAGTTGAAATATTACTTATTTTATCGAAAAAGAATTGAATTATCACCTAAGAATCTGGGAACCGGCTCTTGTGTCGATTTATGAGACTTTTCTAGCAACTTTCACAATAAAATTCGGGGTTTTCCGGAGAACAACATATTTTAGAAATGCTAGCCATCACATTTTTACTAAAGAAAATTAAATTCGTTCGGAAACTCAGTAAAAATGAAAATTGAAAAATCAAATTCCAATTTCTCTCATCGAGTTTTGAGAGTCCAGCCATGTAAACCGACAACAAAGCTTCCTCTTAAAAATTCTCAGGTACCAATCAATATTTTTTCAATTAAAATCTCAAAAATTAGCGAAAAATAGGTCAAAATAAGAAGAAAAATAGGGAAATTCAACAATTTTCGGTGTGTGTGAAAGCTCGTCGTTTGTGGTGCATTGTCTGCGGTGTTTGCGGACTTTTAGAATTCTCGATTTTTTCACCATTTTTTCTGCTTCGAAATCCGAATTTTGTCTATTTTTGGCTATTTTCACCTATTTTTTTAAGCTAAATGTTCAGGAAACATGGTTTTCTTTAATAAATTGATCGGTTTCTAGCAATTTTCTCACAAATTGACCTATAAAATATCTATTATCATTTACTTGCAAAAATTTTATTTTTCAGTGGTGGCTGGACAGTTTCCTTCGATAAAAATGGCCAATTTGGACGACGAACTCGCTTTGTAAGTGGTTTTCCGATTTTCAGAAAATTATTGCTGAAAAAACGAAAAAAAATCCCTTTCAAGATTCGAAAGCGAGCTAGCAGAACTCGAACAAACCACCAATACGGAAACTCATGTCGGCTACGAGAATGCGACAATATCGGCTGGTCCGACGTCGTCTTCTGAGTCTTCAACTTCTGCTCCGGTGCTGCCTCCGCCACCGCTTCTCGCAGCACCGCCTTTCGTCCCAGCAATCGTCGCTTCTCCATTCATAAATCCAACGCTCGCAAGGCTTCCACCGATGCCTCCAGTGCCGCCGTCACTCTTCATGCCGCCACAACTCAGAGGAGCACCGGTGAGTTTTTTTGTGTAGCCAAAATCTAGGAGCTCTGGAAGAGAAACACGCCTGTGGCCGCGTACAAAGGTCCTACAGCGACAACTACCATTTTCTCGTTTTTCACAGTTTTTTTTTTGGCGAATTCCTGTCCTTTTTTTAATGCGAAAATTGACTGAAAATGCTCGAAAATCGAGACAATAAATATCCGAAAAAAAAAATGTTCCTACGTTACAATAGCTGTCGTTGTGGGACTTTCGGCCAGGGTCACTGGCTTTTCTCTTCCATAGCTCCAATTTTTCGTAATACCGGAATAATAGAAAAAGTTGCAATTTTGCGGAAAAAGAAGGAAAAAGAAACTTCAAAAACTTTCAAGTGAAAAATGGACCGAAAACAGTCAGAAATCAATGCAAATCGGCCCGAAAATTGGAATTTCAGCCTGAAAATCCACTAAAACTTATCTGAAATTCACTAATCTAAAATTTTTCTTTCAAAAAATGAGATGATTTCAAAATTCGCAAAAAAACTGCTTTCAACTGTAAAATGCGATTTTTTCTCATCCGAATAGCTCAAAACGATTGAAAATTCTCCTGGAAAAGTGTTGAAATTTAAAAAAAATTGAAAATCTTCTAGAAGTTCCCAGACGAAATTTTTCTCTGATTTTCTGCGAAATTTTTAGACCTTATTAGGTTTTTTAGCAATTTTCGAAAATTCTTTTTTGCTTTATTCCGGTTTTTTTGCCCAAATTTTGACGGGACGGTGTTCGTGAAGATTACTTTAGGTTACTGTAGAAAACAGATTTCCTTAGATACTGTAGTTTCTTTGCAAAAAAAACTGGCACGCCAAATTGCAGACAAAAAGTGAGGGGAAAAGGGAAGAAATGACCGATAGCCGTAAAAAATAATTGGAAATCGGTCTTGAAAATCAATATTCTGGTTGTTTCTGACTGAAAAAAATCTCTGAAAACTTGGATTTTTCAGAATAAAAATCCAATAAAAATAACGGAAATTCTTTAAAAGTTCCAGAAGGTTCCAGACGAGAAAACATTGCCAAAACATATTAAAAATAGTTTTTAATGAAAAAAAAATGTTTTTAAAAAATTCTAGAATTATGGAATTTTCAGGCTTAAACTCCACTTCGTCTTCTAAAAAATCCAATTTTTCCAGGTGATGTTCCCTCCTCGAGCTCTCGGAATACCTGCTCCAGCTACCATCGAAGGAGCACCTGCTCTCTACGAAACGCCAGCCGTCAATGCGATTCCTCAAGAGTTACTCCGTACACAGGCACTGCAGTCGGATATCGACAAAATGAATTTCAAGAAGCAAACGGATCCGTTCAAGAAGAAAATTAAGGAGCAGCAGTCGAAAAAGAAGTTCGTCCGATCCGGCGGAGGACAAGTCTGGGAGGATCCATCGTTGGCCGAGTGGGACGAGAACGATTTCCGTGTATTCTGTGGAGATTTGGGAAACGAGGTGTCGGATGAGCTGTTGGCAAAGGCGTTCCGAAAATATCCGAGCTTTCAAAAAGCCAAAGTTGTGAGAGAGTCGCGGACCAACAAGTCAAAAGGATATGGATTCGTTTCGTTTCGAGATTCTGAGGATTATGTGAGAGCAATGAGAGAAATGGATGGAAAATACGTCGGAAATCGGCCAATCAAACTGAGAAAATCAGCATGGAAGGAGCGGAATATCGATGTGATCAAGCAGAAGAGAAAACAGAAGAAGGAATTGGGAATTCTTTAATTTTATGTATCTCGATAATCAAAGTCTTTTTGGCCCATTTTTTGTCATTCAAACTATTCTAATCGATCAAAAATTCAAACTTCCCTATAGTTTTTTCCCAGAGTTATATACATTTCAAATTCAATTGAATCTTTCTCTCTACTCGAGCAATTATTTAATTTATTATTCTCAAAAAATCAGTTTTTAATAAACATTTTTGAAAAATTGAGCACTAATTTTCTTAGTTTTTTTTCTCTCGAAAGCACTGTTGAATGTTCAGTGCGATTCTTATTTTTTTTTTCCCAACTTTTTGCTTTTTTCTCGTAATATTATCAGTAAAATGAGCCGAAAAATATGCTAAAATCCCTAAAAATCGCCCGAAAAATTGTTTTTCCGTCTGAAAACTTCTGGAAATTTTACACAATTTCCGCTATTTTTACTGGATTTTTATTCTGACAATTCCAAATTTCCAGAATTTGTTTAGTTAGAATCCACCGAAATTATGATTTTCAAAACCGATTTCCAATTTTTTTAATTGTTATCGGTCAATTTTCCTCCATTCTTCCCTTATTTTTTGCCTGCAATTTGACGAGAAACTACTGTATCCAAAGAAATTTGTTTTTTTTTACAGTAACCAGTAATTTTCACAAACACCGTCCCGTCGAATTTCAGACAATCAATCCGAAAAAAGCGAAAAACAATCTCCAAAAATTGCTGAAAAACCTTAAACGGTCTAAAAATTTTGCCAAAAATCGAAGAGAAAAGTCGTCTGGATACCGATTTTTCGTTGTTTTTCTATTTTTAAACGAAATTTTGTAAAATTTCCAATCTTTTTTAGTGGATTTTTAGCCTAAAAACTCCGAAATTTTCAGTTTTTAGAACCGATTTCTGACGATTTTTGGCTGTTTTTGGCAAAGTTTTTCGACTTTTTCTCGAGGTATTTACTATATTAACCTGTATATCTCACTTTTTTTGAAAGATATCAATAAGTTGTCAACTAATAAAATGTTTATCATGATATCAGCAACATTTCACTAGTTAACCACTTTTTTACATCTTTCACAGAAAATGAGATACATGGGCTCAAAGTTGACGAATCGGATGACGTTCTATAAGAGTGTTTATGGTATGTTAGTCCCTTCCCTCCCCATCTCTCCCTCATTCGTTTAATTAGGAGGATGTAGTAGTTGTTTGTATAAACGTGTAGTACAAGTGGGTGTCTCTTCTCTCTCTATCGTCTCGAGTATATCAGTTGCGTCGTCGATCATCAAAAAGGCCGCCTAGGTCTTGTCAGAAGATGAAGTTTGAGCAGCGGATTAAGAGGTGACATACCCGGTCAAAAAGAGTCGCCGTTCTTGTCTTTCCGGCGGTGGAAAGGAAGAAGAAGAAGACCGGAGTTGCGCAATTCAACGCATCTCCCTGATGTTGATGATTATGTTGTAAAGATGAGAAGGTCATCTGACTTATGACGCCACCGCTGTGTGTTTTTAGAATCCGCGTGCTCAGAATCTGAGTTGGAGGAAATTCTGGAGATTTTGGAATTTGAGATTCTGGAAATTCTGAATTCTGGAACTTCTAAAAATTCTGGATTCTGGATGTTCCGGAAATTCTGGCACTGTCTATCGTTGAAGGGTAATCTTGTGGCTGAAAGCTAGCGTGAAGCTTGAAGACTTCAAAGATCTAAAGCTCAATGTTCATTTTGAGGCCAGGAAACCGAATAATTCGGATTTTTCAAGTTTCTAACTATGAAAAAGATAGGAAACGATCGACTTCAACATCACTTTGAACTCTGAGGATCCTTTGAATCTTCGAAACGCTGAAAAAAGACTCAGATAACTTCAACCAGTGATTATAGAATTTTCGTCCTTCGTGAAATGGTTCCTAGATTCGAAATTAGCGTATTTTCTCTAATAATAGCCCACTCAATCTCTCAATTTTGAGCTCAAGTATCTCGGTTCCTATGAGAGATATCGAAATTTTGTCAATTGATAAAAGTTTCTCCATAATATGATAAACATTTAATTAAACATCAGTTCACAGATTTTGGATATCTCCCGCAGGAAGCGAGATAACTGAGCTTATAGCGGACAGTTGTGGTGAGCTTCTATTAGAGAAAATACGGTAATTGAGCTAATTGGAATAGTTCCAGTCAGAGATTCTAGATGTTAATTGAGCTGATAGAATGAGTACTATCATTTTCTCCATAGAGATTCTAGAGTTTCGGTCCCTCGTGAAATGATCTCAAAATTCAAAAATACCGATGTTTATATGGTATATATCTTTTGACATGCTCTCCTATCGGCTTCCTAACGGCTTCCGTTAAGGATGTGTTCCTATTGCGCAACCGTATATTCGTCGCCTTTGAAGTCGTGTTCTGTGTTTGACAACATTGCTAACTATGCGCTGTTTGACTCCAGATTAGTCGGTTCCGATCTAATTTTTCGTCACACATCAAATCAAATACATCAAATCAATCAAAGTCACACATCAAATCAATCAAATACCGTATACCAAATACCCTCTAATAGAGCGGCACTTCTACGATTACCGTACTAATAAGACCACCGATACCGTCAAATTTGAGCTCAATTATTTTGGTTCCCATGAGAGATATCAAAAATCTGTCAACTGATAAAATGATTATCATGATATCACCAATATTTTATCTGTTGACAGATTTTTAATACCTCTTACAGTAATCCAGATAACTGAGCTCAAATTGGGTGCCTTTCTATAAAAGGAAATACGCTAGCTTTTTCCGCGACTTGAATGTTATCAGGGCTGTTCGATGACACTTGAAGGAAGTCCAAAATCACCGTACTTCCTCCAAATGAAGCAGATCTTATATGTGCATTTTGAGCTCAATTATCTCGGCTCCTATGAAAGATAACGAAAATTTATCAACTGACAAAATGATTATCATAATATCACCAACGTTTTATCAGTTGACTGATCTTCGATATCTCCAATTGGAGACGAAATAATTGAGCTCAAAGTGTGCATGTAGGGTAGGCTTCTATTAGAGGGAGTACGGTATTTCTAGCGATTTTTGTTCGAGCCCATATTGTCACATACCTGTCTTATAACTAGATTATCACATTCCAATCATCGAGGTGCCGATCTATTAGAGAAAATACAGTAATCTTCCCAACATTCACTGTCGTGGTCCCTCTGGCTTGGCAGATTTTCGATTCGTTTTTACACTAGGTCCCTCTTCTTCGATAGTGTGATGCGGTAAATAAATAACCCCTCTCGCTGACAATTAGAAGTGTGACAGAATGTAGCAATATTTTATGACACGTGCGGATGAAAGCAGTGATTTATGAGGATCCGGATTTGCCTACGATGATCGTAGTATGATCCCTCGAAATCCCCCAAAACATTGCTCATCCAGGAATTCAGTGTCTAGTTTTTTTTTGTCCTCCTCGATGAAGTGTGATTTGCACACGATGCAGCAGAGCATCGTCCGAAAAGAGCGCACTTCACCCTCCCTCCTGCCTGGTCAAATCTTTGTACCCCTCCCGAAAACAAGAGCTACAGTAATCCAGCCTTTGTAAGCGAAGCTAACAAGTGGTTGTGAGAGAAGGTGACTGTGAGGATTTTGGCGCCGCGAAAAGCCTGCAAAAGTTGTTATATTCGAGAGGATGAGCCACCGGGTGGGCGAGACGAATTGGGTTACGGTAGTTGCTGTTGAGCTGTTGGGTGTAACAAGTTGGTCTTGACGTCAGAATTTGGCTAGGAGAAGCATACAGGGCGAGGGCAAAAAGTTTCGGAGGGCAAACTAGAGAATTTTGGGATTCTTATCACTTGATTCATAGAAAATAGAGTACCGTATTTTCTCTAATAGAAGCTTACCCAAACCGTCTTCTTTGAGCTCAATTATCTCGGTTCCTGTGAGAGATATCCAAAATCTGTCAACTGATAAAATATCGCTGATATTATGACAAACAATTTATCAGTGGACAGATGTTTGATATCTCTTACAGTAATCAAGATAATTGAGCTCAAGGTAGACTGTTAGTGTGAGCTTCTTGTAGAGGGAGTACGGTACCATAATTTCTATTAAAAAAAAATAATTGGGAAACAGGGCTGAAATGTGATTTTGGGATCATTTTCTAAGCTGTCAGGTTTCTCTAGTTTTGATGAAGTGCCAGTTGAATATGAAATCCCCTCTTTGCCACGTTGAAATCAGAATCTTGCTATATAAAAGTGTCAGAATCATTGTAAAATACCGTACTCCCTTTAACAGAAGCAAATCCAAAACGTCAGCTTTAAACTCAATTATCTCGGGTCCTATAAGAGATATCAAAAATCTGTTAACTGATAAATTATTTATCATAATATAGTATATTTTATCAGTTGACAGATAGTTGATATCTCTTATAGGAACTGAGATAATTGAGCTCAAATTTCACGTGTTGGATGAATCCACTAGAAGCATCCAGACCGTCAACTTTGAACTCAATTATCTAGCTTCCTATTGGAGATATTGAAAATCTCTACTGATAAAATGTTTATCGTATTATCACAAATATTTTACCAGTTGACAGATTTTTGATATCTATTATAGGAACCGAGATAATTGAGCTTAAAATTGACGGTTTCGTTGAGCTATTGATAGAGGAAATACAGTAAGAAAGTTACAGTCGGAACCATTGAAACATACCGTTTTGATCTTTTTCTCACCCAATTTATCCTACAAAAGGCTCCCAAAGATCCCATTCATTTCCAGATGACCACCGACCTAGAAGTGAATGTCGACGATCTTGTGAAGCTGTTGTCGCCGACAATGTCGCTGATCGTTCGCCGCAAAACGATGGAAATCGTTACTCAACTTGGGACACCGCTCGATGGATCAGCCGGAAAATACTTCCAAGCACAAGACTTTGCACTAGGAAGAGCCATCTGTCAATTGTGCGAGGCGACGGCGTCGGATCGGACGGAGACGTTGGCAGCGCTTACGAATTATACTTCTGGATCGATTGAAGCAGCGGATTTTGTACTGGAACACTCGAAATGTGTGGAAATCGCCTATACGTCGGTAGTAACGAATGTAAGTATGGTGCGGATACAAAAAAAAATCGGGTATGAAGGTCCCACAACGACAACTACACTACAGTAACCCAAAAATATTTATAAAATTACCAAAAAAATTTAATAAAAAACATGATTTTCAGTCCAGAAACTATTATAATGAGTTTACGAAAGGCGCCTTTTTCGAAATTTCCAAAAAATACCGTAATACCTAGTACCGTCATACGGTATGTAGAATTTTGTTTAAAAGTGAGAAACCAGCCAAACAACAGAAACATTTGACTGTTATGACAACAAATGGACTTATGGTAACCTTATACCATAAGTAGCTATTGTGTCAAGTGTGTCCCTAAGCCCTCTTAAGTATTTTTCTTCTGTTCCAGGCACTCTACTCGTCAGTCGCTTCTCGGCTTCTTGTCAACGTTTCCCGTCACTTCCCGGACCGTGTTGACCAAAAATTGAAGGCTCGCAATGCGGATTACATTGGAGCGTTGTTGGGTGAGTTTGGGTTACTGTAGGACCAGTGTAGGTAAAAAAAACAAGGTATTTGAGCTGTTAAAAATGAAGAGAACGGCGGAAAATTGGTTTGATTTTAATACGTTTGCCTCTGAAAAATTGAAAAATTTATAATTTCACCTATCCCTTCCCTCTCCTCTCTCTCCAACCCCCCGAAAAGTACCGTAATCCCCAAAAAAAAATTTCATCCCTATTAGTTTAGCCGAACGGATTTGTGTCCTTGAGTTGCATATTACTCAACAAGGCAACACACACACGCTTATTAGTTTTGTTTCTCCGGGTTTTTGATTGATGTCTCTCAAGATAACCTTGCTCATCATCACTCCGTGCCCCCTTTCCTTTTTTTTCCTGCTGTGTCATCTGTCGTGTCGATTTGTACTTGTACTCTCGCCACAAAGTTCGGAAAAGTTTATTTTCATAATGAATGTTGGGTCCTGGATCCTGGAGGTTTTGTTTGCATTGAAAAGTTAATTCTTTGAAATGATTCATAATTTGACCGTTTTCAGCCTGAAATGCCTCTGCAAAAAAGGCCTAAAATATACATAAATTGGGTCATATATGAAGTCTACAGTAGCCCCTAAAATTGACCCAAAACACGCTTAAAATGGCCTAAAATAGCCTAGATTTAGTCTGAGTGGTCCTAATGGGCCTAAATATGGCCTAAAAACAGCATAGCCTAGAATTTGCCTGAAAAGGGCTTCAAATGTTCGGACCTGGAATCAGCCTAAAAGGCCTTGATCAGTCAAGTCCAATTGAGCCTAAAATCGGTTTAAAAGGGTTCAAATTAGCTTTAAAAAAAGACAACATTGCCAAGAATTTGCCTGAAACGGGCCTCAAATAGCCTAAAAATGATTAAAATGGCCTAAAATGAGTCCAAGTGGGGTTACGTTAGGCTCAAACGGACCTGGGATTGGCTTAAAAAATACTTTAAAAGGGCCTAAATCAGACTACAATCAACCAAAAAATTAATTTTTGTGGTTGACAAGTTTGCCTAACTCCACTATATCGAAATTCTGAGTTTTGGACCAGAAATAACCTCAAATTGGTCCGGCTCCTTCACAGGATCTGGTTTGGTATACGGTATTTGAATTTAGTGTCATTTTGTAGATTTCGTCCAGTCCTACAAAATGATATTAAATTCAAATACCGTATGCTAGACCAGAAGGAATCGAACCAAGTTTGATGTTTTTTTCTGGTCCAATACTCTGCATTCTGATAAAGTCGAATTAGGTATCATTGTGTAGATCTCATCGAGAGCTACATTTCAGTTTTTCGCTCGTACAGAAATTCAAATTTTGAACTGAGTTATGCTCGATTGAAAAGTTAGCACTTTTATCTCAATTATCTCGATTCCCATAAAAGATATCAAAAATCTCAGAACTGATAAATTATGTATCACAATATCAGCTATATTTTATCAGTTGACAAGTTTTTGATATCTTTCATAGGAAACGAGATAATTGAGCTCAAAATGCACATATAGAGAACCATCCAAAACCCCTCCACTTCCCTTTTTTTCTGAAATGCGTCTTACTGTTGCTGGAAGCGACAAAAAGAGCGGCGTCGTACCGAAAAATTGACACGTTTGAGAATCGAATTAGCTTATCAACGACACAATTGTCAAAGGAATGCCGACCACCTAAGGGGATTACCGTCGCCTTCGTTTGTCCGTTTCTCTCTCTCTCTCTCTTTTTTTTTATCGTATTAATTTGGGTTGCGGCGTTTTGGAGCTGATAGTGATGATATGTCTCGGTTAGTAATGAAATATACAAATACACACTATTATTTTTGTCATTAGATACTGTAGCGCGTTGTTTTGATTCAATTAGTAAGTGTGTGTCCTACAGTAATCATTGACACTCTTAATTAGTTTGTATGCCGTCGTTTTTATGGGGCGCGAAACGCGACACACACACACACACACACACACACACACACACACACACACACACACACACGGACTTTATCATTCTCCTGGTCTTCTCACACTGTTGGATCGTAAACTTTTAATGGCTCCAATGCAAACACGTCGTCGTCTCCCTCCTCGCCTCTCGACATATGTTGACACCTGGCCTCTCTACACAATAAATCTCCCACTGATAACGCATTATGCAACTGGTTGGAGACAATGGGACATATACTTGAATTATGTAATAGAACAACATAGAGCATAGCAGAATTAGGCTCTTTTGGCGTCAAAAGTTTGATTTTCTCTGTGTGGGGTTGAGGCGGTGGTTGGGACTATAGTAATCCCCTTATTGACACATTTATGTAAAATATTGGATTTGAAACAAACTGGGTTTCTAGGCCATCTTAGCTGACTGGCTCATGAGTTATAGTTGCTTGATACCCAATGGATTGATTTGGATTGCTACTTGGGCTCGATGACCGAGAATTCACAAATTGGAAATCTAGGCCATTGAAAATTAAAGGAGCGCATAGCTCAGCTCAAAATTGAAGCATCTCTCCAATTCAAAATGTGAAATGTAAAGCTCGACGAGATCTTTTAAATGATACTAAATTAAAATACTGCATACCAGACCAGACCCCATACAGGAATCAATTTTGGATCGTTTCTGGGCCACAACTCACAAGGGCAAAAATCAAATATACAGGATGAAAGAGCGTCTTTCAAAACCTATAAAATCATTTCCCCTTGTGAGTTTTGGACCAGAAATAACTCCAAATTGGTCTGGCTCCTTCACAGAGTCTGGTTTGGCATACGGTATTTGAATTTTGTATCATTTTGTAGATCTCGTCGAGTCCTACATTTTACTTTTTGATTCAAACAGAAATTCCAATTTAGAGCCGAGTTATGCCATTTCCAGGCTGACTGGTACTATAATTATAGCTAATTTTTCAGCTGAAATCAAGAAATCCGTAGAAGTCGGTGACGAGGATCGTGCCAAATTCGTCGGATTCACTCTTGTCAACCTGTCAACACTGTCACCGATCCGACGGTACATTGGAGGAGGTTGGTCCCTTGAATTTCCTAATTTTGCTCCGCCGACAAATATTCTTTTACTTCATGACGTCCATTTTTCAAATTTCAAGCACAAACAATAATTAAATTCAATTAGAAACTGAAAGTGACAATATACACTTCCTTTATCAGTAGGTGAGAATGAATCGTCGCCTCCGTCGACGACAACGACAACGAATCGGCCGCTACCAATCGTGTGCGAGCTGTTGACGACAGCGAAAACGACGGAGATTCGCGAGTGTGCAGCTGACATTTTGAGGAATTTGGCATTCGATGATGGTGGGTTACTGTAGCAGAAATTCGAGATTTCGTGGATCTACAGTATCCGATTTAGATTTATTTGAAATGTTGGATTTTGAGCGATTTACAAGCCAAAAACTGGTTGATACAGTAATCCGCTTGTAACTGGCTCAAAATCCCATATTTCGAAACAATCTGTTTTGGATACTGTAGGCCTTGAAAACCTCTATAAGATGATATAACATTTTAGGCAATGCTCCACTTGGATTACTGTAGCAGTCCCGGAAATTGGAAATTAGGCAAATTTCATATAAAGGTCCTCCCTTATGGGCTTCTTTCAATTTTTCCCAAAAAAGTCCTTATCATATCACAAGGTGCCCACTAACATCAGAAGGTCTAGGCCAAAGATTCTGGGTCTGGTTTTATCAAAAAGTCGAATTTAGGCCAATTTGTGGGTTACTGTAGCAGTTTGGTAAATATCACCATAGCCCCCCCCCCCTAGGTGTTTCCTTTTCAAATTTTCTTCGCTAGCATAAAATTCGGAGGTCTTTATCAATAGTTTCTAAGGCTATCAGGTATTTCAATCGATTCCCCTTTTGGGTTACTGTAGCTCTCTCACTGTGATTCGCGGATTTTTGTTTGCTCTAGCTCACCTATTGTTGCTCAAGGACTTCCCTCGATCCCTCTTTTCCATTGCACATCTCTAGCCAGAGAAACGGTCATAAAGAATTCGCTCTAACACAAAACAACACCATCTTCGTCATTCTCATCGCCTTCAGAAGACACCCATTTCGACACGGACGACGAGGAGTATGTCGGTAATAAAGTGTCAGCCGGCGAATAGAGTGACAAAAAGCCGTAAAACCTTTATAGAGAGAGACGAATTCGCCTTCACTTCATTTGCCTTTTTTGTCACATTTGACCGCTAGAAGTTGTAAAAACAGCAGCCAAAGAGATGTGGTATGGAGATTAGGAGGTTTCGATCATTAAAGGACACATTCCGGAATTTTGGCTTTCCAAAAATTTTGAACCAAAACGAAGCATCCACGGATTTAGGATGTTGAAAAACCATCATTAAAGTGCAGTCCGAATTTTCCAAAATGCCCAAAATGAATAGATTTCCAGTACGGTCATAAATAAGACCAATAATGTCCTTATCCTGTTCTCTTTTCATTCCTCCTTGCTGATAATGGACAAGATGATATGATACCGTTTCCTTTTTTGAAGTTGGATCGCCGCCGCCGCCACCACTGGCCTGTCAAGTGATATGGTGTTCATGTACATAGATATGTATACTCGTAAATGTAATTGATTGATGTGTCAAATCAAATATCGCTTCCGATTTCTCAATGTCGCGCCGCCGGTAGCGATTTTGGGTCTCAAGATAGATAGATAGGATGAGAAGTGGATGTCCTTTTTTGAGTAGCTGAGCTGAGTATTGTAGTTTTTTTGAGGCGTTTTGAATATGGGAGCCCGCTAGGGATTACGGTATCTTCTGAGATTCGTTGGGCTCAAAATGAACGTGTAGGTGGCGGCTCTCTTTTAGAGGTAATACGGTATTTCTAGCGATTTTCTTTCAATTCCAAAGCCTCTAATTAATGGCTGATAACTAAATTATCACATTCCAACCCTCATGATTCAATGAAACCATCAAGAATCCCCTCATTTGTCATCATCCACTTGAGAAGACGGATTCAATTTGCCCCCACGGGGGCAAAATAATGATGAACAGCAGTGTTACAAATGTTTATGGATGTCAGACCCACTTGACCCTATGCTCAGTTTTTGGGCACGATACCTTAATCCCTCTAATAGATGATCACCCAAAGTGTCAACTTTGAGCTCAATTATCTCCTTTCCTATTAGAGATATAAGGAATTTGTCAACTGATAAAATGTTGGTGATATTATGATAAGTAATTTATCAGTTGAAAGATTTTTGATAGCGCTGATAGGAGCTGAGATAATTGAGCTCAAATTTCACGTGTTGGATGAATCCACTAGAAGCATCCAGACCGTCAACTTTGAACTCAATTATCTAGCTTCCTATTGGAGATATTGAAAATCTCTCTACTAATAAAATGTTTATCGTATTATCACAAATCTTTTACCAGTTGACAGATTTTTGATATCTATTATAGGAACCGAGATAATTGAGCAACCATCAACTTTGAGCTCAATTATCTCGGCCCCCTTACAAAGTATCAAAAATCTGTCAACTGATAAAATATTGGTGATATTGTGGCAAACATTTTATCAGTTGACAAATTTCTAATATCATTTACAGGAGCTGAGTTAATTGATCTCAAAGTGCACTTATAGGGTGGACAGTTTGAGTAATCTAAAAATGATAAAAGTCCCCTCTCTGGGACCATAATTTTCCCACAAGGCAGACGACATTTTAGATGAATACAAGATTAGCCGACAACGACATCGTCTATGTAGCTCATAAAATCGGAAGGCACCTGTAAAGAGGAGTAGATAAAAATCGGATGTCCCCATGCAATGGTGTGTTTGGCCTGCCAAATTAGTCCTCTTTCTGTCGGCATGCCTCTCTCTTCTTGCATGTTAGAGAGAGCCGTTAAATAAGTCGTTTAAGATTGTATCTCTTTTAGTTTCTCAATCCCTTGCCATCTGCAAAAAGGAACGGCACCCCCTGTTATTACCGACACCCCATAATCATCATCATCATCGGGGCCCCTCCGCTTGTTAGCTTAGCGAAGAACAACTAATATATAAGTGTGTTCACCTCATCTCTCTTTGAGGTAATTGGATACAAGACATGTGCTTTTTGCCTTTGAACTATACCGCATAGAGCTACCGGATAGAGGGGGTACGGTCTTTAGAGGAGCAACAGGTGAGCACACCTTGTTGCAAATTGGTCACATACACAGGAAATACAGTAACGTTTTGGATCAAATTGGAAGATTTTTTGAAATTTCTTGGGGTTTTCGGGATTTCGTGATTTATGGAATTTTTGGAATTTTTGGGATTTTGTGGAATTTTTCGGAGTTACAAATTTTTGGGATTTTTCGGGATAATTAAAGACTGGAGTAAACGATAAATGAAAAAAAAACTCAATTTTTGAATTTGGCGCCATTCCGGTGAATTCGTGGTTTTTGAAAATTCGAAAAATTTTGGGATTTTTGGAAATTTGAAAATTTTGAGATTTTCGAAAATTTGAAAAACTAAAAAAAATGGAATTTTCGAAAAATGGAAATATTTTGGGATTTACTGAAAACTTGGATATTTTGAGTTTTTTGAAAATTCGAAAAATTTGAAAAAATGGGAATTTTCGAAATTCGAAAAAAAATAATGGATTTTTCGAATTTTCAAAAATCTCAATTTTTTGTACTTTCAAAAATTGATTTTTTGAAAAATTCGTTTTTTTTTCAAAATTTTAAATTGCCTCATCCTAGCTCCATCCTATTGATACCTCAAAAATTGCGCTAAATTTGACATTTTGACGCCTAACGGTCCATATTACATAAACCACTTGGAATGCACCACTTGAAGCATTTTAGGGGAGACAGATGGACCATTCTAGGCGCCAACATGTCCCCCACAGACTCAACCAACTCCATCTCTATGTCTTCCGGCCAATAATTGTTTTGGCCCCTATATTCCTTTCCTGTGTCAATCGTCACACGTTTTCTCTCTCTAATTGTGTGTCACAAGATCTTCTCGCTAATTAGTGAGAAACGGCTTCACAGTGATACGATATTCGTGGGGTGTCTGATTCTGTCGGTCCGAATCAACCTCACATTTTCGCGGCGAAAATTTTCGCCCCCCTCTCCTTCCTTCCAACTGATTTTGCTTCGTCACCGCTCCCGGTGATATCGGTCAAAAAGACAAAAAAGTGGAAAAAACCAATACGCGCGCTAATTGGTGTTTCCTTGCAAGAAGATGACACGGGTGGCTTGTTGTCCATAAATCACCCGTCCGTCGGCCGCCAGAGGTCATACCAAGTGGAAGAAGAAGACGGGTGTTGATTGATTCTGTTACATAACTTTGCCCTATTCTTCTTCTGATGTATCATCGTCGTCGTCGTCGTCTCCATCAGATTCCCATTTCACGCGTTTGATTTATTTTGTTGGTTTTTCGGTGATAACGAAATGAAGGACTTCCACTTCTTCGTCTTTTTTTGCGGTTCTCTCTTATCAGTGTAGCTTTGGGTGGTCTTCAAATTTCTTTGATTTGCGCCTTGTTATTTATGACCCTTGGGGCGATAAAAGCAGAAATGGTCTTTTTCGTTCAAAAAAAGGAATCTGAGGATAGCTGAGAAGCGATAAACGGCACGCAATCGCAGTTTCCGGACTCCCAAATGTGTCTGAATGTCACAAGAATTTTGACGATTTTCGTGCCATTCAAAATGAGCTTTTTGGAACTCTTTTTTTCCGACCAGAAACCTCTAATAGAAGGGCATCTAATCTGAAAAATTTAGACATATTTTTGAGCCATCGAAAATGATCTTTTTTTATATTTTTTTTTCGAAAAGAAGGAGCCTCTAACTTGGAGCCAATTTATCTCGCTTTCTATAGGAGATATCAGAAATCTGTCAACTGATGAAATATTGGTGATATTATGATAAGTAATTTATCAGTTGACAGATTTTTGATATCTCTCACAGGGACCCAGATCATTGGCTCAAAGAAAATCAGCTCGAAATTGATTGAAATAGGGCTTTGAAAATTGGCTGAAAATTCATGAAAATCTGAAAAAAAAATTGGCTGAAAATATAGCTGAAAATGACCAGAAATTCCATGAAATATTGGTTCAGAATTGATTGAAATAGGGCTCGAAAAGTCTGAAAATGACGGAAAATGCTTTTTAGAAACATGAGCCTGAAAATTTGGCTAAAAATTCATAAAAATCTGAAATTTGAACTCTGAAAATCTGGAAATTTAACTTGAAAATTAGGACCAGAGAATCTGAAATTTTAGATAAAAATATCTGAAAATCACGTTATTTTGAAAGTTACCGTAAAACCTGTAATAAAAGGGCCCCTACCTTTTTGCTACCTTTGAGCTCAATTATCTCGGTTCTTGTAAGAGATATCGAAAATCTGCCAACTGATAAATTGCTCATCATAATATGAACTATATTTTATCAGTTGATAGATTTTTGATGTCTCTTATAGGAACTGAGATAATTGGGCTCCAAGCAAATACGGTATCCGAATTTTTAGTCCCCTTTTTTCCACACCTTCTCATAAATATTTTCATATCTGCTCCTCATCTCCTCATTCATTTCTTTCTTGTTCTGGTCACCCAACCAACCAACCCCAATGAAATTGTGACAACTCTAGTGATATACACACAGATTGTAATGATGTCGCCCCCCCCCCCCCCCCCTCTCTTCTCTTTCCCGAGAGAAGAAGGCTAGGTGAGGAAGGAAATTAGCAGAGACACCGACATGTTCATCGGGGTGGCAACAAGAACGTTTACATTGGGAGAGTCTCACTTTTAGAGGCTCGACGACACGGGCGAGTTATTAATAGTCCATAAAACTGTAAGATAGGGGGTCATAACCCCACGCATCGTTGTTGTTGTTCCGTATCTTTTTATTGATAAAGCATAAAGTTATAAAACATTGATTTATAAGAACAACAACAACTGATAGCAGATTTCGTGCGACAAGAAATTGGGGCTGGGGGTGATCCATCATAACAAATCGGTGTTGTTGGATTCGCGAGGAGGAGGAAAAGCAACAGGAGAGCAAATCGGCGACAAGTGTTGCTGATAGCACATACAAACACGTTTTTGAGTGAGGAGCCGCTCCTCGGAGCTTCTGTGTGTGTGTGTGCTCTTCGTTTACCACCGGGAAATATATCGTCTAACAGACGAGATACATGACACACGATCAACACACGAAAGGTGTCGCTCGGCTGGGATTACGGTAGCGATTTGAGGTTCCTGGGAGTCCTTCCAGCTACACTATAGCTAATTGAATAGCGTAACCTTGAAAGAATACCTTTTCTGGTAACTACGGTAGCGATGGCAGATTTGTCAGAATCCTCTGGATATGGAGTCTATTCCAGCTAGCAAATTAAATACAGTAACCATAACGTAATTGCTCAATAGAAGTACATCCTATACATGATATTTGAGCTCAATTATCTCGGCTCCTAGATATCAGAAGTCTGTCAAATGATAAAATATCGCTGATATTATGTCAAACATTTTATCAGTTGAAAAAATTTTGATATCTTTCATATGAGCCAAGATAATTCGCTTCAAACGAAATGTAATTTTTACTCTAACAGAAGCCCACCCTATACTTGCTCTTTGAGCTCAATTATCTCGATTCCTTTAAGAAATTTTGAAAATCTGTGAACTGATAAAATATTGCTGATATGATGGCAAACATTTTATCAGTTGGCAGATTTTTGATATCTCTCAACGGAGCCGAGATAATTGAGCTCAAAGAGCCCGTATAGGATTGGCAGAGCATTTACGGTATTTTTGAGGTTACTGTATTTAATGCATTCGCAATAGACTCCCAAAAGACTTATGGACTGATAAATCTCAAGTCGCGAAATGTCGCAAATACAGTAACCCTTCTGAAAATTCTTGATGCTGAAAATGTGATTTTCAGCCTATTTTTTTGGTGAATTCAATACACATGCTACAGTAATCTCAAAATCCCAGAACACTTCAAATCGCGAATACCGTATACTGTAGGAAATACAGTGAAAGAAATCAACTACTCACGTCTCCCCTCCTCCCTCCCCATTCCAATTGTTTTACCGCAAAATGTGTTGCCACTTTTTTCCCCATCAGAAGAGGAACAAGAAAAAGAAGATAGCCTCGGAGCACTTGTTTTCCCTCAAATATCTTCGAATGTGACAATCATTTCTCGTGTAGTGATATGTGATATGGGGTATCGGTTCTCCCTCGTCGTCACTTATCTTGTCTCGATTAACACCGCTTTCACTAAATGCCGCTCTCAAGAAGAAGCTCCCCTTCTTCTTCCAAACCGCGCTTAGAAGATATATGACTCTCTGCGGGGGGACACCTAGGGAAGACAGGTGTCGGAGTCTTTGGGAACAGGTCGTCGGCTCTGATTTGATGTGATGACTATCACACTAGTTAACATATGTACCTGTCGCTCGACTGATGTACTCTCGGACCAATGATAATGATGGGAATGGGGAGAGTGTAATTCTTGAAGGTTCCAATACTTTCGAGTGCCCAGGCTCTTCAGAATCGTGACTTCAGATTCCTGACTTCAGCTTCTTGAGTTCAGATTCCCAGGTTTCAAAATATGAAGTTTAGAGCCCTGACTTCACACTCATGACTTCAGAATACGGATTTCAGAATCCTGAAGCTCAGAGACCTGACTTGAGAACCTTTACTTCAGAATGTCAAGTTCAGATTTTTGGAGTCCAAATTCCAGACTTCAGTGTCTCGACTTCAGATTCTCGACTTCATGTTCTTGACTTCAGAATCTGAAGTTTACAGCCCTGACTTCAGAAGCCTGACTTCAGACTCCTAGCTTCAGACTCCTAGCTTCAGATTCTTGACTTAAAATTCCTGACTTCAGAAGACTGACTTCAAATTCCTAACTTCAGAATACTGAATTCAAATCCTGACTTCAGATTCCTGACTTCAGAATTTGAAGTTTAGACTCCTGACTTCAGATTCTTCACTTCAGATTCCTGGATCCAGAATCTGAAGCTCAGAGACCTGACTTTGAATTCCTGACTTCAGATTCCTGATTCCAGATTCTTGACTTCAAAACCTGAAGTTTACAGTCCTGACCTCAGAATCCTGATCTCAGAATTCCTAACTTCAAAATCTAAAGGTCAGATTATTGACTTCAAGTTCTTAACTACTGATTCCTGACATCAGATTCTTGACTTCCGAATCCCGCCTTCTGAATCCGGACTTCAGATTCCTGACTTCAGATTCCTAAAGTTCAGAATCTTGACTTCAGATTTCTTGCCTCCAAACTCCTGACTTCAGAATCAGAAGTTCAGATTTTTTAATGAAAAGTGCTCTCTGGTAGGTATAGACACGAAATCCCCTTCCTACTTTTAACGAGCGATAAACGGTCCCTTTGTTGTTTTAAAGTGAATTGAGCGGAAGAGAAGAAGAAGATCATTTGGAAGAAACAGAGAACTTTTAATTACCGAGTGTAGCTCCGTCTATCTCGAATTACTAGGAATTACCGTAGTCCCTCCCCACTCCCAGACATTCGCAAATTAATGTTTTTTGTTATTGTTATGAGTGGTTAATCACCGAGTTTCTCCGCCGTTCCTCCAGCAGCTCAATTGATATTTGAGAATTCGCACAACATGTTGCGCGGGAAAAGGAAGAGGATGAGTATGTGTCCACCCTCACTCACAAAAGAGAGCATTTTATTGTTATCGAATTATTCATGACACACACAAGGAAACAACTCAATTGTCTTAGTGACCCCCCAATGCTCTTCTTTTGGAAGTGCTCTGGAGTCGAATTCTTGAGCTTGGAAACTGCTAACCGAAACTGTTTATACTTGTCCTATGTGGCGCAATTGCTCAAACACACAGGGGGCTAGTGGTCCACTTGCCTTCTAGGTAGGAGGAAGGATTAACCCTATTGAGAGAGATCGGATGACAGTTAACACACACTTCTCTCTGTCTCATCGAGTTACACTTACCTACTTGTGGTGCTGGTTTGGTGACAAGGTAAATATTGAAGATCAGAAATTTGGTAACAAGCACGGGCTGTCCTAATCTGGAGCTCCTTCTTTGGAATAAGGCTTCAATTAAGGATCCTAGGAGCCTTAATAATCATAAGATCCTGGAGCCTGGAGCTTGGAGCATAGAGCTTGGAACCTGGAAAATGAATCCTGAAACCTTGAACCTAGAGCTTGGAGCCTAGAACCTAGAACCTGGATTATAGAACCTGATGCCTGAAGCCAGAAGCCTGGAGCCTGGAGCCTGGAGCCTGGAGCCTGGAACCTGGAACCTGGAACCTGGAACCTGGAACCTAGAATCTAGACCGTCAAAGCGGCAGCTGACTGATCTAGGTCAGATTTTGGGACCCAGGTTACGGTAGCCGGATCGCTGAATTTTGAAAAAAATTGACTATTTGGTCTGAGCCGTGAACCTGAAATCGAGCTCTGAAAATTTCCAGACACCTTTCGTCTACAGTAATCCAAACCTATTTGTCTATTGACCTCAAATCGAGCTCCAAAATTGACTCAAAACTCTCTAAAAAATGGCTGGAAATGTTTAAAAAAATCTGGGAATTTTATGAACCATTTTTGGCTCTAAAAATGCGATTTTCAGCCGATTTTTTTGTGAATTCAAGACACTTCCCTCATTCTACAGTAACCCCAATATCCCATTCCCAGAATGTTCAAGCTCTCTTCGCTTCCTCCTCACGAAATTAAGGAGCAATTTGACTCCAATTTGTGTTTTCGCCACCACTCCCCGGAGACTCTTCTTCCTCTGTCTTCTCCTGTTAATAGACTCGTGAAACAACAAGTTTGGGACCCAATTTTCTTCGCTAAACTCTTTCTCTGTTACTCGTCGTAAAATTAACAAGTGATTTGGCGCCAAGTTTTGGGAGGGTTCCCAAGGGATTATTAGGGAGTACGGTAGTAGTTGTTTTGAGGCGGTATCTGAATTTTTAGGCTTGGTTTTTTAACCCTAGAACTTCTACTAAGTAGAGCCTAGGTAGGCTTAAACTTGAATTAAGATCAAAAATCGGAAACTGGGTTTTTTTGGATCAGTTGAATTTTCGGAATTTTTGGAATCTCAAAAAAATTCCAAAATTCAGAAAAAATTTGAATTTTTGAACACCCCTACTCCCCTAAACCCTCAATTCCGATTTTCGAAAATTTTTGAAAAATCTCCAAATTTGACTCCTCAAATTGTGGCAACAGATACTCCAATAACACACATATTCTGGGGCCATATGGGCGACGACATCCTCAATTTTTGGTGGCAGTACACTTGAACAGGCGCGCGCGCGTTTTTATTATGAGGAGGGGCATACTAGTAGCTAGTAACAACAAGAAAAATTGAACAAAGATGAGTATAGATAGTGACCTCATTGCTCATATTTTTGCAGGACTTCATGGATCATTGCTGGATGCGTCGGACGAGTATCTGTGCGCGATTCTGGCTCCGCTGATGGACGTGAATGATAATTTGGATGACGAGGAGATGGGCAAGCTTCCAGTGCGGCTTCAGTATTACGAGAAGGAGAGAGACGCGAGTGATATTGTGCGACAAAAGTTGATTGAGGCACTTTTTCAGGTGGGATTTTAGTGTATAAGAGAGGTCGCACAACGACAATTACAGTAACCTAGAAATTTTGCGATTTTTTAGTCGATTTTCCTTCGCGATTTTCCTGCGTTCTTTGGCATTTTTCACCATTAGAAAATTGTATTTTCCGGGTTTTTAAATGGAAAACTTACAAAAAAAAACTGACTTCAGTCGATTTTTGGGTCATTTTTTTGTCAAAAAAATCGGCTAGAATTGACCGGAAACTGACTGAAAACGCGCGGAAATCGAGCGGCCGTAGGCCCCACAACGAAAACTACAGTAACCTAAAAAAGCTGGTTTTACGGATTTCTTACTTTGGTTGTCCTGCGTTTTTCGACATTTTTCACTATCAAAAATTTGAATTTTCCGAATTTTTAGAAGGAAATATCGCAGAATACTGATTTTTTGCCAAGAAAATCGGCTGAAAATGGACTGAATGAGCAAGAAAATCGAGAAACGCCGATGGCCGTGGCCGAAGGTCCCACAACGAAAACTACAGTAACCTAAAAGTATTCATATTTTCCAATTTTTTGAGGAAAAAAAACAGGAGACTGATTTTAGTCCATTTTTGGATCATTTTTCGCCAAAAAGAAAGTCGGAAAAATAAAATTTTTATAGCGAAAAAAAAATACTGAAAAACGCCCGAAAATCGAGATTTTAAAAACCCGAAAAAAATTATTTTTGGGTTACGGTAGTTGAGAGCTTTTGATTTCCGAATAACGTCCCCCCCTCGACCGTATTCCATTCTGAATTGGATCGTCTATAGATAGGCGCTAAAAGAA